TAAACTACATGGGCAAACTTTGTGTATATAAAAGAATATGCTGAGTTTTTCAATGAGATTTTTAATGATAATTCTCCATATCAGCTAAAACATTATTTTTGCCAGTTTAATCAATGATAGAGGGGGAAAAAAACATTTCAATTAAAATGCTAAGACATAGAGCGGGTTACTGGGACAATTGAGATTCAACAAACCTTACCAATACATATATGTGCTGATAGATAGACTGAGGATTGAAAGTTTCTGAACAAAAGTGGTCTGATCGTCTTCTCTCTCCGCGCCATTAGAGAATCGTGGTTACTGAGGCAGACACACCACACCTTTAAATCTTTCACAAGTGTGTGTCACATGCACTGTACCCCAGCCACAGTTTCTTAAAGTGCAAATTTCATATCGGTGTCTGTGTTCTGGTGAGAATATCATTTACACTTCATTAACTTGGAATACGTGTGGAGGATTTCACAAAAGGCATGCTTATGGGATAGACTGAGGAGAAGAGTTTTTTTGAATTGCGAGTGTTAAAAAATGACTTAGATGGGAACTTCCGCCAAAATGCCCATTGGCCTTTGTTCCAGTTTCCAGTTGTTTCCCAATTCCCAGCGAATTTATATGACATTATGCAGCAAAGCAAAAGGTCCATCAAAGTGTAATCTCCAAACAACAGAGACATGACTGAAGTCGCCGTGACCTTAAAGGATGGATAACTTTAACTGCAAAAAGTGTTGAAAAATAAGTCCAAATGGTTAAAATTTGGCTAAATGTGTCTTACTTTGAGCACATTTTCAAAAGATACAAGAAATGTCTCCCTTGAATGAGAAATTATAGCAACAGCAACTTGAAATAGGACTGACTGGCTTTCTCCCATTACCAAATCTTGTTTTAAGACATAAGATAAGATAAACTTATTGTCCCAAGGGAAAATTTGCAGTGGGATACAGTGCTCCATGAATGAATACAAATACCAAAGAAAAGGAATATTACAGAAAATAACTTAGACAGAAGTTCAGTAGCGCTTTAAAGTCTCTGTGTGGTCCAATTCTGCATCAAAATAAATAACAGGTCCTAGATAGACATGAAAAAATGATATCGTTCATGCAGTTTCCGAATGTATTCACTATTAGTTATTTAGTTAAGACAGTGAGAATGTACTCAAATTAAGATAAAAACCACCCGATTCCAGCAATCATCATTTCATGTTTTATCATTATTTGCAGTGTGAATATTATGTCTTGCCTTTGTCCAATTTGTGAATGCCAGATTCAACGCTAAGTCCCCTGAATGGATCATCTCAGGACTGAAAACTGGCAAAACAAATTGAAAGTAATCCGTAATGTGTTGTTTATGCGTTTATTTTTGCCTATTATTTCTTTATTTTCGACACTGTCTTATTTCTGATTGATTTCATGTATCAAACTGGGCACATTCTCCTGAAATCTGTTGCTGCAAAGTTTGAAGTGATTGCAGTGAAGATTGTAAGAGCAACAGTGATTGTACGTGTGACAGCAGAGGTGCGGCTTCCAGTCCGCGTGATGTCGTATCGACCAGCCATTCAGACAGAGAGGTGACACTATGACCCAACACTGGAGCTAATCGAAAACTAATTCTCTCGTCCAATGTCCGTCTGAAGCGCTCCTCATCATCATTCTGTCACACGCCTTCAGCTGTGATCTCTCTCCAACAGCTATTATTTACCTAAAATTACACATCATATTATGGAGACGTGTCAAAGGATAGAGACGCATCAGTCCCATAGTACAGTACAGACCAGTAACAGAACTGCTGTGTTGACTTTGAAAGACTCTTGGGACCAGATTCAACCGATACAAGTGGAATTAGAATGATTAAAAAGTCCATTTGCCTCTGTGCTTCAACTTATAATGTGAAACTAACAACAAACAGGGATATATTAAGCTTTTCTTTGTTATACTGTTGATAATTCACTCACAGCTTGTAAAAAACCCAAATAAAACGTCTCAGAAAATTTGAATATTTTGGGAATTGTAAGTCAGAATCATTGTGATCCTTCTCACAGCATGGCAGAGGTCACTTTGCATGTAATGAGTCTATATCATCGATTCGTTTGAAGATTTCCTCAGAGTTCTCCGAGACGACTGCTGTTGTGATTTGTGTCTATTAAAAAACAGATTGAAATAAAGAGAACTCTCAAAGAATGCCAGTCAAAATCCAGCCTCTCTAACTGTGATTATGGCTGATACATGGCAAACAGTTATGAAAAGGTTGAAAAATAATGCTCAAATTTGGCTAAATGTATCTTATTTTGAGCACATTTTGACTGCCTTAAAACTTTGCCAATGGGACAAGCAAACATTTTCTTTCAAGACATGTTATTCCTCGGAATGAGAAAATACAGTTCTTGAAATTAGACTAAATTGTTTTGTCTCATTGGCAAATCTTGTTTTAAGACAGTCAGAATGTGCTCAAAGAAAGATAAAAACCACTCAATTCAAGCAATTATTAATTCATACATTATCATTTTTTGCTGTGTAGGCTGATTGTTAAAACAGAATGAATGCTATTTGCGTTAAAACTATAGTGTCTGCGTGCGTTTATCAGGCTCAGAGAATGTGGTCCTCCAAAAGATATGGCCCTTGGGAAAGTAAAGTTGACTGTGGATGTAGTGCAGGGCCACATGAGCTGTAAGAAGTGTGTGTGGATAGGTCAGGGCATCTCTGCTTAGACTGCTGCACCCGCGACCCCGGCAACGGATGAAGCGGAAGAAAATGGATGGATGGACTGGCTGTGGGTTAGAAGCCGACATCCAACACCAGTACAAGAGTTGTGTGTGAAAGGATTCCGTTGCTTTTTTAAGAAGGAGGGTTCAGGGACAGTGTTGAAGATCCAGGACATTCGACATTCAACTACATTTATGGACATTTATTATCATTTATAATCATTTATGGACATTGGTGATCCTCTTATGGACCAAAGGCTCTCTGTGTTTTTTATCATTGCATTCCCTGTGTTTGAATTGTCTGATTCTCTGATCTGTGCTGGCGAATCGACAGCTTTGTAAAGTCCTCTGCAATAACTACTGCTGTGATTTAGGGCTATATGAATTGAATTGAATTAAAAGGTAATGTTTTAATTCAAATGTGGCTTTGACTGAAGTAATGATTGCAAGTCAAAAAATAATCCTTTACAACTTTGTCAACTCAAAAGTCAATTTGAGGTGTCATCCATCTTTGTCAACATCCAATCATAAACTCTGTCTCTGCCTCTATGGTCGGACCACGCTGTGACCCCTGCTCTTGCTCCTGGGGGATTGTGGGTGAAGTCTTTGTGCCTGGAGTGATTATGATGTCAATAAATGTGTTGATTCAGTGACAAAGTGGGCTGTCCTAAGAAGAAGAAAAGGTATTGGAGGGCAGCGAAGCGAAAAGAGAGAAGGCTGTAATCAGATCACTGTCGAGCCAACAGCGAACGGTCAAAATGATGAGCAGAGATTACAGGTAAAGACATCGACAAATAATACGCCTTGGACTGCCAGATATGAATTAATTCGGATCAGAAAAGTGGGGCACGATAGATGTTAGAAGAAATGTTGTAATGTATGTATTTTTCAGCTGTTACACTTAAAAATCTGTTCAATGCGATAAAAAACACCAAATACTCACCAGATGTACGGTGAATCTATCATGTTCTCTTTCCTCCTCCGTAGAGGTTGTGTTGATGACAATTGCTTCACTTTACTTTACTTGAGGTTTGGAGTAATTGGTTCAAAAAAATCTATAGCCTTTTCATCAGCAGCAAAAGAGAGGCCTTCTGGCTTTTGATGGATTTCAGCACAAATTGTTTTACTTCAAAAGCTAGTGTCAATTTAGCTCACAGGTTCAATGTAAGTCTTCACAGCGGTCAGAAGATGATCACATTAAAAGTTATGACCAGAAGTGGACTGTACTCACAAACACTTAAAGGAACAGTAAGTAATATGAACTGTTTGTGTCTGATAAAGTCATTACAATCATAATCCTAATGTGTGTTGATTCTTCCTCCTGTGACACATGTAGCTCCTTAGCACTGATTACTGATGCAATCCACCTGCTGGGGTTTAGCTAGAAACAGAAAAATACTGTGTTACATATGAACACTTATTTCTCACGTAAACAAATGTGTTTTTTGTGTGAATTGTGTAAAAACAAAATGAAAGACAGATCCTAGAATCTAAAATTCACCAAAGAAACTGGCAACCCAAATGAGAGCTTCATTCTGCTCTTTGATTGGATGATCCCCTTAAACCAGTAAACATAAATATCATCATGTCAGTTGTACTAGGTTTAGCTTTTATCTGGGGACACAGATCAACAATGTGGATGTATTTGAACATGAAAATATTACAGTCTGTCTCTTAAATGGAAAAGTGGTTTTGACAAAGCAAATGGGTTTCACAATAACTGAACCATCCTCAGTTTGTTTAGTGCTGTTTGTGCATCCCGCCACAAGCTGGCGCTGTGCTCCATGTGAATACAGGCAGTAAACACAATGGTCTGAGACTGTGAAGAACACATAGCTGCAAACAACAAAATTAGAAAAACAGACTTATGAGAGAGCATTTGTTTTATAACAGCATTACTCAAAATATATGTATTTCAAAACATGTCCAAATGTTAGAGCCCCTGATCTGTCAAAGACCTCAGCATTTGGAACAGACAGTTGAACAGTTGTTGTACAATCAAAACAAAACCATTTATAAACTAACAAATTGGCACTTTTAAGTCTTTTGGATTCATTAGGCCAGTGTTGTATCAAGGCTATTGAATTGGCACTTGTGTTTGATGTGCAAATGGATAAATAATATATATTACATAATTTAATAGAAAGTATTTCAAATAAACGCACAGCAAAATCAATAGAAAACCATGTTGATACAGCACTGGCCTCAAAGCTCTGGCAACAGAAACAGACCAGGACACAAAGAGCTGGAATCCAACTGGTTCTACTTTAGTAAGTCCTCGTCCACGAGCGTGATGTTAAATGTGTTTTTAAAAGGCAGTGCTCGTCATGCTTCCAGGTGCAAACAGCCGTGGTATGTTGTCCTGTGACGTCTCAATGTGTCTGATGGCCATCTTCCCTTCTTCACCTGAATATTCACAACAAAACACTTAGTTCTTTCATACCAGTCCATCTAATAATCTCACAATATTATCATTATTATCATGCTGGTTTACCTAATACAAGTAAACACTGTTTGGCAGCTTCTGTGACATCATTCTTATCTGTCTGACAAAGATATACCAACTGCTCAATACTTTCCTTGGCCTGGAGAGAACAATAATAGAGTTAATATTGTATGAAAAAAAGTGTAAGATTCAATATTTTGTAATGTATTAACCTTTAAACAGGCCAGAGCTTTGCATCCACAGATTCTTGTTGCGACATTCTCATCTTCCAGCAGCTCCAGACAATTGACCAAGACCTAGGAGTATGTGAGAGTATCGATCACGTGTGCTTCCAGCTGTGCACAAGCAGATTCCCCGCCTCACACATTGACAGTCATACTATTTTTATAGATTTTTTTGTCGTCCCCCAACAATGATACAAGCAGTCTTTTGACAAAATGTATCACAACACACAAATAACACAACAATTTTATTTTGATGATTATGCTGTGGATCCATCATAAGACTTTTTCACTGCAAAAAGTGATGAAAAATGAATTAAAAATGTGGCTAAATATCTACATTTCTACCATTTTTATCTACAGTATCTTATTTAGAGCATATTTTGACTGCCTTAAATCTTGTTTTAAAAAGATACAAGAAATGTCTCTCTTGGAATTAGACAAAAAATGCAACAGTTCTTGAAATAAGGCTAAATGGTTTGTCCCATTTTAAGAAAGTCAGAATGTGCTCAAATTAAGATAAAAACCAATTGATTCAAGCAATTATAATCTAATATTTGATCATTTTTGCAGTGCTCTTTTTTTTTTTTAGCTTATGCCTTATACGGTTTCCAATTTTGTCTCTGTTTCATTTAAAAGCAATTCTGAACAAAAACTTGCCTAAAAAGGTTAACTTGAAATACTCTTCATCTCACCTGTTCCCGGAGTTTGGGTTGATTGGCCAGGCCCCTGAGAATTGAGCTGGCAGAAGCGGATACTTTTCCCCGTGGGTCTTTCAGCAGCTTGGCCACAGCATGAATGCCCTGTTTCTTCAGACTGGATTTGACCGGATTCCTCAGCACTTTCACAATCACATCTTGATTCAGCGATGCTAAGCTCTGCACGAGAAACACTGGAGAAAAAAGAACACAAAAAAACGTAATAATTAATGTGAAAGACTTGTAAAAGTAAAAAACAAATCAAACCATATCTTGCTGTCTTAATATGATAATAAAAAGTTATATTTTGCATAGATAGAAAGTAGTTTAGAAATGAGAAAAAGCCCATTGAGTCACTTTTTGACTCTTTTGACTGAGAGCTGATTGGCTGAGTGGGAGTAGTCCTCTCTTTTTCTGAAAGGCCAAAAACTATGCATGAGAGAGCGTAGGTTACTTATATAACTACGGTTCTATGAATCCCGGATTACCATCAGAGGACGGTGCATAGCACTGAATGTTCCCTGCGCATGCGTGAAGGGAACGAGGGATGAAATAGAACTGGTTTTGAGGAACAAGTTACAAGTTACTTACTAGTTGCTAAATGTATTATATAGTTAAACTTATTTATGATTTAAAATGTCAAAGCCTCTAACCGGAAATCCTCATACATTAATGGTGTTTTTTCCCTTTCAGATTCAAATCATTCTACACTGTTAATTAGTCGAAGACAATATCATGTTAAAGTGAGCGTACCTTCCTCAGCCAGCTCAGAAATATAGGTCTCCACATCAGTCACTCCATTAGACTCCAGATGGTTCCACCACTGAAACAACGTCACAATTGCTGCCTCTTTATTAAGATCTCGTTGTGGAAGTTTCTGATCCAGAACCTGCTCAGCCAAGGACTGAAACACTGGACAAATAGAAAAAAACATTGATTATGATCTCGTCTTGCCTTTCTTTATAATGATGGCTAAGTACAGTACCCATGTCGGCCACGGTGGACATCCTCTCTGGAAGGACACAGGAGTACAGAGCTGATAATGTGCTGAGAAAATCCTCCACAGAGACCCTGAACACAGAGCCCTGCTGGACACACTGCTGCCACACTGACACTGCTCCCTGAATGGGCCCCAGCTGAGGGATCACTGCAACATCAAGGCAAGACACAACATTTTACACTATTTTACCATTTATTTTACTATTTAAGATGATTTGGCAAAACTGAAAACGCATTATGTTTTACACATCAATCTTTTATTGACATTTGTTCATTTATTTCAAACATACTCGAGATATACAAACAATTAAAACACAGGGGAAGTTCAATCTGAAGAGAACAAAGACACAATTAATACATTAAAATGATTTATTTGTTTGGCGCATTGACCCCGGCAGTGACACTTGCAGCTATGAGATCGGTTGCAGCTGAAGATGATCTCAGATCCCCCGGGGTCAATCACTGGTGGTGGCTAAAAGCATGGTGTGAATGGGGCGTAACCAGAGCAGGAGCCAGAGCAGAAGCCAGAGCCAGAGCAGGAGCCGAGGGGGGTGCTGGGGAGGTGGTGGGTGTTTAGAGCTTTCAGGAAGCACTGTTTGTCAGGAAGTGGCTGCCTTTTAAACTGCCCACTTGGTGCCAGAGGGTTGGCAGGGGGCTGGCCGGGCTGTGTGATTGGCTGAGGCTCGAGGCTGGCAGAGCTGTGTGATTGGCTGAGGCGCGAGGCTGGCAGTGCTGTGAGATTGGCAGGCACTCGGTCTTTCAGTCTGAACATCCGCATGAGCTTCATAAAAACTGTGCATGGGATTGGTTGATGCAAAAAGCTTTTTTTTAAAGGTTATAGGAGAATTTTCCCAAATTAAAGGAAAGACCCGTCCTTTCCACTTTTTGAACAAAACTCTCTGGTCTTATTTGACGAGCAAGTATCACCAGAATAATTCACAATTGGGAGGACCAATAGTCTTGATGATTCACCCGGAAGTAAAAAATCCTCCTATATACCTCAAATCCAATGCCATTCCAGCCATTCAAACACATACTACAATACAATGCAAAATAAAAAAGAATCAAAACTTTACATTACCCTCAAACAAACATTACCCTCCAACAGAACACATGACAGCAAATGACACACACACACACACACACACACACACACACATTAACACACATCCTCTTACCCTCATTTGGCTGTTTGAAGCACTTTGGATTCTTTTTGACCACCCGTCTGATCATTTTGAAGATCTGAGCTTCACGAAGGAGCCGATCTAAGGCATACATCTCCCGGCAGCGGAGAGGACCAAATATACCAAGACACTGTGGAGCACATACAGAAATATCATATACTGGTAACTTTAAAAAATAAAGAATAAAAACACACAAACGTTTCTGTAAATTTGTTGTTTGTAACTGACTTGTATGTGTACTATTTTTGATAGTGATCCTGGTTGTGAAAGGCGCTATATAAATAAACTTTACTTACTTAGATTATCAATACTATCTGTAATGTTTTTATGTATTTATTTCATTGTTTATTTGGTTGGGACAGTACAATGTGTTGTTAACGAACACATCTCTCAAGATTGTAGCCTTGGACTGATTTGAATCCGTTGTCCCACAATCACGCTCACAAACTCAATCATTCTTAACTATTGTTCATGTTTTTAGTGGGGAAACCTGAGAAAACCTATGCAGACACAAGGAGAACATGCAAAACTCCACATAGAAATGCATCGTCTGGTGGAATCAAACCCAGGACCTTCTTTCTGATAACCACTGTGCCACTGCCCATGTTATTATTAGGCCATGTTATATATAGACCTTCTCACAACTGATTTCTTCTTGAGCTGAGTATAAAGGAATTTGGATAATCAAGTGTGAGACTGTGTTAATATTTACCAGCAGCTGTGCAGAACAATACTTGAGATGAGCCTCCAGACATTGGTCCAGACTGTTGCAGCCTGTGGTCAGTGGAGCCGAGAGTGTGGAGGGGCTGTCCCAACCTTTCCTCTGCAAATACCTATAATAATGTTGGAAAGAGTAAGGAATAGTTTTGTGGCTTTTCTCAACAAATATATAACACAAAATGTTCTGGATTCTAATCAGCCCATAAACAGCACTGTGTACCTGTCATTTTTACTCCTCCTCTCCCCCTCCTCTTCTTCACAGTCAGACATGTTCAGGAAATCAAAGCTGCCCAAAGCTGTTTCCACACTGAGGCTGACCAGACTGTTGGAGCGGCTGTGCCTACCGCCCTACACAAACACAAACACACAGGAGAGCAGATAAACTATGATCATTATCTCTGGCTGTGACTGCTTTGACAAGGGGTAAGAGGGACCCCTGCTGTCCAAATGTATTATTGTAAGAGAAAATGTAAGTCTGTCGAGGTTTTATGCTACATGTTACCATCGTTGGTATGAGATAAAATGTATAATGTGTCATCTGTGGATATCTTGTTACAGTTGTAAAAGGGTTTAGGCATTATAAGTCCCATCTTCAGCCTCGGTCAGGCCTTTATTTAGCACTAAAATTCTTAATATACACCCATATATATAACCCATTTTTTACTTATTGTAAAATGTATACAATCTTTGAAAATATGTGAACTGAGATCTAATGTACATAATGGCCGAAGAAACAAAAAACAAAAATACATAATTCTCATATTAATGGTATCTGTACAAGGGGATCATTACAATGGTAAAAATCATATGCTGTAAACAAATACAGATTGTTATCCTCACCTCCAGGGAAGTCTGTAGTAACTTGAGCTCTTGTTCCAGCAGCTGTAACTCAGGGAACTGCCCTCTGTAGTCATCGATAGACGACACAACGGCTCCAAGAGAATCTCCTAAAGCCTGAGCCAGTTCACCGTCCACTGCCTCCTCTTCATCATGCGACAAAACATCTGCATCCACTGCCTCCACTGCCTCCGCTGTCTCCGCTGTGTCCTCCTCCACTGACGCCCAGTGTGCCCTGTAGGTGACATCTGTCCCCTGAGGGCCCCTCTCACTGGGCTGTTCTGTTGACTCAATTGAAATGGTGGAGGCAAAAGGAAGAGAACATTCACTAGACTCTTGTGACGTTTCAGTGTTTGGTTTGCTTTGAGAAAGTTCAGGAGGAGTGTTGGACATTTCCACTTGGACGTCAGTAACAGAAATCCCACTTGTTATAGATGATTCGTCGATGAGTTCACAGAAGGGCTTGTCCGGCAGCAGCACGCCGTCAGCGCTGCCTTCACTGATTTGGCTCAGACATCTGGAGAAGTTTCGATTGGTCAGTGACCCGTCCAGAACAGTTATAGGCACCAGATCATCTTCTCTTTCTAATGTTGTTGTCACTGAGAGCTCCCCGTTATCCTTTGCCCTGTAAAGTAAGACATGACAACACATTATTCAAAGCAACACACACAATCTATGTCAGGGGTGTCAAACTCCTTTTGGTCGAGGGCTAAGTTTAAAAATATAAGAGCTGGTTGGGGCCAAAAGTATGAAAGTGGTTTATTTTTATTATCATTATTCTAATTTTTTGTGTGTATATTTTTGTATTTTGACTTTTGTTTTATTTGACATGTTTGGATATTATTTTCTAGTATGTTTGGATTCAATCAGAACTGGGCCAAATATGTAATTTGAATATTCAGACTTTCTAACGTAACTTCCAATTACATGTTAGGTAACATTTTTAGAACAGATTCAATGATATGGCTGTTTTGCTGAGAAAGCTTTAAAATGAAGTATAACATGCCATAGTATACAGTAACATTACCATCAATGCTGCAAGTTACTGTAATAGCAATAATTGAACATGTACATTTCTCCAGTGTGAGATCAATAAAGTCTATCTTATCTTATGTTAAAATCATTTCACGGGCCACTAAAAATGGTCTTGTGAGTTACCATTCATTACCATGAATCTGAAGAAAGCCCTACCTGCTGCCCTCTGCTGGTGGCACTGAGTCTGGGTCCTCACTGATGCTGCTGATGTTGTGTAAGGAGCTGTAGGTCGTAGGCGCTGGGTCCTCGGTGCACAGAGACAAGTTTGACTGGAGCGAAGATTTACGTTTCCTGACTGACTGGAGCTCTGGCGTTCTCGAAACTTTTGGAGTCGTGTCTTCATGCTGCGCCTGAGGAGACATTTTGTATGTAAAATGTAAGATTTATTTGTATAGCACATCATTTCATGCAAGAACCGTGGCTCAATGTGCGTCAGTATTTACAGTCTAAGGTTAAATCACAATAATATATTTTACAAGTGGAGGCATATTAAAAAGTCTGCAGAAAAGAAAGTTGGAACAGATGAGTTTAAACTTTCTAATCTGTTTACAAGGATTAGAGATTATCCACGACTAGAAAATCAATGTAGGTCTAGTCAAGCAAAACATAAATAAGCGTATGAACTTGGCTGAGTAGAATATATTGATTTGTCGTGTGTGGATATACCTTGTGTTCAGAGAGTTTTAAGCAGGCTGGAAGCTGTGGGCTGGATGAATCGTCAGACGACTCAGAGGAATTCGACCACGCTCTTCCATTGTCCATCTCTTCGTGACGACGCAGCATATTCTGAGAAGACGGAAAGAAAATGTATAAAATATAGAGTAAAAATGATCTTTAGACAACTATATAGAAAGTGTAGAAGCCTGTTATATGCACTACCACAGCAACCAAGACAAAAGTAGGCTCTAGGTTGGGCCATGTTTATGTCAAGCTACTTACTACTACTTACTCCTACTCCTTCTACTCCTACTACTACTAATACTACTACCCAAGAGACAGTTTGGATATCGCAAACGAAATAGGTTTGGCATCACAACATAGTTCAAATAGAATTTTATCCACATCCCACTGGGTCGTCGCGCTCCCTATGGACCCATGTTTCCTATGTGTTTGTTATTATTGCATTTCCTGTGTTCAAACGGTTAGATTCTACAGTATAATTTTTGTTGGACAATTGACAACTTTGTAAAGTCCTCCGAGATGACTGCTGTTGTGATTTAGGGTTTTACAAAAATACATTCACAGCAAAAAGTGAAAATATAGACTAGTGTAATTCAATTGATTTCAGTGTATTTATCTAATCAGACCGTGTTTTGGACTTATTTACTCATGCAGGCTGAAGATACTTAAGATAATATAACTTGTTATGATTTCTTGAAACAAGAAAATAAAAACATTACTAACAAGTTGAAAAATCAGGATCCACTGGCAGATAATTTTGCATGATTTAGCAGGGTTGAATTGAACTGAAATTGAAATGACATCCACAAACATTTCTAGGGACTAGGACTAGGGTCTGCTCAGGTGCTTTCTTTCACGCTACTACTTTCACTACACAGTTTCTAGCAGACTTACGACCAGAGGCTGTCTTGTTGGCGAGCTCTCACTACAGGAGCAGCTGTGAGTAAGTGTGTCTCTGAAAATGTCCAGCAGTGGCCAGTGCTGTCGACTGGTCAGACTCCGAGGCAGAGACTAAAGCAGAACAGTGGCCCCCATTGAAACAAAGGCAACAGGAAAGTCAGAGGAAGCTGCCCTTCACAAGTGCTTTAAATATATATCTATAAACTTTGCTTTGGCGTGTGTCCTGTTTAAATGAACGCTTAGCTAATGTGCCATATATGTGCTGATTCAAGATGGCATACCAAACATTGTACATAAATAATACTAATATCAAATAAGTCCATGTAACTAGTTCCTATAACTCTCAAAACAGTTTAGTTATATCATAGTTTTCACATGCATGCATTATTTATCACATTATTACATAAAAAAAGAAAAAGAAGGCACCAACCATTACCCACTGACTCACAATATCAAACTTAATATCTTCTATTAACCTGCTGCAAATATTATTGTTTATTCTGGTCCAGAGCTTCATTCTCTTCTATTTTATTATCTTGTTACTTATTATTTTATTATTTTAATTCTAATATTTATTATCACCGCCATCAGACAATGACCTGCACGAGGACTGATAAACCAGCACTGTTAATGCCATAATTATATCCCACACTATATTGTTAACCTTTAAAATGTTGCACACTTAATGTCTTTTGCATAATCTGAGTGATTCTATCTATGCCAAATGTGATATGTAATGTTTCTCCATTGTGAGATCAATAAAGTTTATCAATAAAGTGTGCTATCTGAGTATTATTTCCTGCTTTTTTTCTGCGGTAATGTGCTTTAAATACACCCTTTAAAGACAGGAAAATGTAAGTGTGACTGAATAGATTGACTAAAGAACTTACATAAAAAGCTTGCTCCCGCAGAGATGGAGTATCAGGAGGGCTCTGGTTGAAAATGGTGGAGAACCTCTTTGTGACGGATGGAGCTTTGTTTACGCTGGTCGACAATGACACCTGCTCGTCTTTATCGAACGGGCTGAAGAGAGCAAATAAGTTACTCCGACTATGTCTATAATAACTGTATGCATTTGAAGGAAGTGGGATGAGGAACACTTACTTCCAGGTAACTTCTAGGTTTAACTTAATAGTCCCAAGGTCGTTAATATCCACAGCTACAGTTTGAGGTAAAGCAGCAAAAAGGTCTTTGGTTTCACAGGAGATACTGCCCACGACTACATGATTGGTCAAACCCTTCAGCTCGGTCACCTGGACATGCAAACCACATCGTTTTCACTTTTAATGTAATATTTGAATGTAATATTTGATCTTTCGGCTTACCTTGACAGAGAGAAATTCATTGATGAGTGGCTGAAACACCATTTCATCACTGTCCCACACCTGCCCAGAGTTCGCTTCAATTTTGCCTCGTAGCTTCCATCTTTGTCGGCCATATCTCATGAAAATCTGCCAAAAAAAGTGGCCTGTGAATACACTTTAATCTTTGAAAAGAGAAAAAACATGCGGCTTACCTCGTATTGGTCGCCGGCACATAGTCTTGCGAACCCGGCCAGCCCTAGAGAAGTGGCAGTCGTTTGTGTTTTAATGTTAAACTAGAATTGTTCAATCTAATCTCGCGGTTTTTTTTCTCACCTTTCATCTTTATGTGAAATTCTCCCAGGTGGTTTTCTAAGTCACTCTCCAGCACGCACATGTTCTATAAGCACCAAATCAAACGGGCTTGAATAAGGACAGTGGTGATGAGCCAGGACACTCGACATTCAATTCATGTCAACTTGATCAATACATTATCAACATTTAAAACTACCTTAAAATGTGAAATAATTCATTCATACTTTGCTTTAAAAATAATAATAATAATTTTAAAAAGTGAACAAAAATATATATATATACATTGTTCTAGCAAATATGTATTTTCAAGTTTGAAATCAGTAATATGTATTTTATTTTATTTTTCACATAGTTGTTGTGTTTAAATAGCTAATAAGCTGTATGTGAAGTGTCAGGATGGGCTTACATACGCAAGTTTCTTCAGCTCAATCCTTTTTTTGGGTTGTAATAAGTGTAATCTGTTTTTAATCTGACAATTGACCAAAGTAAATACATTCATTCTTTCAACAAAATGAATAGACATTTATCAACACTTATGGACATTGGTCATCTGCCCCTTATGGACCAATACCAATGTGTTTTCTGTTTGATTCTCTGATCTGTGTTGGCAAAATTCGATGGTTTTGCAAAGTCCTCAGAGATAACTGCTGTTGTGATTTAGGGCTATACAAGTAAGTATAGGTTGAATTGAATTGAATTGAAGTTAGCTGAATGAGAACTATGGATGTGTTGTGTTGCTGCATCACCTCTGTGCATTCCTTGTAGCTTTTATTGGCCTCCGCTAGACTCTCCCGCGCTTCCTTACTGCTCGGCGACACCATAAACGCCTTCGTCATTTTATTGGCACCATCCCGCAGTCTCCGTTGTAAGCAGTAGGCCTCATACAACTCTTCGACCTTGATTCAAAATACATTGTAGAGAATGACAACAATGCATGTCAAAGTGATGAGGTTACTTGGAGGTTTTGTGGAAATATAACGTGATAAATAAATAGAATAAATAAATGAAAAAAAAAAGAATAAATAAAATAAATAAAATAAATAAAATAAATAAAATAAATAAAATAAATAAAATAAATAAAATAAATAAAATAAATAAAATTAAATAAATGAAATAAATAAAATATATTGTTATTATTATTATTTGAAGATAATGATATTTTTCTTACTTTACTAAGGTGAAACTCCAAGCGCCGAATCAATCTCTCCGTGACTTTTACTTGCTGAGGGAAAAAACATGATTTCTTTAAAGGTGCACTCGCTAACTGGTCTGGATGAGGCGACCCCACCTGCTTGTCTACAATGAGATGCAAGTACTATGTAGAGAATGTCCCACCATATGACAAACTAAACAGGAAACTTTAATAGAGCAGCTCCATACTGTAGCAGACACTGGCCCAAACAATCTCTGACCCTACACCTCTCTCCTAATACACTTCCTTTCCTCTACGTACTTCTTCAGTACTTATTTTGGATCTAAATTGTATAAGACTTGGTAGTGTTTTTATTTCTTCTGTTAAAGTGATTGTCTGCAGTTTGTCAGAAAGATAGAGAGAGGTACTTGATTTGAAAAAAACGACGCAAGCTCCCTCCCCCTTCCTCTCTGATTGGTCTACACCTACGTTTCTGTAACACGTTTAAATGTTAATCAGAGAACACATTATACATATACATTATTAATACACATGCACGGAGGTTTTCAGAATTCTTTGTAAACGTTTTCATGGAAAAAATTAATGTTTTAATGCACCAAAAAAACGATCGCAGCAAACCCGGAAGTAGCTATTATCATGAATTGAACATTATAGGACACATCTGCAGAGGATCTGATTATGGATATAGGTTCAGTATATAAATGGGTAACTCAGCGCGGATGTTCAGAATTCTTTGTTCAGTTTTCATGTAGTTCCAGAGCCTAATAGAGGCTTGATTCGGAGGCTCCGCAAAAACAAACAACTGAGCATGCGCTCAGCTACGAGCATCAGCGCGATGATTGACAGCCCTTGGCATGACTCGATTGGTTAACGTGGACGGCATCGTGGATTCTGAGCCATAGCTAAGAGGAGGGAAGGCGGGACTTACCTGTAATATTAGAATTAATGAAATTACTTATTTTATATCAACATTTAAGGCCAGGAGGTCAATTTAATACAATTCTTAAAATTTGTAATTCATTTAGAGTTACAGACTATCACTTTAAGGTTGTTCCAAAGAGCACTAAAAAGACCTCAACAAAATCTTGGTATTTCATCCTGGGCTGAGGTAAATATTCACATTTTGATGATCAAGAACTGTAATTTAAGTTCTCCTAAATCTATGAACAAGGGATAAGAATTGTGTCTATAGTGACCAGTAGGTGGGGAACCATCCGTCCATAATGTTACAACAACTAAACCCTTAAGAATCTTACCTTGTCTAGTTCATAGAGAAAGCCCTGGTGAAACAAAAACATCAGTCAAATACAGACATCTATATTATTCAGAAAGCACTGTGAAAAAGCAACATGAAGACAAATTATATGAAGCATACAATTGGTGTTTATCACTGTTCACTGTTTATCATTAATGTAAGTCAATATACTATAAAGAGGAATACCACCCAATACCCAAAATATGAAATTGCTTGAGGCCCATTCCTAAATAGAGCTGGAGTTTTACCATTAACTACAGGGAGGTACAACAGTGATAAGAGTAAACCTTTTACCAGAATGTGAGTGTGAGAGTTTACCTACAGCCTGCTTCCCATAACACTGCAAATACAGTGTCCCTTTGTATTCCGCACACCAAGTATATTCTCATTCAGAGCTGTTTTCAGATGTCTCTTGTTATGTATTGAGTCTAAATGATTTGTATGATGTGGAGTTCAGGCAGTACCAGTCGGGAATTCCTTTTGGATGTCCTCATTTCTCTGCTGAGGCTGTCCATGTCCATCTGATGGACCTGGAGATAGGAGCTGTAAGAGGAACGGCACGTCATTACAAAAGATAGAGAACATGAGTTGATTATTGAAAATGTGTTTATAATGACTTCACTTTTGATGTTGACTTTATATGTTCTACAAAAATATACACCTAAAACTAAATTACACTTTATTTAGTAAATACTTTGTTGAGCAAGTTTGTAATATTTATTTATATACCGCATTTCACAGATATTTTAGAACAGATATTTTTCTATTCACTCCACACACAGTGATGACAGAAGCAAGACACCGAACACACTGCCACATCAAAGCCACAGACAAACACCATCCATTCACTCACTCAGTTACATTCATGTCATTGTACATTTGTTTGTTTATTTATTTGGAGGATAAGCCCCTAGAGATGAAACATCTCGTTTTCGAGGGGGTCCTCAAAATTGCACAAAATGACAGATGCAGTAAGGCAGACAGTAGAGCAAACAATATAACAAAATTCATAAAAAATAATACAAACACAAAGACAAAGGACACATAAAAACACACTCTCACACACACACACACACACACTGATTGTTTCTGATATAACGTCTGTTATAAATTAACAGAGATTACAGCTAGTATCCATAGTAGTACATATCACTGAATATAATGTAGGTGCATATGCTCAATAACATTGGCATGGGTTCTGGAGGTATTGGACCAAAGCATTCTTAAACAGAGGCAGAGAAGTGAGAGCGCGGATGGATGAAGGTAAACTGTTCCAGTCGGAAGGAGCTTTAAATTTGAACGAATGTTTTCCTACTTCTTTCTTAACTCTTGGGACAACAAAGAAACATTGGTTTGCATGGCGCAAACTGTAAGTGGATCGCAGAGGAGTCAAATATTGTTTTAAATAGTCTGGAAAACTTAAATTGATACATTTAAAAATAAACAGCAGCCAGTGAAGCTGACGTCTGGAGGACAGAGAGAGCCACGATAACTGCTCGTACAGAAGACAGTGGTGGGTCCTAAAGGGACAGCGGAGAATGAACCTGCACAGGCTGTTGTATGTGACATTCAGAGGCTGGAGGATGGAGGCTGAAGTGTTCTGATAAATGATGTCACTGTAATCAAGAATAGGAAGGATCAACTGTGAAATAATTCTTTTCCTAACTGAAAAACTGAAGCAATTAATTGAATGATAAAGTAATTTTAGACGATATGAAATTTTGTTTGAGATTCTCTGTATGTGTTTGTTAAAGGAGAGTGAGGTGTCAAGCCATAAACCAAGGTATTTAAACTGATCAACAATTGGGAGTGGTGACTTGTCTAAAAACAGAAGATTAATTTCATTTGTAGAAATGGGACGAACTCGTTTCTGGAACAACATAAAATTGGATTTGGATTTATTGAGTAAAAGTTTGTTTGATTGTAGCCAGAGTTGAACTGAATTGAAATCAACTTGAAGAGAATTTTGAATGTCAGTAATATTTGATTTAGAGCAATAAATTACTGTGTCATCAGCGTAAAGCTGTACATTACAGTCGTTGCATGTGAGAGGCAGATCATTTATAAAAATGGAAAATAATAGTGGCCCAAGTGAAGAGCCTTGTGGCACACCTCTCTCAATACAAGAGAAACCGGAATAGCTGCCTTTGTAAAAGACACATTGCTGTCTGTGATGAAGGTAGGAGTTGAACCAGAGAAGTGAGGACCTGTCCAGACCGACTGAGTGGAGTTTGTCTAAAAGGAGATAGTGATCGACCATATCAAAAGCTTTTGTTAAATCAATAAATAAAGCACCAGTGAGCAGGTTATTGTCAAAACCAGAAATAATATCATTTGTGAATTTTAATAATGCAGATGTGGTTGAAAAATGTTTTCTAAATCCAGATTGAAATGGAGAGAGGAGATTATTGGTTGATAGATATTGAGACAGTTGATTAAACACAATTTTTTCATATACTTTGACAATACTATTGATGATAGAGATGGGTCTGTAGTTATTTATATTATTTGAGTCACCACCTTTGTGGATGGGGATGACCTTTGCACATTTCCAGGCGGAGGGAACTTCACATGTTTGAAAAGATAAATTAAAGAGATCTGCCAAAGGAAAACAAAGAACATGAGATGCAAGCTTGATGAACTTGGTCTCGATGCCGTCTGGACCAGCACTGCAAGGGGATAACCCATTTAAAATCTGCTCTACTACAGCTGGGCTTACCCGTCTAAATGAAAAACTACTGTCAGGGGTAACATAACAAGGAGAAACTGAAGAAAGTGGAGGAGGTTGGACCTGAGGCAAATGAGAGAAATGTAAATTAAAGGCATTTGCAATAGTATCGGGATCATTTGTAATAATATCATTAATAAGCATATTAGAAGATTCAGAATTAATTTTACCTGATAAATGGTTGATGTGCTTCCAGAACTTTTTAGGATTTTTAAAGTTATTTGTTAAATTATTGTTATGATAATTAGATTTAGCATTTCTAGTCTGAGTGGTACAGATATTTCGCAAACGTCTATATTCCTCCCAGTCTGCAGCATGTTTTAGGGGGAGGGGAAACTGCAGCAACCGGAGGAAACCTACACAAACACGAGGAGAAAATGCAAACTCTACAGTCTGCAAGCAGGTCTGAGGTTAGAATCAAACCCAGGGCTGTCTGGCTGTGAAGCACAAGCTTTATGCCCCCGTGCCGACCTCTGTGTCTTTTACAATCAATCAATACCTGTTTTTGAGACAAAGGCAGTATATGCTAAGTGCTTGTAGTGGTGAAACTTGCACAAGATGTGCTAAACTCAAAAGAATAGTGGGTAGCATAACAATAAAAGGACATCAAATTTTAAAAGTTGTTACTGTACTTGCCATCAGCCTGAATGCACAGATAAAAGTTGTGCTACCCACTCAACACTTTTTAACAAAAGCAGTGAAGTATTACCCAAAAGAACTAAAGGTTATTTAGATACCGAGGTCCACTAAGACTTTGCACTCACTGTATTCCTGTTTTGAGCGCCTCATAGACCTCGTCTGTCCGTTCCGGCTGAGGGGTTCTGGGCGGGGGGTTGGACGACATAGTAAACAGTCTACTAGCCCTGCTGGGCTTTCTCCTCAGACCTGGAGTAGAGTACACCGACAAGGGCCTGAAACAATATGTTGATCGTGTAAATAGGAAACATTGTAACATGAGTATAGTATTAGCATAAACATACCTGGATTTGTCATGAGTGTTGACTCCAGTGAAGCTGTGGCTCCTAGAGATGGACTTGAGGGCCCTGACTGGACGCACAGAGAGTGACATGGTGGACAGGGTTCTGGAGGGGCCGCCTGCACACACAGCACAGGTGTCACGGTCACTGACTGAACAATTAGACATTACCAAAACAGGCTGTCATCCTGCCTCTGGTGGTAGGAAGACAGCGCCAAAAACTGTGACAAAACAGCTGACACGACACAGCACAGGAACATCACGAGACCACCCTGAGGAAGACTGCGCACCAGCAGTCAAAGCTGTCAGCTACAAAAACACTTCTCTTAGCAAAAGAATTCTGTTTGTTTTCAGTTTATTTATTTATTTCATACATCTCTGACAACCCTGACAACCTCAGGCACCAAGAAAGAAATACAGTAAAAATAAGGTCTGAAAAAGGAATAGGCAGAAGCTAAAACTTATAGACGCCTACCCAGAATCAACTTTTAGAATATCAAAACAACTTAAATGTGGTAGACTAAAAGGTTAGAAATTGGTCTTTCTAATACAAAAAGATTTAGCAAAACCGCAACTACCCAAAGACAACAAAGTTGTCAGCATTTTTCATGACTGATACAGAAGAAAGCAGTACAAGGTGAGTTTCTAAGCCTAGGCCCAGACAAAAGTAACCCAAAAGATACTAATTCAGTACATCAATATTCAGGTGGAGATTTTCTTCCGAGCAACAGAAGATATATGGATGAGTCATGGAATAACATTTACGATCAAAACTTCCAACAGAACATGTGACAATTCAGAACTTTGACTCAGTTGAGACTCTCCAGTTTCCTGTATCCTTTTCCTCTAAACAGCTGGCTGCAGAAACACCAACACCCTCTCCACAAGAGAGGAAACACGCTACAGGAAGTTAGATGCAACCCAGTCTGTGCACGGGAAATTGAACAAAAGAGATAGTCCTGGGGCAGCAGCAACCTGGCACCAAAGGGTCACTTCTGTTAATAGTTCAGCCTCTCATTTCTATAAATGTGCAAAAAAGACACTTGGAATAATAATAATTATCAATAATAGTCATAATAATAAACAGTAAATATAAAAAACAATACAAATCTGTGTGTCATTTTTAATAAGTAAAGTGGATATCAAAATGTAAAAGTTTCCCCTATGTCTGAAAAGTTACTTTGCAAAAAGTTTGTAAAAGTTATATTCCTCCATCTTCAACATTTTTTGTTATTGGCAGTAAATTTGAAAGAATGTGCTCAAGCGAAAGGGCACTTTGTTTGGCAATAAAATATTAAATTTTGTATAGCCCGCCTAAATCCCAACAGTAGTTATCTCTGAGGACTTTACAAAGCTGTGGATTCACCAACACAGATCAGAGGATCAATTCAAACACAGGAAAGTGAATGATAAAAAACAGATCGAGCCCTTGGTCCATAAGGGGTCCATAATGTTGATAAAGGCCTTAAATGTCATTGGATGTTGAGTATCCTTGATCATCATCACTGTCCTTAGACCCTCCTGTATGGGTAAGAAAAAACTCTAAAAACCCAGAGGAAAAGGGCAAATAATATATATATATTTTTTTTCTCAGGCAGAATAGTAAGCCTTTCAAATATTTTTCTAATGGCACGTTTCTTTTTTTCCAAATGAACCAATCAAAACAACAACAATACGTTTGGCTTGACTTAAACACTAACCTTTATGAGAAAAAGTAATTTTTTTGTAGAAAAATGGCAATGGCAGACAGCACATCTCTCCATTTGTCCCTGTGGAATAGTGTCACCTCTGAGCAGAGCAGGCTCCAGAGCAGCTTAATGATACCGTCCCATGAGTCTGAGCAATGCACAAAGAGCCATGCTGCAGCTCTACTGTATGTGGTCATGTGACTTCACTCATTGTTTGGCTCTGTTAGTTCCCAGACTATTCTGGAAAAGGCTCTGAATCCAAACAATCCAATATTTTAGGTTAAAAAGATCAAACTTGGATCATTGTCTGACTGCTTGTATAAAAGATAGTAACTCTGACATGAGAGTAAAACAATTTATGTGCATCAGTGGAATGGAAAGGAATTGACTAAAAGAGGTCAAATTCACAACAAAGAGCTCATGCAAATATGTGGGGGCCCCATAACAAAAAGTTAGACCATGCAGCCAAGTTTGGAAACATCATTTGCCATCATGTATTCACAAGTGTCAGCTCTGGCACGAGTGAGACTGCCCTCTTGTTGATCTGTCTCACACATCCAGAATAAATAAACATTATGTTTTTCATGGCTGAAGCGAAGGGAAGAGCGACTCGGGGATGGACCCTCAGTGTGAGGTGGAGTGTGTAATAATGGGTAATATTGTTTTTCAATTATTGGCTACGGAACAAAAGTTCAAATGTGGAAATTTAAGACAATGAAGTAATACAAATTGCTAAGTGATTAAAAACAGGGTAAAAAGTCAACACGGTTTACATTTTCAAATTAACTGTAAGATGGTGGGCCTTGGGGCGACAGTAGCTCAGTTGGTAGTGCACTGGTCTTTGGACCTAATGGTCGTGGGTTCGATCCCACCACGACCCGTGTCAACTGCTCCCATTGATGTCTGCTGTCGTTGTGTCCCTGGGCAAGACACTTAACCCCAATGTGCCTGAAGTCCCCGCTGAAAGACCAAGGCTGCATCTGTGTCAAAGGAGCAGCCATCTTCCCGTGGACCCACCACCTGCAGGAAGATCAGCAAGGGACTGGTGCTATGTGAATTGGGTGGCAGTTCTGATTGCCAACCCCCCTGACCCAGAAATGGAAAATAAAGGGATGTAAATGAAATTAAATGAAATGGTCGGCCTTCAGTCTATCTGACCCCTTTATTGGTGGTGGTCGGAAGGGCCGATGGCACATACTGATTTCCTCGTTTCTGACAGTGTGCTCCAGGGCAGCTGTGGCTACAGAATCACCACCGTGTATGGAGTGAATGAATAATGACATGTGAAGCGTCTTTGAGTGTCTAAAACCGATGCATCAGGTTGTGGGTTGAACCCTTGCTGACCTGAGCTTTCCTGTGTGGAGTTTGCATGTTTCCTCTAAGGTTTTCCCCTCAACATGCAGCAGTACGAATATGGAGCGAGGGAGTGGTGGTGGCGGTCGGAGATGGCACAGACTTGCAGCCGTCCGTCACCACTAAGAGTGGAGTGAGAGAACAGTGACTTTAGTGTAGCTCTTTTCAGACTTTGATGAGACTGTACACTATGTTATCTACCTTTTGGTGCCATATATTGTCAAATAATTGTGTTTTGTATTTTCTTCTATTCCAGTTTATGCAAAGTGGCCCAGGAATGTATGGGAACTGGAAGAGTTTCTGCCTGGAAAGAATGAGCAGCTTTACCATCACAGAGGATAAAGGACTTCATCCTCAACTACCACAAAAGACGGCAAGCTGTCATAGATGTTAAAGGGCAACACACGTTACTGAGAACTGGGGGATGGAAACTTTTAATCAGGGCCATTTGAGTAGTTTTTGTTGTCACTATAATTTGACCATTTAAAACCTGTTTATTTGACTAATTTGATTGCGTTATTCATAATCTCCAAAATATTGCCAAAACAAATAAATAGAAATTGGACTATTTTATCCAAAAGGTTACTTACAAGCTTTAGTTTTCTAGTTTGATGTCATGCCTGTGATGCTGTCATCCTCTGGGTCACAAGCTCCAACACAACAGAAAGTGCATCAACCATTTAAAGACAGTATGGGATTGTGGGATTGTACAAAAAATTAAACGACCATAGTAAGGTCCAAGTTAAGATTACATTGTGTGGCTGAAATGACACAAAACACAATCTGCGTTCATGTTAATGATTCTAAATATGTAACCAGCATTTCGATTTTGGAGCTGTCTTTAACAGACAAATGCCAGGAGGGAGTGACTTCCTGACAAAATGTCCTTAACAAAGCCGAATCAAAGGGACAATGGGAAAATGTGTGTATGAAATCAGTATCCAAGAAATGCATCACCCTTTTTGTCTAGTAAGCCAGGGGGGGGGTGTTATTAAACTTTTCCAAGCCCTCGATCCACAAACCAAACATTATTTTGCAATTGTGACAAACTAGTGACTGCGCTACATGAGCCAACTAGTGTCTGTAAGTGGTCTGAGGTTTTGTAGTATCTTTATTTACATTGTGCCAAAAAATAGCCATTTACAAGCTGGACAATTTATTCCAGACTGATACTCCTCCCCTAAAGTATACAGCACTCAATAAATACAGAATTACAACAGAACCTAAATCACCTCTCAACATTCTCCAACACATGTTTCTTTCCTGGGCTCTGAATGTGGAGAATTTCACATCTTCCCAGGCCCGCTCTTCCTCTTATCTAGGGTTAGGGTCAGTTTGAAAGATACAAAAATGAGCACATACCTTTACTTCCACTGTACATGGCTGTGACGGAGGTCTACGATAAATTACTCAAAAATAATCCTCTTCCCATCCAACCGTAACAGCTCACCTTGCCCTGCCTAAATGTTCCACTATTTCTCGCTCAAACATGGTACATTCAAAGTAAAGGTTCTTAATGTGGGTTTTTTACGCATCTCTCCTGCAGCAGGTTGGTCTGTGCAGTCCACTTACACAGATAAGCAACTTAGAGTGGGCTGAAGGAAACGGGAAAGCCACCCCCCTGATCTTCCATGGGTTTTCCTGCCCCTCCTTCTTCCTGTTACATCAACATATTGTCTATAGCCTAACACACACAGGCCCAAAGCACTTCAATAGTTTTTATTTTTGAACCGCGACCCAGTGATATAGTAGATTAGGGCTGCAACAAGTTCACCAATTCATTGCAGCAAATCAATCATTGAAATAGTTGTCAATTCCTTTAGTAATCAATAAATTGCATGTAAAACCTTCCATAAACTTAAAAAGGCTGAGAAAAGGTTTTGTGACTCAGTAAAGTCTATAATGACAGCAAATAAAATGTGTTCATAAAGCAGCATTAATCAAACAACCCAATGTGTAACAAGTCACCTCTATGAGCTTTGTTTTGGAGAATTTTTTTTAGAAAAAAATCCCAATATTCAATTGATTATCAAAATAATCGTTAGTTACAGCTCTATACAAGTGATATGTCACTAATAAGGCATTCTGTTAGTCAGTGTGTCTTTTCTACAGGGTAAAATGTGTCACATGCAATTATGACCTGCGTGTCTTATAATTGTAAGACACATTTTGCCCTGACAAATACGCATTGGAATTTAAGTCCATGATTTCAATAAAGTATGTTCTCATTAACTTTCAAATGCCTCAGATCCATTGCTTTGCCACCCGTCACAGTTTGTGGCTTTGACCTGCTTCCCTAAGTTTATTGGCTTTATCTATGAAGAGCACCCGAGTCACTGATATACTGTGTATTTTCACCTCTACGCTCTAGCAGCACCTGAATCCTTCACCTAAAGCCGTATGATTTTTTAAATTAAAATATCTCAAAAGCAAAAATAAACAATGATATGTTTTGTGGTGATCTATGAAGCCTTTTCCTCCACGATACAGAGGACATCCATCCATTGCAGGTGTTTTTCTGTGTTTGAGGACATCTATCAGAATCATTCTATTTCTGAACAGAAATAGCCATGCACTGCCATTCAGAAGTCAAATTAATATGACTAATAAACATACTTTCCTTTAATTTGCTGCTTATTAAAACAAGAAATGACAGTTAATTATTTGTTAATGTATACAACTTTATATGAGACTCTTTTCACCTGATAAACTGAAGAAAAAACTGATTTCTAAATTAAATCAATGATTATGATTGCCCAGTATTTCAAAGGCCATGAATTGGTGTGCGGACTGTGGACCCCTATGAAGTTGAGACTTTCCTGTTAATCTCCAGCTGGCCAATAAGCAGCTTAACTGTCATTGGAGTGCACCAGGCTAATGACCGGCCAACCCGGCTAAGATGCTTCAAAGTGCACATGCACTGTTTGGGTCTCGGCCTAATCAATTAATGCACATGGTAAATTCTATGAATATTCCTTCTGCGCTGCTATCGCAACTTCCTGACTGAAGACTAAAGTCATCCTAAGACATAATTACAAATAGCTGTTGAATCAAATGTATTTATATAAGTAACTAAGGAGCATAAAACCAGGCCGAACAGCACCCAAACCAAGGTGTTTGAAAATTATTGCATAATCTAATATTTTCATTTTAGACCCAATATATGCCTGTGAATAACATGTCATTAACAATGCCCAAATGTAATAAATCAAATAAAATGACTATGGTAATGAGAATGACTTTACCTCTGATCTGATTTGTGTTAATGAAACATGAATATTGCCATTGCTGTGTACTTGTACTTGTAATTGGTAATTGGTAATTGGTAATTGGTACTCACCGATTACATTCCAGTATGAGTACTGTAACATACAACGCAGTGGAAAAAAGGCATTTGAGCTTCTCCTGGTGCATTAGGTTCCTTGCAGGGCATTTATAATAATTTGCTATATCAAACGTCTTATATGCTTTGGTTTTTTGTTTGATGACCCATTGTGTAAAAAAAATAAAAAATAAAAGCATATGGACCAGATGTGAGCCAGTTCCTGACTATTCCTCTAAAATGGAACATTGTTTTGACTTTACATTTCCAAGAAACACGGTGATATTCCACCATCAGAAAGCCATGTTTAGTTTTTTTCTGTCAATTTATTCAGGATTAAGTCAATGGTAGTTAAGCCACAGGTGATAGTGTATGTGCTTTGTTTTGATATGTAAACGGTCCAAATGTATTTATTTTGTGGCACAGTAATCAGTTCTCTTGGCTGGGATGAAGGCGGCCAAAAATTTTTTGCTACGAGTTGGAAGGCAAATTATATACATGTGTATCTATACGAAAGCATTTTTTATTCACAACCCAATAGCAATAACATGTCATCTTTATGACAATGTTCTCTAGATGCTAATTCACTTGTTGCTGATGTCAATAATCGTTCATTATCGTTCAGGCCTATACTAGAGATAATGAGATGCTCTATGTGATATGCCACTAAACTAATTCAGTTAGTCAGTCTGTCTTTTCTACAGGGAAAAATATGTCACATACAATAATAAGTTGTGTGTCTTATTATTGTGAGACACATTTCGCCCTGACAAAATGCGTCTAGGCTAAACCTACCCTAACCTTACCCTAAACCTAACCCTAGACATATACGTGCATACATTTTAAAAACATATTTAGGATAATAATACATGCACGCATCTGCTCGCGGCACTTTCTTTTGGATAGCCTAAATTGTATGATTGTACACAAAGGCCTACCACCATACTTTGATTTTTGGAAAAGTAACTCATTATTACAAAAAGGAAAATAAACTTTATTCTGAATGCGTGCTGTCTCATTATGCTGAACACGCAATTACTCTTACGAACTTCTTTATTCTACATTTCAATGACTTCAGCATTCATAATCAGTAAACAACAGGCTAAAATATCCGAATGCTTAAAACATACATATCAAGTGTTTAAAATAAAACTCACATAGTAAAGTGCGGTGTCGCTGCTCCTCCTGAGTCCTCCAAAGCCTCCGCTGACAGCAGGGACTACAGCAGTCTCTGAGCTGTCCTCAGATCTGCCTATAACCCCAGACCCACATGATCGTCTACCTTTGGATGCTTCACTGGAGGGACGCTTTTTCCACTTCGGCTCATGAGTTGACCGCTTGTCGCCGAGACTATACATATTTTTTAAATTAACTACTATTTATGATATATTCTTTGAAAAATTGCATGTATTTGATAAAGGTTAAAAAATATAGCTTAGAACTAACAAAATCTATGATTTTAGGATTGAAAACTATCCCTACCCTGCCATATTTCAGCATATTATACTAAAATTATGCGGGCATAAGGGGCAGAGTAAAGTGTATTGCATATTGCTGCCACCTAGTGGTGATCAATCGCCAGTCTATGGTGCAAACTCTGGTGCAAACTATTTCGAGAATCTCAGTCTAGGATTTACATTCTATTTCAGATTGTCTCGTTGAGAACTTATCTCATCACTCACAGATCCTCACCCTGTCGCAGCTCTGATACTGGAGAAAAAAAATATATATATATACCTGGCCTGTTCAAAGGAAAATAACATAAACATATGGAATTCAAATTGGACAAATCAACCAAAAATTGTCAACACAAGTGTTGATGTTTGGATATTCCCGTCAATCTTTCCTTCACCTGAATAAAGTAGGCTATATTGTATACAGCAAACGTTATGTGAAAGTGCTTGAATGAAAACAGTAGTTAGTTAATGCTGAGGATAATATAACAGATCCATGTGTGGGCTGTGCTGAGGATTCAGTGGAGGTGAGAAGCGGGTGATAAATGACTTGAGCGTGCTCTGGAGGAGCCCCCTCCTGGCCAATCAGGACAGTGCAGTAGTTTCGACACCACCCCCCAGCGGCCGCACAGGCGCACTGAGCCACACTGCCATTTTGTGCACACAATACTCTCCTAAAGCGGGAGAAGGATTAAAAACTAAGTGCGGAGAGCCTCGCATCTGCCCCGGACACCCAAACTTTTTGGTACAGTGGCCACACTTTCATCTACGGGTGGTCGGAACAACAACCGACGACAAGAGGTAAAGTGTCACTACTTTGGGGAGAAGCAATGGGGAGTTTGCAGGATCTTTAATCGGCCTCTAGGTGTCATGATGGGGCTCTAGGTCCAGGAGCCGCCGAGGAGTGTTTGTCTCCCTCTATCGTTTTCGAAAAATCGGCCGAAATATGTGTAAAAGCGCCCAAGTTGAATGGTGTATGCATAAAGACAGACACTTGGCTCACAGATGGCACACCGCCGCAGAGAGGAGGACAGGGATTGCGTTAAGATCAGGGCTGAAGTGTCAGGCCACGATGTCCTGTTTGTGTTCTTTGTTTCCTCTAAAAACCGCGACGTCTCCACAGCGCGCAGTTCGTGGCTAATGTAAATACAGCTTTCACAGTCTGTTGACCAAGTACCAACATGCTAACAGCCCTCTGGTATCAACTCCTGACCAGATAATAATATGGTCCGATTAAAGTCCTTAAAGTCGGACAAAACACCAAGTATTAGCTAAGCTAGTAGATGGTAGATCCGTGTCGCGCTAGTTAAACATGGCTTACAGCTAACAGCTAGCTTAACAGCTAACTACCAACGGCCTCCTCCACGCGGCTGGGCAAGTGTCCCGTTTAAAACCCTGCTCTAAATATTGGGTTTGCAGTAAAAAATGCAATCGTACGCGATGCTATGTGGTTTTAAATGTCGATGTATGAAGTCTAGGAGCAATCCACTGCGAATTATTCGATATTTTCTCCCATAAAGTCCAACAAAAGTCTCTAGGCCGCTCATCGCAGTTACGATGACGAGGCAGTTGTAACAAAATGGACGCGTCGATCAAATCCTATAAAACCTGCCATCGTTCTTCTCAAAATTCTACAGAGAAATTGCTTCTTTCCCATGTTATCGCCTGGCGCCTCGCTTTGGACTGTGGCTGAACTCCAGCTGAGCTGAGACATATGCCACAGCAAAGAGCTCCCTCTACGACTGGGCTCATGGAGCTGCAATAACACCGCGAACACACGGCCATCAAGCGGCCGCATCTTGAGCAGCATTTATTTTCTGCCTTTCCTTATGTACGCTCTCTGGAGTTAAAGTCAAGCCACATCAATCATTATAACAATGCAATGGGGCCTACGCAGACCCTTAAAGTTTAAGGTACAAGTTGTATACGTGCAAATTAACAAATTAAAACATCCATATAATACCATCATACAACTTTTTAAACTAAACATTTAAGTAACGTTGTAACAATAAACTTTGTTCAACTTTATTTTCATTGAAAACATGGTGCATGTTGTATGCTTTGGAGGGCTGCTGAAGTTTTATTTTTGTTATATTTTTCCTATAGAACTGGCATGGAATCAGAAGACGACTCATCTGTTCAGGTGGTCCACAGCCAGGATGCAATCGTGGCTGATCTCCTCCAACAGGCAGCAGAAGCCGGAGGTGTAGTTATTGATGGCCAGCGTGTTGTTCTGGATCAAGGTTCAACATTTACTGAATTGAATAGTTTGTTCCATGGACATTGGACTTTCTTTGAACAGTGAGCCTAATGTTTTTTTGTTTCCAGGACAAGGAATGGTTGAAACCACAACAGTTAGTGTTGATGGAGGCGGAAGTGTTCAAATGATGGTTATGGACTCTCTCGATCCGGCACTGCTGCAGATGAAGACTGAGGTATTCTCACTTAATGCTTCCCTCCATGTGTGGGTTTCAGTTATGTATACTGTTTTTTTTTTATTATTAAGGTATTGGACGGAGTTTCTGCTGGTGCTGCTCATCAAGCAACAGTTACAACTGTCGATCAAACGCAGATCATCACCCTACAGGTAAATCTATTATTATTCTAGTAAAAGTGCTGGTCTTTGATCATGGTAGTGATCATGGGAAAAATCTTCCCCCTCTTTACGCACAAATACTTGAGGCTTTTCACCTTTTTATCCATGGTTTGCCAGCGTCATTGTGTGTGTTTATGGGAGGAAGTTTCACACGGCACAGAAACATTGCGTCAATTCCACAAGTGTGCATAGTCTATTTTTGACAGGGCTTTACATGAGCCACATGCAGGCGCTTTGTTTGTACACACTTCTCTGCTAAAAATATACATCACATATGAATGCGCTCACACTTCAGTCACCATCAGCTTATCCCAGTAATAATTTTTCCATGGCAATGCTATCACTCACAGAGACAACTTTTACGCCTTATAAAATGAATATGTGAAGTTTGGAAAATTTGATTGACATCATATATGGCTCAATAGAGCACTTTTTTGTTTAAACATATAAAGCTGGCAAACCTGTATTTTTAAATGTGTTGCTTTTATCTGTGCAGCACTTTGTAAAGTTGTTTTATTACAAGTGCTATATAAATAAAGTGGATTGGATTGGCTTGCAATAAATAATATATTGAATTAAATTTAAAATGGATGGAGAGATGCCAATGTCAATCACTTATATGGCAAAAAATAATAATAATAATTAAAGGTTAAACCTATTGTAACTCAGTCAATGTGATCAGTATTGATCCAAATTTTAGATGACTTGATCGGTGCGCTCATAAAAGTTCAAATATGAATGTGTAGTAGCTTATGTGTATTCATCCATTTTATTTGTATTTCAGTAGATTCATTTTTACAATGTTCAAACTTTCAGGTTGTGAACGTAGAGGAACAAGCAGCGCTGGGTCTGGGGGAGCTCCAGCTGGTACAGGTGCCCGTGTCGGCCTCTACAGTGGAGGCACTACAGCACGGCACTCTGGTGGATGCCTCTTCCATGCAAAAGGACCCAGTCATTTGCCACACTTTGCCTCTACCTGAAGGCTTTCAGGTATGTAAAAGAAGTTTACCACTTTCATTCCTGATCAGGGGAGAGTGAGGGTCCTTAAATCATAAAAAATATTAATGCCTTTTTAAGTTTTAAATTTCACAAAACATTGGGAGATTTTGGCATTCAATATTCTGGTGCGCTCTGAAGTGTTGTGGATTAAAAAAAATTTTTTTTTTCATTAATCTGATAAGCTCTGTAGTCAGCACAATATTTTCATACATGTTTCCAGACTCCCAAATTGCCTCAAACCTTTCCTGTAGTAAAAATAGAACTGCAAACGTGGCTGTATTTGGACTTGCACTTCATTTCAAGACGGATGGTGTGATAAAGGCCTTAACAACAACAAAAAGCTTTCTGGATTCCCCTTTTACAAAGCACTTAACAAAACATTTATAAACACCATACACTTATTCTGTGATTTGAAAGTAAAAATAATTGAATTGACTATGTATTATTAGCGCAGATGTTTGTAGGGTCATGTTCCAAGTAAGGTTTTTTGCTGTCTTGTCTTTCAAAAAAGCTGTGTAATGGATTCTATCAGAAAATATAGGTGAACCGCACCAGAACAACAGTCCTAAGACACTGGTAAAAGAGAATTTGCCTCTTTTCCTTCACATTGTCAAATTTTGCTCACCTCCGTGCGGCTACCTAATGTACAAGGGAAAGACCTGGGAGAAATCAATTGCTTGAAAATGTGTTAGACATATGTGACACATTATATACTGTTTACATGGTGAAACAGCTGTCGATATTATAAAATTAAGTCTATAAAACAATGCTTGCAAAGTGGTATACACATCATTCAGCTTTATCTGAAGCAGAGGCAGTAGTACGTTTTTAAACACTTCTCATTGCATGTTGTTAAATAGGTAGTTAAAGTTGGTGCTAATGGTGAAGTGGAGACAGTGGACCAAGAGGAGGAAGAAGGCGAGGGCCAGCCAGACGATGACGGTGAAGAGAATCAGTTTGAAGAAATCATGGGTGCACCGGTTGAGCCCACAGCTGAAGAACAAGCCTGGGATAAGGATCCAGATTATCAGCCCAACCTCGGAACTATGAAGAAAATGAAAAAGGTTCGAACCCTACTTGTTTATGGGGGATCTGTCATGTGGCCTAATTCTTTTCCATTTCCAATGAAGGGTAAGAAAAGCCGCTTGCGATATGCAGAAGGGGACAAAGACATGGACGTCAGCGTGTACGACTTTGAAGAGGAACAACAAGAAGGCCTTTTGTCCGAGGTCAATGCAGAGAAAGTCGTTGGCAACATGAAGCCACCCAAGCCTACCAAAATCAAGAAGAAGGGTAGGTTGTTTTTAATACCTGCGTCGCCACGACATAGATGCCCTCATTTAAATCATTGTTATATTGTTTCGTAGGTGTGAAAAAGACATTTCAGTGCGAGTTGTGCAGTTACACCTGTCCACGTCGCTCCAATTTGGACCGCCACATGAAGAGCCACACCGACGAGAGGCCCCACAAGTGCCATCTGTGTGGAAGAGCCTTTCGGACAGTGACTCTCCTGAGGAACCATCTCAACACACACACTGGTCAGTACGTTGGTGAACTGAGGTCGCGGGTCAAAAACAACACGCTGTACTTTTATTATAACAGTAAAACTTGCTTGAGTGATAATGCATGGATTTGTTGACAGTTTAAAACTAGGACGTTGTTCTGATGTTATCCCTGTTCCTCTGCCGCTGTAGGCACTCGCCCACACAAGTGCACAGACTGTGATATGGCCTTCGTGACCAGCGGAGAGTTGGTTCGCCATCGGCGCTACAAACACACGCACGAAAAGCCATTCAAATGCTCCATGTGCGACTACGCGAGCGTGGAGGTATGATTAAAACATGACTTTGTGCGTTTGTCGATGCACAAAAGGCGACTCGTTTGTAATTCTTTTTGAACTGACCATCCAGGTGAGCAAGTTGAAGCGCCACATTCGCTCCCACACCGGAGAGCGGCCTTTCCAGTGCAGCCTTTGTAGCTATGCCAGCAGAGATACCTATAAGCTGAAGAGACACATGCGAACACACTCGGGTAACTATGAAATAAAGTGTTTGGTTGCATCCTTTTCATGAGATTTCTTAGCACCACAACGTACATTTGTAATACGGTTTTCTTGTTATCCAGGTGAGAAACCATACGAGTGCTACATCTGTCATGCCCGCTTTACCCAGAGTGGGACAATGAAAATGCACATTCTGCAGAAACACACAGAGAATGTGGCCAAGTTTCACTGTCCCCACTGTGATACTGTTATTGCCCGCAAAAGTGACCTGGGTATGTTTTATCATGCATTTCTCTTTTAATACTCATAGTCCAGGCAAACTACCAGATTTTGGGCTACAAACAAAGGGGAACAAATTGTCAGAGTTTTCTCTGTAACAGTTCTATAAGGTGTCCAGGTCAACAGTCCTAAGAAATCTCAGTCAGGCAAACTGGTTTGATTTGAAGATGTGTGCCATTCCCGCCAAATACTCCTCAATATTATTGTTGTCCTTTACTAGTGTTATTGTAATAATTTAAATAGTTACTTCTCAGGTATATGAGCACACCCATTTATTTGCCGTACCAGTTACATTTTATAAGGAGACGAAACACTATAGTTGTTCGAATGATCTACATTGCTTCTAAACTTGTAGTCAAGTAAGTCCACTCGGTTTTCTCTATATGAGAGTGAAAACGAGTTAGAGATTTCAGTGTTTGTTTACATGCACTATGGGACCCTTTTATAACAGGCACTTGCAATGGTCTGCTAAATCAAGAGCACGCTTTTTCCAATTCTCATGGTAATGGGAAACAAAGACATGGCAAAATAAAAATCAACTTTCCTCACCTCTGTCTTTCTTTTACGCATCCTGTGTAGGACCTGCAGGGGCACCTTTAGCACACAACCAGTCCTTTAAATAATACTTTTTGCCATGCACTTGGCAACGGTAGAATTACCAGTATGTTGTTCTGGAAACCTTATAGAAATGGTGGTGATGGTGGAATTATTATAACAATTATTTGGTTGCCAAACGCTATTTTTGCCTGCACTAATAACTATTTTTGGTTGATTCCATGAATTGTGTTTTAACTTTCTATTTTTTAAATTTGCGTTCTCAGGAGTCCATCTTCGTAAGCAGCATTCATTCATCGAAACAGGGAAAAAATGCCGCTACTGCGACGCTGTGTTCCATGAGCGCTACGCCCTGATTCAGCATCAAAAGTCCCACAAGAACGAGAAAAGATTTAAATGTGACATGTGTGACTATTGCTGTCGCCAGGTAACGGCTGTTGCATGCAAGTACGAAGCAGCACAGAAGTGTGGTGTGGTGTCCTGAGATAGACCCATTTGTGTGTCTTCAGGAGCGGCACATGGTGATGCACCGTCGCACTCATACAGGAGAGAAGCCCTTTTCCTGCAGCCAGTGTGAAAAGACCTTCAGGCAGAAGCAGCTGCTGGACATGCACTTCAAACGCTACCACGACCCCAACTTCATTCCCACTGCGTTTGTTTGTCCCAAGTGCAACAAGACATTTACTCGCAGGGTAATCCATGTTTATCTAACTCTGAACACGAGAAACCTCTGAAAGTCGCCACTTTATAAAACCAATTTTGTAGCATGTAGCTGATGTAGACACTAATTTTTTCCAATTATTTAGCATTTAGCATGTAGTTAGAGATAGTAATCCGATATTACACGAGATAGATTTACTCTGGTAATCTATTTGACAATTTGTGTGAATATATTTTTTACAGAATACCATGTCTCGTCACGCTGAGAATTGCAATGGCGAAGCTGAAGAGGGTGAAAATGGAGTCGTTACCCCGAGGAAAGGAAGGAGAGGCCGGAAAAGAAAGATGAGGAGCAGGAAAGACGATGACAGCGGTGAGTTATCTTCCATTTGTGTGTGTGTGTGTGTGCTGTGTTCTGACGCTGGTTTGTTTTTTAGAGGATGACGACCAAGTGGAACTGGACGATGACGAGGAGGAGGATGAAGAAGATGAGCTCCCGGATGAGGAGTCCACTCTGCTCCAGGAAGAGGATGAGGGGTTAGACCTGGACCAGGCCCCAGCCATTGTCCCAGTGCCAGCTCCAGAAGAACCACCAGTGAAGAGGAAACGAGGGAGGCCCCCCAAGAACCCTCCCAAGACCCCAGTACATGCTGCTCCTGGAAAAGGTAAGGCTTTTCTAGAGGGGGGTCGCACCAAAAAACCTCAGGATTTGTTTCAGTGTCTCAAACATTTTTCGATTTGAGAGCTACTTTTGCCCGACAGAAATGGCAAAAGTTTCTCTTTGCAGTTGTATTAAAACTGTAGTCTATGTAATAACAGCAGGAAATATATTTTATAGAATAAAATGTACCATGATACTGTAACTATATAACCCTTCATTAGTGAACATAATGACAACATGTATAGTTAAATAGGGGAACTCTTTGACTCAAAATGTAATTATTTAGGATAATACATTCCTGAATCCTTTTGGGAGCTACTTGAAAGAGGTTGGCGAGCTACAGGTTGGAGACCACTGCAGTAAACACTTGGTCTGGTCTTAATGTTACAGTGAACATGCTGCACTGCAAAAAAGTCACAAACAGCTCAAATTTGGCTCATTGTATCATAATTTGAGTACATTTAGACTGCCTTAAAACAAGATTTGCCAATGGGACAAAGCCATTTGTCTCATTGGCAAATGAGACACAAGTCTCTGTTTCAAGAACTGTTGCTTTATTTTCTCGTTCCAAGGGACACATTTCTTGTATCTTTTCAAAACAAGATCATTTTGCTCGTCCCATTGGCAATTCTGGTTTTAAGGCAGTCAGAATGTGCTCCAATTAAAATACATTTTGCCAGATTTGAGCAATTTTTGACTTATTTTTTATCACTTTTTGTTTTGTGTTACTTGCTATTGTAAAAATGCTAATGTAGAAGAGTTGAGTTCTCAAAAATGTGTTTTGTTTGGTGGACTAATTGTTGCATGGGGCCTGACCTCGATTACAGTCTTGTATTTCAGTCTATTAGAGAACACTTTTTTATCATTGCCAATGAGTTATATTTAATCCTTGACATGAACCTTTGTCTATTAACTTGTAAATGCATTAATTCAGTTTCCCTCTTTTGTAGCAACGGCCATTATCCAGGTGGAGGATGAGAGCACCGGGGCCGTGGAGAACATCATTGTGAAAAAGGAGGAGGGTGATGGTACAGAGGTGACCCCTGATGAACAGGGTGTAGCTCTGACGGTGGAGGCCGTGGAGATGGACACCGACGCCACCGAGACTGTGGAGCTGACTTTGAACGAAGCCACGACTGCAGCCAATGGAGACCTGACTCCAGAGATGATCCTCAGCATGATGGACCGGTGAAGACGTCAATGGAGTAGCCCCCATTCTCGCTGACATGTCATAACACACATTGTTGCTTTCTCCTTGTTACAGGCCCAGTTTTTATCCCAAATGTAAATTTATATGCAGACGAATAATACTGTTCTAGTTTTGTTCTTTTTTTTTTTTGTATATATACATTTATGGAAAAAGGAATGCTACTAATATTGTTGCTAAAACAGGGCTTTAAAGAACGTGTTCAAGCCAGAAGGTGCATGAATAAAGCAAAAAAAAGAAAAAAAATCCTTTCATCACCTTTGCAACATAGTTTTAAAATAGCCTGAGTGTCTTATGAACGAGATTCAAAAAGCTTATTTTTGTACAAGGCTGCATATAATGTTTATGTTCTGTATTCTACAGAGAATGGCCCTCACCAAAACAATATTTCTCAAAACAAATATGATTGCATCTGTTTGTGGTGGAAATCTATTTGCTAAATCTTTGTTTTATTTATTTGCCAAATCAAAAAATCTGTTGAAGACATGGTTTGGGACTGTCCTTTTAATGTTTGTTCCTAGAGTCTGAAGAATTGACCTAAACTGTTTGCATCACATCATTTAAGTAGCGACTTTCAGCTCTTTCTGGATGAGTTTGACTTGTGTCCTCATGATTCAGATATCAGGCTTCACTTCCTGAAAAATGCTGTACAGTTAATTTCTTCAACTGTAACTTCACTATCAACTGAATGATTTAATGAACGTGGAAAAAGTGTCTTTTTTAAATCATGTGAACAGTTACAAAAACGGCTCATTCATTTGAAATGTATGCTTTATTTTCTAGTCTCACGTTTGGAACTTGCCACCAATGGTTTTCTCCACCTTTCTTTTAAATTCTGTTAAATTCAGTTTTACTGGTCTACTTTTTAGGAGTTGAGGTGTAGTGTGTGCATGTTGTATTCAATTTGTTTTTATGTAAAACTTTTTTTGGCATAGCTTGATTATGTGATACAAATGTAATGATTTCAACATTCCACCTTATTAAACCAATATCCAATAATGTGGACATTAGTTTTCTTATTTTGGGGTTTCACTATTTATTTTCTTTCAGTAAAATTATGTATTTTAGTTGTTGTAGGGAAAAGTCTGCTCCAAACTCCTTTCTATCTTTTAACAAGCAATACATTGGAAAAAGCACAATCAATAGCTTTATTATGTGGTGCAATTCATTTGCAAATTTGTGAGCTCCAGGAAGAAAAAAGCTATTTTTGTGTTGCATTACAAAACGGAAAATCTAGTTATAGTCTGTGTGCACTTGAAAAGTCCTGGTATACGCGGCCAATATGTACCAGTGTGTATATGGTATGTACTTTGTGTCAACAGTTTGAAAATGTGAAATATAAAATTCTCTTAATTTACTCCTTAAATGCGCATCTCATGAATCAATCATTTTTCTGAACAAGTGTATTCTAAAAGCATGTGCAAATGTTGTTTTCCCAAATGGAAAGTGATGTCCGGTCACGAGAGGAGGCAGTGGGGTGTGGCCTCCTCCCGTTGTCAATAGCAACCCGTCCGTCAGTCAAGGCAACTGGTCCCGCCCCCTGATCCCCGGAGGCAGTGGAGGGATGGGGATGGGGGTGGTGCCTGTGGATGCTGCAGAGAGGATCACCCCCTTTGCTCCGCTCTAGCTGCTGCTGAGGAGGAGGCTGTTGGCCGCCGAGCTTTACCCGATCAAGAGGATCATTTTCCCGGGAGGCTGGACAGGCCTCTCCCCTGCCTCAGCGCTGGAGCCTCCGCATCTCCCATGGAGCCTCTACCCACACAGGGACAGACGCTGAGGCACTACACCGCCCTCAGACCCCGGCCACGGCGCACACGCACTCAGCCCCCCTCCTCCAGGCCCCAGGTAAGAGCTAACCCACAAACACGCCACTACCCGTCGATACCCGCGCGTTCAATCCGTAAATCAGGAACTAGAGCGTGCACGATTTGACACAGACAGGACAGCTGGGCCACACACAATATGCAGGCTATGCAAAATCAGGATGCTCGGGCAGGATTCAGACACACGATGGTGAGAAAGAGATGGAGCTGGTGATGGTGGAGAGATAAGGAACTTTGTAGTGCAGCCCCATTTTTCTCCCTGTTTGGCCCACATTCATAAGTGTGAGCATGACAGCTCTCCTTTCATTTGGGAGGGGTGTTCCCCAGGTTGTTTTCAGAACTAAACAACCCCCACCCTCTGTCCCCCTATTGGGAATACTTTCATTAACTCAATTATTCATGTTATAGCCATAAGGATACAGTCAGGAAAATACAAATCTAAACATGGACTTTGACTCTCTTGTCAACACAGTGTTTAAATGGGACTGTGTAAGATCTTGATTTTGAATGGCTGATGTGTGTTCCTGGACACAAGGTCAATATGAACAGACCTGGTCAAAATTTGGATGCAGACTAATTCTCAATAACAACAATGGATGTGATGGGCACATTATTATTGTTAACGTTTTGGTTGTCAAGCTAAGTATCTAACCAGAAAGCGGAATTAGAGTCACACAAGTCTTTCAGTTGAGTTGCCAGTTTCTTTGATGAAGTCCATGCTGGTTTGGCATACCTGAACCCCAGTGGTTAGTACTCTCCTCAGCAAGAAGGTCCTGAATCCTTGACCTTTCGGCCTTTCTGAATAGAGTTTGCGTGTTCGCCCAGTGTCTGCGAAAGGATCCCTCCAGGTGCTCTGGTTTCCCGTACCTAATGGCATTGGAAGGATGAGTCAAATGCAGAGGACAAATTTCCCCTGGATACAAAGTATAATCTTATGTGTGTGTGCACTGTAAGGGTTATTTTATTTGCGTATGTAGCTTTATAAGACCAGTACGAGCAAAAACTAAATTGGTCTATACTGTTTAAATAAACAGCATCATTAAAATACTGTTGAACTATTTCCATTGAGCCAAATGGTTTTATGAAACCGAAAATGTCATTCATAAACCCATTAACCTTAAAGTGCCAGTGACGCTGTCCGATTGCTCTTTTGGCCTTTCTTACAAGTAGGTGTAATGTAGACTTTTCCTATCTGCCTTCAGTATTCCACGACACCAATTGAGAGAGCATGATACTCCTAAAACAACAGAAAACTATTAAAACTGGCTTCATCATCACTTTGTTTGATTTGATTTTGTGTTTGTGAACACAAACTGCATTTACAGCAAAACTTCAACAGATGAACTTAAGTTCTCAACAAACATCAATGCACAGTTACTCACGGAGTATCATCCTGTAATGAAACCGTTCTAATAATAATAATAATAATGTTCTTTCTGTTGCAGGAGCTTAAGGCAGAGGCAGAGAACGATGCGGTTGATGGCATGGGCCGAGTGGATGAGGGAGTTGATGAGTTTTTTACCAAGAAAATCATTCCTGACTATGCACTGTGAGTAAAACCTGCATTTCCATACATTTATCACATGATACATTTAGTTTCTATGCATTTGCAACATAATAAAAATCTATGACATTTTTATCGTAGGCCCACTGTTTATTCTCACAGGTCTATGGCTTTATTACATGAGTAGTAATTATGAGTAATACTTAAGACATATCACTATTATTTCATTTTACAACAATTCACTGAACAAAAACATTTCTCTGCTCATCTTGTAAAGCTTAGTTAACTTGTGCATGCTAGATTATAGTGTCCTACATCATCAAAATGATCCAGTCCTCTTTTGATATGTAAGTTTACACTACTGCATGTATTTATAGTGTGTCCAAGCTCTGATCTGGGATTTCAGTTTCTTATATACAGTTTACTAGTAGTCTCTAAATCCTCAACACGTGGCAATATATTTATACATTATATTGATTGTTAATGTCACAAATTGTTCTATCTTTAGTCGGCCCTGTCAGATCTATGTACAACAATGGCTTCAAAATGTTATCAAGCTTTGTCCAGACCAGTTTTTAGACACAACTTCATCCATTCATCTAGGCACACAGAGGTTTCACTTGAGTGTCAGGAAAAGAGTCAGCTAATTTGGCACCAACCCAAAGAATTTAAGTCTCTGTGTGCTGTTTGCATGAACTTTATTTGGAATAAGCATGTGTGTGTGACGTAGCAGTAGTTGTACTGAGTGTCTCTTGTTTTTGTTGCTCTTTCTGCTGTCTCCCTGCTGCAGAAAAGGCCGATGGGAGGAGTCAAACCCTGCCCAAGCCACTCCCTCAGAGTCCAGCTTCACCTCCTTAGACCCATTACCTTTTTCCCCCTCCACAGATAGTGTCCCCTCCTGTCCCGAGACCACCACAGTGTCCTCTGCCCCACCCACTGACACCCAGCCTGTCTCCCCCACTAATGACGCACCCTCCAGCCCACCCTCTTCTCTCCCCCTTTCCTACACTAACACTACCAACACATCCACTGTCCCCAAAAATATTAAGAAAAAGTTTGGTGACTTTTTTGCCTTTAAGAGGGCCCGGGCTGGCAGGACTGCCAAAGCTGGTGGGGGGGAGGCAGGCGGGGAGGCAGTGAAGGTCAAAAGGACCTCCATCGCTGACCTGATTCGCCCCCTGCGTGAGGCCAAAGACAGGGAGAGAGAACGGGACAAGGAGAGAGGGTCCAAATCAGTGGAGGATGTTAATGTTTGTAATGATGCCGCCATCACAGAAGGAAGTGCTGCTGTGGGGATGCGCCTGGCAGGCGAAGGGATGGATGTGCTGATGCCTGTCAAGACATTGACCATTTCAACACCTTCCAATGAGAGCGCTCCTACCCACCCCACGACCCCCGCACCCTGTGCTTCCACACACACGGACCACACAGAAGTAACAGTCAGTCAGCCTGAGCGTCCCCCAGAGGGCACAGAGCAGGGAGACACCAACACTGTGGAGAGGGCACTAAGGACCAAGAGGTCTCTGCGAGAGGGTAAGAGCCAGAGTCTGATCCTGCTGACTGCTGATGAGGACAAGGACAGAGCACACAAGAAGGTCAGTGGGCACAAAATACACCGCTTTGGATTCATTTACATGGACAGAAGCGGAAACAACATAACGTTGATGTATTTTGATGTTTAGCTCATTTTGTCAATGTAAAACTTTATGACTGTTAAGTAATATTTGTACATGCCTATATGCAGAAAAATGTACAAGACAGCTCCAATAGTTTTGAACAACGGCTTCAGGTGATGCTACACAGAATAAGTGTTGGAAGAAGTCCACCCCCAGACACTAAGAAGAAGCAGGTATATGTGGCATGGGTCACTGACTAAAATATTGCATGGATATGTGATTGTTGCATCAGTGGCACAATTATTTTGAGAGGTAATTTTGTCGTCTGAAAAGGCCAGAAAACTGTAGTCTGTGACATCTAAACTTATAATTACCTTAGTGGTATTCAATTAAAATGGACAAAGTAGGTCATATAGTGACCCAAATTAAACATAATGTAACTGAAGCTCTTTGATACACAGCGGCATTCTCATGTTTCTAAAACATGTACATCTGACAATGATCTTATAAAGAAAAGTATCCAATTAAGATATTGAACAAATAATCGTTACCTTAACATGTTTTCTATTTATAGAATAAAGAAGATGAGCTCAGAAAAGCTAACTCTGAAGGTAAAATTGTGTATAAGGGCACACTATTATTGAATTGTATTTCTGTGACTTTCAACTTTGCAAGTTCAATGGATTTTATACTTGGTTGTATTAAGACTGTATTTCATTGTTCTGCAGGTGCAATTTTGGACAAACCTGAGAGCCCTTTTGTTAAGCCACGAACTATGTCCTCTTCAGCAGGTAATAGAAAAATAGAGGCGATTTCAAGTCCACACTAGATCTTGATGGGTTCTTGGGTAATTGTTTGCAGCTGAGCGAAGAGATCCTAAAATAGCTCCAGATCCTGTGAGACCTTTGGTCCATCCCAAACCTCCTGTTCCAGAGCGCCCCCTGCTGCCCAAGCCTCCAGTGAGTGCAAAGCCCCTCCTCCCTGTTCCTCCTGCTGCAGGAGACACAGTCAAAGTCAGATCCTTCTCTGAAGACGGCAAATGTGAAGACAGTCCAGCACAGGTACCTGCCAGTATTCACTTCAGCTCAGGCTCTATAGAAGAATGTCTAAACCATAATCAGTGATATTGTTATGATACGATAAGATAAAACTTTATTGATCTCATAATGGAGAAATGTACATAGCACATTTGGCATTAATAGAATGACTCAGGGTGTGCAATAAACAGTAAATATGAATGTTAAAAAAGTCAAAAGAAGTAACTTATGTGCAATGAAGTTATTTTATGACTATGTAATCTTTTTTTCTGCATTACTAGTAAAATGGCATGTTTTTTTAAGAGTGAAACCCAGGAGAGCACCAGGGGGCCACCTCCAGTCACACTTCCCAAGACAGAGCTGTTCTCTCCAGCGCTACGAAAGATTCCAATGGCGGTGGAGCGCTCTGAAAAAGCACAGTCCGTCACTGATGGTATGATAAAAATGTAAATGAAAAGTTTCTTTCAGGGTTCAGATGTTAAGAAAAATGTATGATTTTTCTTGCAGAAAGTCTGCCGAAGCCAAGAGCACATTTAAAGCCCCCGGTCCAACGCCGAGCGGTGTCCGTCCATGAGGATACTCTGGCCATGACTCAAGGTGTTAGTAATGTGGTTTTCATTTTGCTCTAATCTCCCTTATTATTAAGCTATGGTGCCCTTTTTTTTTTTTTTTAAACACTCTACTAATGGACTTCACTCCCTTCAAAGAGGCCAAATATAGATGAAAGATCAAAGAACATAGTATATACATTCCATTATGATTAAATACCGAAGCAACCCCCGAAATGTGTAGGTCACATAAATTCGGGTTCGACTATTTCCAAAGAGGATTATTCTTTTCCATTGCATACCTATTTTGGCCAAGACATTGCATTCAAGACTCACACAAGCTGCATATTATGTTTTCATAGATACAGCAGATAATTGTACTGAAAACTAAAAGTATTATTTTTAGTTATTGTTTCATCTCTGTCAGAGCTGAAGGCGGTGCTTCAAAGGTCGCCCATACGTCTAACTGGCAACAAAGAGCTTCCCACCTGTGTTGAAGACAGCACAGCCGGAGAAGGAGCCCAAAGTTCTCAACATGGTACGACATGTTTGTGTGTAAAGACAAACAGGCTAACCACTTTTAATATTACTGTATTTTTGGCCTTGGCACTTTGTGTAGTTATGCAGTTTAGCGTCCTCTGTGTGTGATGTAGGTGGAATCTGAAGATGTACAGACAAAGGAAAACATTGCACTCCTTGATTGTTCTTTGATTTGTCTTTTCTACCTGGCCTTTCATTATGCCAATGTGCAGTAATTTTAACAATATACCGTTTGGTAGTCACATATTCTGGCTTAAGCACAAGGTTTCTTCTCAAATCTCGTCTCACCTTAATATTTGTGTTTGATTGCAGCATGAATCGTTTCAATAGGTTTCTGCAGTGTTAACAAATGCATGAAAGATGGGAGAATATGACTATTGTGCAATCCATTATCTAGCATATCCTAAACATTCTCTGTGAGGTGAGTCTTGACTCTGGGGTGAATCCTGGTGATGTCATCTTAAAATACTAGTGCAGCCCATTGTAAGTTTTCAATCATGACCAAAAAGTGTTTGTAGGTTGGATTTACGTACATACTCTGCAGTGTTACCGAATACTCAAAATGAAGGAGATAATGCAGTATATATTAGAGCCCAGCGGCAGTATTTTAGTATTGTGTGAAACGATTCAGAGATATACTTTGACTCACTGGTGCAGTTTGAATACAGGTGCACTTAATAGTCAAGCAAGTACTGCATAGTTCCATTAAACCTTATTCCCTTTACAAGTTGATTTTTTCTGATATGTTGCATTGCTCTTCCTACAGTACAGTATCTAACTCTGTCTTAATTCTGATAATTTTCCTTTTATTTTAGAGTCCCAAGACCCAAATTGTGCGTCATCACCATCTCAGGGCCAAAAGGAGAAAATCGTAACCCTACACACGGTCAGCCCTCCACCACAAGACAAGAGCCCTGTCTTGTGGACAAAGACTACTGAAAAAATGCAAAAATCTCCGCAATCACAAGAACAACTTTCAAACTTAGCGTCGTCTGAAATCTCTAAAGGTGCTCATGTGTCTTCTTCATCGGATGCAAAGAAGAGTCCCAGCTTGCCGGCCGGAGGAAAAGCAAGAAAAGCTGAGGATGTTTCCAAACAATTGAATTCAGCATCTGGTCTTTGAGTACAAGAAAACGACTCCAGATGCAGCTGTGGTACCATGCATGACCACAGGGAGGCGTCACAGGGTCCAATTGCAGTAAGTCCTCCCTGCCCTGGCCACGGTGTCTTGCAGAAATGTGCTTAAAAACGCGCTCAACTCTTGCAGGTCCGCTGGATATCGCAATGTTCTTTGAGAAAGCCTCAGGATATAGTCTGGAAAGTGATTTTAAATGTGAGAAAATGTGAGAAACTGTCTTACAATACAAGCCTGGCATTTTGGCAGTGGTCATCAGCTGACTGGTCAACATCAGAGAGAAAAAAAAATCCTTTAAATTCTATGATCATTTATTTACAATTCTGTATCTTTGCATCACTGACTGCAAAAACAGGACTACACAAAAATGCAAATGTGAGTCCTGTGTTGGTTCTCTTTTTATTTTCTCCATTCTTATTTATGTTTGCAACTTGCCTTACTTAATACTTGATTTGGCCTTATTGGTTGGTGATACATTATTTACACTTGTCACATTTTAATCCAGCCTCTTTATGTTTTTTTGGGTATATCTTGCCATATATAATAGCTTACTAATTACTACAGAAGCACTCCAGTTGAATTTTGTATCTCCCTTTATTTAAATTGTCAAAATAATATTCATTATCTGTTTTTTTTACTGCATTCCCATTTTATATTTTCAAACTTTTATTTTCCCTATGCTTCAGTTGTATTTTGGTATACCTTGAGTGACCGTGCCAAATATACTGAATAATACATTTGATATTAACCCTACGACTTCCGCTGCTTTATTCCAAGGTCACCCTAGAAAGAAAAAAAAGAAAAAAAGTGAATAGAATGCAATGATCCACATATTTTTGCCTTGTGTTTTCTGCCTGGTGTGCTCCTCTTCATATATTTACGTGGTGGTCAGATTTGGTTGGGACTAACAAACCATTTCCTTGTGGAAGTGATGGTCCAGGACAGCACAATCTGTAATTTACTGTGGAACGTTTGCCTTAGCTGACCAGTTAAGGTTTTCCTTTTTTTTTTTAAGTAATATTTGAAATACTTTTAATTGTAGAAACATTTTGCAAACAGCTGTTTTTTGACTTGATTTTTTATTGTCTTTTACTTGAATTTATGGTTTCATTGAGCCTTTTTGGAAAATGTCTGTGAAAGCACATTCAACTCGATGCACCTGTAGTTGGTAGCGCTCAAAATCAATTATATGAATCTGAACAATATATATATATTTACCAGGAGGCATAAACTATAATGAGAGGATAAAGAATATATTCAATCTATCAAACTCTCAGGGTGGTTGTGTGAAATGTGTGCGTTTTGTAAGACCTCAGTTGCTAAGTCATTTTGAGAGCTAACTTGGTGTCATCTTGCTGGAGAGGTTTTTTCTACTGTCGTCATGTTTATCCTTGCCTTGCACGCACAAAATCTGTACAGACAGACACTATGTTATGAGCAGAGTTCAAATCTATAACTACATGTTTCAAATAATAAAATCTCTTGTCATAGTTTGGTCTGGGTTTGTATTTTTTTCAAAGACAAAACATAACCTTGTATGTAAGTTATCTTTATTTATATAGCGCCTCAGAGGTGTCACAGAGTCACAAAGTACTTTACAATTGTTGCATTTTTTTAACCTTTCACTCTACACACGGTGATGGAAGCGGAGTCACCATAAATGAGGCGCATGCCAGACTCAGTGTACATGTTTATAGTGGTGGGGAAAACCGGAGCACGCAGAGGAAACCAATGCAGACACAGGGAGAACATGCAAACTCCACACAGAAAAGCTCGCCTGGAGGTGGAATTCAAACTCAGGATCTTGCTGTGAAGCGCGAGTGCTAACCACTGTGCTGCCTTACTGCCCAATGGGAAATAAATGATATGCAACCACGATTGATGTTGTTACTGTGTCACACAGGGTCATTTGATAAAACAAAAGAAGTTTGCTCACACATAATCTGTACTTCAGTTAGCAAGTTTTCCCGACATTTCATTCTTAATCCAAAGACATTTCTCAAGGGAATGAAAGCCCAGAGAAAGGGTTAAAACATTCACTTTATAATCAATGACTAAATTAGTTAACGACTGTTTCAATAATTGATTAGTTAGGATTAATCGATCAACTTGTTACAGTCCTATAAAACATAACCCTCTTGTCTTATGTAACTCCCACTTTGTATTGAAACAATTGTAGCATTTTGCTCTTCACCATTCTCAATTAGATGCCGTAGATTAAAGCAAATCGTCTGCAACAAGATGAAATGATAAATGAATTGTTTTGTTATTGTTATTATTGAACACAGAGTAACTACGACTCATCTTCATCTGAATTGTCTTCATTCTCTGGTTGTCGCAAAGGGTTTTTGGCCATGTTCTGCAAATTCTCCAATGTCAGTTCTGTCATATTCCCATCCATATCCAGCTGCATTGGCTGAATGACATTGCACCTAAAAACAAACAGATCAATCATTTGGAATATACCTGTATCACTTTTCTAAAGGCACACTGCACTCTGCACACACCTCTGCAAAGCGAGAAATATTAACAATTCTAACAAAGATCGAGCTCAACCTGTTTTTATTCCAGGATAAGAGATTTTGTTTTCTATTAAGCATATCTGTAAATAAACCACACAAGCTATTATTGTTTTAAATTCAGCCACATTTATGTTGTACTATGCTTTAATATAACACTTGAACTGGACACAACACGATAAAATGACAACGTTTTTGAATGCTCTGTTGACACGCTATGGACCAAGCTTTATAAATAACAAAATGAATTCTTCTATCTTTAAGATGCTTTCTGAATGATGTATTACTTGTATTATTCTATTGTTTGATAATTGAACAAAAAAAGCAGCTGTTATTTACTTTTTCCTCAGAGATCGGGGTGGGGTTCAATAAGTTTTACTCCTCCCCACTCCCTTTCAAGCATCAGTGTGTAAGTTATTGAACGTCTTCCTTTTTGTATTGTTTTTTTCTCTCTTTTGTGGTCTTGGAACACTATTAGCTTGAAATAAATAAAAAAATAATGATGATACATTCGGAGACAATACAATACATTCTGAGGAGGCAAATATGAACTGTAAGCTCCCATGTCGGAAGTCAAAATATGTCATCTATTTTGACAATAAACGTGTGTCCTATCCTATACCGCCTGAAACCTGGATTGTTTTTTTTTTTAATGTTTATTTTATTTTGTCTACCTGAGCTGTATTGATACAATGGTAATGGTATATGGTACTGGTATCAGCACCACCAATGGGGACAAATATTTTATCGGATTCCATTAATATAGCATTGAAGAGGTGTAAGCAGAGGGGGTGCCAACAGAACCACTACACCTAATAACTCTTCAAACAATTGGAGAGTAAAGAAGCCAAAGAGTGTAACGTATTCAAGTAAGTGTTGTTCTATTTTGAGTGCATATCCTTATATCCTTAAATATTCTGGTCAGTTTTGCAGTTTTTACACATCTTATCCATGTGCTGCTGTTTGTCCGAGCATGTGACATAATCTGTAAAGTGTGCTTTTGGGACCGTGACCCACCTGGACAGTTTGTCGAACATGTTGAGCAGTTTCATTGCTTCCTGCTCCTTCTGCTCTTCTGTCATCCCTTCCATTGGATCAGGCCTGTCCTCCTCCACCACCCCGGTGATTGGGTTAATGCTGCAAGAAGAAAGCATTTTTTTTTTTCACGTTCATCTTTCACTAGTATTTTAGTTTATTTTAGTTGAATAACAAATATTCAAACAACAAAACAACACTACCGCTTGACCTGCGACAGTGGAGACTCTCTCGACATTTTTAAATCACATTTAAAGACCTACTTTTTTAAATTGGCCTATTTTTTGTAATATTATTTTTACATGTATTCTATTATATATATATAATATGTGTAATCCAAACTATTGTAAAGCGTCCTTGGGTGACTTGAAAAGTGCCATAAATGAAATTAATTATTATCATTGTTTTAAGATAATTTTGCTGTAACTGTGACCAAGTGCAACACGGGTGTTAGATTAAGAAGTGTGTGTGTTTTCTCCACTGGCTCACAGTGCTGTTGGATCATTCAAAATGTCTAACTCAATGAAAAACAGTCACCAAATGTCCTACCTGCTGCAGCCCGTATAACCCCAGTAACAGTTACCATGGAACAGAGCCATTGTTGTGATGAGAAGAGATTATTTACCGCGTCTTGAACTCTTTGTACTCTTCTGTCTCCGAGTCTTCGTCTTCGGAGTAAATGCCAGAGTCTTGCCCTCCCCTCAGCAGACCTCTGGCAGCCAATAGTCCCGCTGCGTTGCCATATCCAGTGTACTTAATGAACCTCGAGACTAGGGGAACATATTCAACAGTTTTATTGTATTTTTTCTTCAACTTGTCGGGCCTGTCACTGACTTTTTGTTTAGATTTTGCATTGTCCATGTCTTAAAGCTGGGGTACCTAACTTTTTTTTATTTAAGAAAAAAAATATTATAACCCATGTCTTCATGGCGTGACCAGTTACTAAAAGGCTGTTGGTTATGCATCACATTAGCATCTTACAACCAGCAGCTTACAATGCTTTTACTGTGGCCAATATAAAATATATACAAAATATTTTCTCTTCAATTTGCGCAGTTTATTTACAAGTGTGCTTAATAGTCCAGCAAGTATATAGTATGTATAGGACTGTCTTATAACAGTAAAATCAGACCACAACATGCTGTCTTCTTCTTATTGGAAAACGTTATCTTTTGCAAACTTGTAAAGAGGAGTCACTATTTGATACTTTTGGGCTGAGAGCTCATTGGCTGAGTAAGGATGGTCCTCTCTTATTCACTTATCTGTCTGAAAAGTTGATGTAATGATGGCCCAAAAACACATACTGTATGTGAAAACTAGTGTTAGAACCAAACAATAAGAGCAAGGATCTAGTTGTAGAATTGTTTTATGAATTGAAAGTTGATAACCCCAGCCTTAAGCAGTGCAATACTACCTAATAAATCTGAAATAATCCCCCAGAATAATACTTTATACTATATATAATATATATAATAAATTACCACTTTCTTTGCAGAGCACAAAGAGGAACTCGGCTGCACAGTCTTTGACGTCGGTGTCGATGTGAGTCATGAGTCGGACCAGTTTATTCCTCAGTGTTTCGCCCACCTCTGGTTTGTTCACCACGTCCCTCAGAGGAGGCAGCACCTGGCCCACACACACCGCAACTCTCTAACACCAGCACTTTATGCCTTTGAATCTACTGTTTCAACTGTTTCTGCTCCTCACCTTAGAGCGTAGGAACTTTCTGGTTTCTCTGTGGATACGGGAACTTTCGGTCAATAAATTCAAAGACGGAAGAAGCGTTTCTTTTAACTTGTGTTCCTAAAATGAGACACGGAAAAAACAGTAGGGTCCAGTGAATGACAGTAAATACTACTGTTGATGCATTTATTAAATTAAGAACATAAATCAAGCTGGGGTACTTTTTTCAGACATTTTCCCAATCTCTGAACAGAAAGAGAACAAATCAGACCACAATATACTGTCTTCATCTTATTGGAAAACATTAAGTTATGCACACTACTAAGAAAGAGCTCTTTGAGTAACGATTGACACGTTGAGCTGAGAGCCAATCGGTTGAGTGAGGGTGAGCCTTTAAATTGTTCACTTTGAAAGTTCGGTACCCCAGCTTCAAGTTTTATGTAAGTTTCTCCTGTGTGAGATCAATAAAGTCTATCTTATCTTATCTTTTATTCATATCTTGTCATACCCGGTCCATTCTCCTCTCCATAAAGTCCAACAGCATGTGGACAGCGTCCATATTGACTCCCATGTACTCAATGGAAGTGGGCTGTACTTTTGGCATCAGCAGTACATCCAGGCAGGATATCGGCAGGTTACCCAGCAGATTGATAGTGTGGCTATAAAGAGAAGTGAACATACTTAAGACAGGCTTTCTGCAACCAATATTCACATATGTACAGGGCACCGAGTTAGTGCACGCCTTCTACAGTCTATGACGATAGGAGGAAGTAATAATAATAATGCATTGGTTTTATATGCACTTTTGTGGACACTTAAAATGCTTTACGTCATTATTCTTTCACTTCAAAGTGGTGATAAACTACTACTATTGCCACAGCTGCCCTGAGTTTATTACGTTTTAAACATTTTGTGAATGGCTTGTACCTGTGGAACTCCTCCGTGAGTTGTTCACTTTCAGAGTGGCTCATCAGACAGTGTCTCAGGATGGCTCCCAAATGTCTACATTCAGCAGCCTCCTCCTTTACATGCACAAACCACAATCAACACATTTTATAACTACTAAAAATACATGATAAAACATCATTACCTCATCCACTTTGCGCCTCGCGGTATCAAAAGTAACATTGAAGAGGATTTTGAGTGCCTCCATAGCGAGTTCAATCTGCTGCTTGGACAGAGGGGGCAGTTCCTCGGATGGAACATCTTCAAAGCCCTTCCTGCAGGTCTCCAGTGAGTCAGGCCATGACAGATCCAGAATAGCATCCAGCTGGTTCCCAAGGAGGCATACTCCATGTAGCTCTTTGGCCAGCTGTGCTCTGATGTCCACTCTCAGAGCAGTCAGCTGGAAGGTTAGTCGCAAATCAAAGAAGCGTACCTGGAAATAAACAAATACTGAATTTGAGATGATGATGCCTTAATTTTACCCCATTCACTTGTTACACATTTGTCTGGTAGTCCTCCTAACCAAGCCCAGCATCCAACTGGAGATGGCCCCCCAGAAGGCTGCACTGTGCCGACTGACCACTGCTCCTCATAGGTTGCCCTAGTGGCTTTGCAGGTAGAGTCAAATGCAGAGGACAAAAAGGCCCCACATGGGACATAAATACAATGTACCATAACCTTACGTCAGTGTGTCTTTCATGATCACAGTTTTCTACTACTCATTTACCATTAAGTTACCTCGTATGTCCAGGTAGGATCACGACATTGTTTTAGCCTTTCAGCCACTCCTTGAATAAGTTGTAACTCTGCAGCCACCACCTAACAAAAATATACAGTAGCTAGTTGGTATCATAAAAAAATCAATGTACGCATTAAATAATTAAAGTGTTTCTGACCTGAGCTGTGTCATTGTACAGAACAATGTTACAGATGGTCTTCAGTGCCTCCACAATCACTTCCAAGTCTGGATTTTCAGAACATTGCCAGGATTCGTCACCTTAAAACAAAAATATGAAGGGTTGCAATGTGAATGTTTGTTTTTGTTATTTAGGTTTAGAATACCTTGTTCTGTTCTTTGCTCATGTTGATGTTCTGTGCTGGTACAACCCACAGCAATGCCTGCATACCGGGCCAATGTATTCATGGCAGAACAGGTGATGAAAGGACCAAGGCATCTCCTGTCCCGTGACAGGATACGGATAGTCTCCAGACAAGCCAGCTGACATGAAGGCTGCAGGTCCCTTTTCAATAAGCCAACAACTAACTTGCCAACATGCTGGACACATACAACAACTTAAGAAATACTACTCTTTTGTGATAAAAAATTGTAGAAAAAACATTTCAAATACCTCTCTTTGGTCTCCATCTTCAATTTCGAACGTGAAACAATGGGTCATCTAAAGAGAAGAAACATGAGTACTGTATACACATAAAATATGACATTTTTTTAATGCATTAATATACCATCTTGACAAGGCATTGATGATGAGATACCTATAGTATGCTAGGCTTTCTAGAAACTCAAAGCGAAATATGCTGTCCCAAGGCCATCATATCTTGTTTTAGAGCGGAACAATACCAAACTCAAGAGCTTGGTGGGTAGCCTATTATTTCCAGGACGAAAGGATAATCTATTTGTGAACCACAGATTCTAATCCTATTGCTTCTAAGACTTCTAACAGCGCATGGGAAATGGACCCTGGGTCAGCTTAAATACTTAAATATGTTGTTGATGAATGATGCAAGGTTTATACCATGCTATAACAAACACCGTTTATAGGTTAAATCACAGACCATTTCAATATAGCAAATTAAATTAGGCTAATTATAATAGGACATGGCCCATTTGTGGCGTCATCTCTATATTGCAGACTGACTTTGTTTTATATCACCAAGTTTAGCTTCCACAAAGCACAACATTACCCATGTCTCCATTCCCTACAGCTAAAGGCCTGCATTTCAAGTATGATGCAGCATGATAGCCTTGAGCAGTGTGTCTTGATGAAGGATGTGATTACCTGTGAGTTGAAGCTTCGCAGCGCTGTTAGAGCGCATCCCTGATCTCCTGTCTCCAGTTGTTCAATGACACCTTTAATGTCCATTTTGATTTTTTTCTAAATAGTACGCACTTCTTCGACTTCTTTCCCTCTGATTCTTTCAGCGGAACCACTATGTTGGCTTGTTTACTTGTGACATCATGATCTTCCCTCAGCGGCAAGCAGCCGGTGAGAAGCGATTATCAAAAGATTAGCGCGACGCAAACCCAATGATACGTTCAAGTGACATACGAATATCGAAAAGATCAGAAAGAATGGATCCAATCTAATCTCTGCCGGAGCGCATCAGAGACGCGCCAGTTTCCATTGTTGAAATGGTCAATCCAATTTCAACGATGTTTTTTCATTACTGTTTTAGAAAGTTGTATCTGTTATCGTGACTTTATTAACACTGTTTAAAGCTACGTAGGCGTATGTATACAGAAATAAAATACAAAATAATGCATGCTGTGTTTTGGTTACGTATTTCATTTGGAATCTTAAAAAATAATGACTGCTGTCTGTAACATATGTGAGTAATCATTGATGTATTTTTATATGGCGTTTTGTATGCTTGGGGGCGGTTCAAAGGGAACTGTTTGGAGTTCAGCGAGACTTCCTTTGCTCTCACGGTGCTGTCAAAAGCCAAATGCTGTAGCCTCAGTTGCTTCCGCAAATTGGGCGTTTCTGTTTTTCGCAACAATGAGCGCATGCAGTTTAATTAAGAACATCAATATCAAGATAACGATGCACCCACAGATGTATGCTACAGAAGTACATGAAAACAAATTACATGAATTACAACGATTAATTGTAAGAGAGAAAAACGCTATCATCGTTCCCACAAACTCCGCTCTTCCGGGCCACTGAATAATAACATCTACGGCGTCCAGTTTAGGGCCGCGCACCAATCAGGACCAAGCTCTAACGTGATTGACAGCCATGTCGGCCATTCAGAAGGCTGGGATTGTTTGACAGACAGACGCTGCAGCTGTGGTGGGGGAAGGGCCGCTCAAGTTGACGGAACCGCCATCTTGAAAAGTGCCCTCTGTTGAGCTACCTATTTTTCGCGCCTGTTAGAAACAGTTTTTAATGCTTTATTTTTTTCTGGAGAAGTTATACGGTCATCCCCAATGCGTGGAGATATCTTAGGACAAATGGCAAGATAGGATAGGCCCTGAATACCTGTCTTTTGCCTTTGAATGCCGGTAAGAACACACACTTGTCAGCATAGGGACTTGGTGCTGTAGAAACGATTACCCAGCAGTCTTTAGCCAGATAGCCGGCTAATAGCAGTTTGCTAACGAGAAGCACACAGTAGACTGTTTACACTCAGCCATCGGACCCTCGATGTATGATTATCTCTACATTAGTGCGCTTATCTTGTTTGAACTGGTTGTAAATGGAGCAGACCACATAATATTCGCACATAGTGAGAAAAAGTACCGTGTTAGCATCGAAGCTCGCGGCTACCGGTCAACGTGACGCAACTTGGCGTCAAAACTAGTTTAAACGGCGTTTTCAGTGGTTTTATTTACTTCCACGCGTAATACCAAGATGACTTGTGTGCCGGGTCGCGTATGATATATTTTTATCCATTCGATAAAGCGGTAAACTTCAGTGGGCCTAGGCTGGTAGTCAATATCACAAGGAGGAGAGGACATTGATCACATGAAAGTTGTTTATACAGTAGCCACGTTTAGATGTTAGATTACATGGTACCGTGTTGTTTGAATTGTTTTCCATTTTAAGATCTCAATAATCGATGTATCACTACACCGCAATTAATCCGTTCACTTACGTGTGTATTACTAGTAATAAATAATAATACCACCGCACTTAACTAAACAGATTTGGATGTACCTGCACTTGAGACGGGCAAGGTTTTGTTTACAAACATTTTGAGGTGAGTCGTAGGCCTGGAGCATTTCTGTTTCTCTGGTAGAGGTTTTTTGTTTCTTTGGAAAACTCATTACCTTCTTGATTACCCATCTTTTAGTTACGGTCAAATAATACATTATACAGCTATTCGGTTAATTTCATATGAATTCCACTCTTTAGGATCAATACCTGCATGATGTAGATATAACAGGACTTATTCCTGATTTACAGGTGTGCCATTGTGTAGGGTCGACTTCACCGTTTGCTTGTCTGTATATTCAGCAAGCCTGGAATGGGCCAAATCCTTCAGACTAGAACACACTTGTTTTTAACCTAATCTCCAGCATCTGGAGTGTAAATCTTACAGGTATGTGGCTTCAAATGTGAAATTGGGACATTGAGGAAAAATTGGTACATAAGATGACATCTGTTGTCTTCTCTAGGCAACATGTTTTGGAAATTTGACCTCCACACCACGTCCCACATTGACACCCTTCTGGAGAAGGAAGATGTGACGTTGACAGAGATCATGGATGAGGATGATGTGCTGCAGGAGTGTAAAGCCCAGAACCATAAACTGGTGGACTTTTTGTTGAGACCTCAATGTATGGAAGACCTGGTCACATTCATTACACAAGAGCCAAACACTGATGTTGAGGAAAAAGTTAAATACAAGTATGATACAGGCTTTTAAATAATTTACTCCCGATTTTATTTGCTTATTCACATAAGGTAAACCTACATTCTCTTTAGATACCCCAACATTTCATGTGAGCTGCTTACGTCAGATGTTGGTCAAATCAATGATCGTCTTGGAGAAGATGAAAAACTCCTGATGAAACTCTATGGCTTTCTTCAGAATGAACCACCTCTCAACCCACTTCTGGCTAGTTTTTTCTCCAAAGTCCTTTCCATTCTCATAGGACGTAAGCCTGAACAGGTAGGTCTGTCACTTAAGGCCATTATATTGTGTACAAGCTAAACTAATCTATGAAACAAATTTTCTTCTATTACAGATAGTAGATTTTTTAAGAAAACGTGATGATTTCGTTGACTTGATGATCAGGCATATTGGAACATCAGCCATCATGGACTTGCTGCTCAGAATGCTCACCTGCATTGAACCACAACAGCTGCGACAGGATGTCCTCAGTGTATGTGGCCTGTGTTTTTGAAATGTGGTTGTTTTGTAACAATTGTAAGAAATTGATTAAGTGCTTTAGAAAACGGTTCATAAAAGCACAGATTGAAGTGGACTTCTGATTGTACTGTACACAGTTAAGGTTTGTGTACTTAACTGTGCAACCAAGCGAAGTGACCTTTGGATGTAAATTACATTATGACAGCAGCTTTATGCGCTACGCCATAAATATGCACACCTATCAGCACAGACTAATGGGTCACTAGATTGTCACTAAAAGAACACACAGAAACCAGGTCTTTCACCCATACACATTACTGCATGTCTTTTACCGATACTGTACACAGATTATACTTTTTCCTGTTTTCATTTGTGAAATAATACTATTTATTTTTCCCTCAGTGGCTTAACGAGGAAAAGATTATTCAGAGGCTGATAAATGTGGTTCAGCCATCTCAAGATGAGGATGTGAGTTCAAAAGCAAATTCGTCAATTGTTCAAAGATGCTTTTTTATTGAGGGTTCCTCTTGATTATTTCTATTCTTGCGTTTTTAAGCAGAGACACTCCAATGCCTCCCAATCTCTCTGTGAGATCATCAGGCTAAGTAGAGACCAGATGTTTCAAGTACAGGGCTGCACAGAACCTGATCCGTTGCTCTCTACGATAGAAAAGTATAGAAAGCGTAATTCACTTTGGTGTTCATTAGAACAGTGCTTTATTTATCATCTTGTGTCTTTCTGTCTCCAGGCAGGAAACTGTTGAACAACTGCTGTCCAATATTTTTGACAGTGAAAAAAATGAGTCTGCGATTGTCAGTGTCATTCAGATTCTTCTTACACTATTTGAAATGAGGAGACCAGCGTATGTTTTTATTGTACTAATATCTTATTTTTTATTTATGGTACAGTTTAGAGGTAACTCTTGTTTCAATTTGTTATGTAGGTTTGAGGGTCATATGGAATGTCTCCCTGGTATGTCTCACTCTTCATTCTCTGTAAATCAGAGCATTCTGGAGGCTGTGAGACCACGGCTGAAAGACTTTCACCAGCTTCTTTTAGAACCTCCAAAGGTATGACTAAATAATGCATGCGTTTTATATCTCCTTTTAAAATCATAACTTATTTCCTTTTTTAACAGAAGAATGTCATGAAGACCACCTGGGGAGTCCTGGACCCTCCTGTTGGCAATACCAGGTTAAATGTAGTCCGACTAGTCGCTAGTCTGTTACAGACCAACACACACTGCATAAACACAGAACTTATCAACCTCAACACACTGGGAGTTATTCTAGTGAGTCGAAATGTGTATATTTACACAGTACTTGTTCAAACATTTTTTACATGACTTGTATATTTACAGGATATGTACTTCAAATACATCTGGAACAACTTTCTTCACATTCAAGTGGAGATCTGCACTGCCATGATCCTGGCTATGCCTTCAACTCCCACTGATATTCAGCAGGATAAAGACCAGGAAAGCCCAAGAGAAAGTGTCCTCATCAAACATGTAAGAAGCTTGTGTGTGAAGTGTAGGTTTTCTAATTAATTTGACATCACTGAGGTATAGAGGTTTTATTTGGTTTTTCTTCACTTACAGCTGTTTCAAAAGTGCCAGTTTATCCAGAGAATCGTAGATGCTTGGAACTCTAATGAACAAGAACAGTAAGTTTGTAATCCCAATGTTTATTAGACAACTTAATCATTAGGCTTTTGTGTTAATGCATTGCTGTCTCTTTTGAAGGGCTGAAGGTGGTCGGAGACGAGGGTACATGGGTCATCTCACAAGAATAGCAAACTCTATAGTTCACAACTGCGACAAAGGTCCCAATGGACCCCAGATACAACAGCTTGTTTCAGGTAAAGTTATTTTTTTAGACATTCAGGGCACTCAAACAGCCATCTACCTCTTATTAAGGATGCAAAGCAACAAATATTTCCCTGCACCTGTTCTCAGTGGAACTTAAGGCCAGTACACGCAAATTGTGCGTGTACTGGCATTTTTGACATCATTTGATGTCAAATGTGTACACCAAAAGACAAACAATAATATTAAAATCAATAGCCATACAGTTTCTAAAAGGGATGGGACGAAGTGGACGTAAACACACCTTGTGTATTTACTCCGTCATCTTTGTCTTGTTTGCTATGTAGTTTGTATTTAGAAACTGAATTGAATTAGAGAATGAGGTGAAAATTATTAGTCACATTTTGATACAATTTTACCCCATAGAGCTGCCTGCAGAGGACCGGGAAAAATGGGAGGCATTTATTTCAGGGCATTTAGCTGACACAAACAAGAAAAACACTGTTGATTTGGTGAGTGCGGTCTCTTTATTTAAGCCTAAAATGTTTATAGATATATGCATTTTAATATGGATCTTATGTACAGGTGAACACACACCATATTCATTCATCAAGTGATGATGAAGTGGACTTCAAAGACAGCGGTTTTCATCAGGATTCCTCTCTACAACAAGTATGATTTTTAAAAGTTGCCTTCTCATGATCTGTTTTTAATATAGACTGTAATGTACTAAATAGTGGTTTAAATTTGAAGTTTTTAGGCATTTCATTACATTTCAAGTAATTGCCAGCATTCTCTGTAGCTAAGTCTATATCAATATCATTGGTCCTGGGCTTTGCCAGGCCTTTTCTGATTATCAGATGCAACAAATGACGTCCAATTTTATTGAGCAGTTCGGCTTCAATGACGAAGAGTTTGCTGATCAGGACGATGTTGTGGAGTGAGTATTTTGGCTCCATCACTTCTGTACATGCATTGTCCTTGTTTTGTATCAATTGTTTCAGCAGCATCATTGAGAAGTATCTGTATTTGCCTTTGTCACATATGAGAAATTCTAAATGTATACAGTAGTGATAGCTTCTATGTGTTTGTTTATGTGGGTAGGATGTAGGGTAGTAGATTTTAAATTGCTGTAATTTTTCGTAATCCAAATCTGTTGTCTTTGTCACAGTATTCCCTTCGATAGAATATCAGACATAAACTTTTCACTGAATACAAATGAAAGCGTAAGTATTCTTAATTTTCAGCAGATGCACACAATCTACAATTACATTTTAATGTTGTCATCGTCTCCAGGCAAATATAGCCTTGTTTGAGGCCCGCTGTAAGGAGAAAATCCAGCAGTTTGAGGATGCTGGTTCAGATGAGGAAGATATTTGGGATGAAAAAGATGTGACCTTTGCACCAGAGGCACAGAGACGCCCCAGGTATTTTGACAGTATCACTTTGCAGTATCATTTGAATGGAATTATAGTATATGTATTCATGTTTTTTTTAGGAGTTCAGGGAGTACAGACAGTGAGGAGAGTACAGACTCAGAAGAAGAGGAGGTCAAGAGGGATTCTTTTGAAACTACTGCTCCCAGCACTGATGACCGGATGGAAGTGGACACGGGTCAGTTTTATCCTGATAGTAGCGTTGCATGTATTTTTTATTTATTTTTTTCTTTGCACGTACCAGTGACTTTATTCTTACACGCATTAGGGCCGGTGTGGACCGCAAACTTTGATGACATACCGATGGACACAGGAACTTCCACCGCCACAGCAACCAACCCCAACAGTTCTTCTATGTCCTCCTCCACAGATGCTCCTGTGGAGGTCTCATGGAGCTCTCCTCCTTCAGCTACATCCAACTCTGAATCAGGCTGGGCCAATTTCTGCAACTTTAACTCTGCCAGGTATCCGTCTCTCACCAGCTCTGCCTCCTCTGGTATAGACGTGTTGGCTCATTACATGTTATTTATCGTAGTCCCAAAGACCCTCTGAGGTGCAACTCTCCTGTTGCTATGGAGACCAGCATAGAGACAGATCCACTTGGGGTAAATGCACCCCAGAGACACGAAGGTAAACTGCCTTGTAGAATAATTGCTATTCTGCGGATGTATTTGTTGAAGAGAACAATGTCTTTAGGCCTGTGTTTTTAATCTTTGTGTTTGTGTAGGTGGTGATGGCTGGTTAGACAACAGTGAAGTCCCCCCTTCCTCTCCAAAAGACTCAAGTGAATCTAAGTTGGAGGAAGTTTCTGAGCAGCGAAGCATCACAGAGACTGTCATTAATGGCTCTATGAAGGAGACTGTCAGCCTCACAGTGGACGCCAAGACTGAGACTGCAGTCTTCAAGAGGTTTGGACCAACACACACAGCTCTAAAACAACACTCTTTAAGGGGTTATATTAGCCAGCATATACCTTTCGCCATTTCAGAAACAATTAACCAAAAACGCTTAACATTGTAATATACTTTTTTTTTGAGTGGACATAAGCAATTTTTTAAAAATTATAATAATTCCAAAATAATTATTTGGCATTGGAATTTTTATATATATATAAAAAAAAATCGTACAATGTCTGAGCCACTCTAAACCGCTGTTCTCTGCGTTGAAATGATTTCCCTTTTGTGACTTTTTGGTCACTTTCAACTCTCCTCCTGCTGCCTGTATAAGGCTTCTGTGTTGTTGGAGAGTGGATGTAACAGTTTTGAAGACTGGTTACCCGGTTTCCCATAAGCTACTCTGCACCTCTAGACCATTGTCTCCATATTAATTTATAACGTCTTTCCTGGGTATGTGAAGGTGTATACACATTGCATTTGTAATTCTCATGCATGTACAACACTGCCAAAAGTGGCCAACAAAAAGCCTAGCATAAGCTCTGCTCAGCTTACCACCCCATCCAATGGCCTTTTAAAATTCTTAAACATTTCAGATTTTCACGATTCGTCTATAGTTCATAGCAGCAGCCTGTCCCTTTTCTTTACCTGTTGATCTGCATTATGTTGTCCATATGTCTTGACTAAACAACTGTTGAGAAGTGACTGACACTTACAACCTGAGCTTCCCCTCCTTTCTTTCTTGCTGTGCGTTATTGGTGTGGGCTTCTTCAGAGTGTTGAAATCTTATCGGTATGTACAGCCAATCAGAGATCAGCCTGCAGCCGTGATGTAGTCTTGTTGTCACGTCAACCACCACAACAACCACTTTTCTTTCCCAGTTATTATCTTGTCTTTAATTGTAGCTCCTTACTTTATTTCATATTTCCATTTTGCATGTCTTTAAGTACTTTGAAATGCTTTTTGTCTTTACAGAGCTATCTTAGAATGTTATGCACTTTGCATATGAATGAGCTTTTTATGCATTAATTGCACATCTTGTGGTCTTAGGGTAGGCCCGAGCACAGAACATGATGTACTGCTATATTCATAAGGGGAGAAATAAAGGAATTGACAGATTATAATGTACACACCTGTAGGCTGGTGGTCTGAGGGGTCTAGTTAAATCTTAAGGAGCTGCAAAGAGAAAGCATTGTATGTAATAACAATAAAATGGTGCCAGTACTTAATGAGGGCACCTCCTATTTTACTGATTTGATGAAGTGGACTGCTTGATGTTTCCTAAAAGTTCAGTAGACCCCCAGTCTGTTTTTACCAGGCTGTGCATGTGGTGGGCTCATTGGTGGTTCTCTGAGACAAAGCAAGACCGACGGCTGGTTCAATTGTTTGAAAATATGCCTGCCTGCTATTTTTTGGCACTGATGCAACAGGATAAATACTGTTGTTGTTTTTTTAAAGACAATTCAGTTGACTTTCTCCATTTGCTGTACATTTGACGTCTTCATCGTATCCTGTGCCCATTCAACACTTCATCCTTTCTTTTCTGTGTGCCGTGTCAGTCCGTTCAGCATGCGTCACTTTTTATTCTGTCTATTTTGCGGTTTTATAACATGGTCACATTGATGTAATATTTTTCTCCGGTTCCAGTGATGAAGAGAAGAGTTGTTCACCAGAGAAAACCTCGGTTGGAGAGGGTGCCGATGTGGAGAGTGCAGAGCTCAACAGTCCAGCAGCTGCCGGCTGCCCAAAAAAAAGGTCTGAGTTTATCCTATGCATTTAAAGGAATAGTATGAAAGATTTTGTCTGTCTCCAGACACATGGTTCTTAATTAAAAGTATTATGAGCATAATGATTATACTATTAGATACTTTATTGATCCCCCGTATGAGAAATTCAGGTGTCGAGTCGCAGAAGACTCATCTAGGTTTGTTGTACAGTCTGACAGCCGAAGGAACAAAGGATCTCTTAAAACGTTTCGTTCAGCAGCGTAGTGATAGGAGCCTGTTGCTACGATCACTCCTGAGCGGCCATAGTGTCATGCAGAGGGTGTCTGGAGTTACCCATGATGCCCTGCATTAGAGCCCTCATCCTTCTCTCCATCACAGAAACACATTAAAACTAAATAATAAAAACAAAGTCACACAAAACTATTATGGTTTTTCATGTTTTTTTTTTACTTTTTGATGGCTTTAGGTTGTGACTTGGCCATTGATGTGAACTTGTAAACACCTGCGGACCTGTATAAAAAGAGTACCCGATGGTTGTGTAGAGTTCCTTTTTTAAGCCCAGTATCAGAAAGCCAAATGAGCTTCTCATTTGAGTTTCCAGTTGATGAAATCCTGTTTGGTATGTACCTAAACCACCCCCAGAAAAAGTTAAATGCGTAAAGGAAATGCCTTTTACTTAACGTTGATCCGGAAGCCGGTGAGAAGTCCCTTTTCAGACGGTCCTTGTCATGGCGGCTATATTAAGAACGGAAAGGAATAGGCTTCCTCTATTTGTCCTTATAGCATAGGAAACTGTTGTGGAGAAAGTAGGGGATCCCAGTGCGTATGTCAGCATAAGCAGATTTATTTATATTACCGATGCTGATAATTTTATAAAGTATATTTTATCCAGCAGTGGAAAGTGAACTTCACATGGCTTGTGTGGATAAATTGTTGTAGGGGCCTCAGTCCAGCAGCTTCTTCTGCTGTTGGACCAAAAGAGCAGGGTTTAGTGCAATGTTATTCATATGTGACCACAGTATTATTCTTAATACACACACACATGGCATTTTCATGTCTGAAATCTTACTGTTTTAATGTCAGATTTCCTCACATTCTTTCTGTCAAGTCTACATCCTATGACTAAAATTAAGGCATTTGCGCTGTTTCTACGTGAGCAAACAGGGAACACATTTAGTTGTAATTGTAGTACGCCTATCTTTGAAGCTACAGTATGTATAATTACTCTGAAACTTGTTTTTCTTTCATCCTACCAGCAGTGACAAAGTTCCCAATGGGCCTTTAGAAGAGCTGTCACCGACACAAGAGGCAACGTATGTTATTTAACTTCTCATTCACTGTCAATTTAAATACAAGCTTCAAGTCTTTAACAAACATTTTACTCTCCCCAGGCTGGAGCCATCTTCCGCTTCCCCAGAGGCAGCTGTTAACGGTCCTGTGTGAGTGATGTAGTGCACCTGTGCGTCCAGACTGTGGTGCCCCGGGCTCCTCCTCCTCCCGGTCCGGTCAGCGGAGGCCTCCGATCAGAGCTGTACCAATCATTCGCCCCTCCAGGATCAGCAATAGTCCCACGATCTCTCCACCACTGACAGTTGTATAGACATGAGATGGACTGAAGACGTGTGACATACTCAAAATGAATACAGATGTTTCTGCATTTGTTTTTAAGACGTTCATATGGGGTTATGTGCAACGAATATCTTTCCACTAAAAATGAAATAGTCATGTCGCAATAGCTAAAGAAATGATTGTATGAATAAAATATTTTACAAAAAGACATGTATACAGAAACATGAGGAAGTAACACCAGACAAACTAACAAATTGATTCACAAGTCAAACCAGTTTGGTCAAACTTGATATATTTGACAGTTTCACCCCAGTTTTATTTTTGCTGTTTATGTTTTATGTAAATATTTTTCTTGTGGTCTTCAGCAATGAGACTGATTTAAAAATCTTGTTTTTTGTATTTATTTTGTGATAGTTCTTAAAGGGATATAACATCATATTGTGTCCCTTTTTGAGCTTTCATACTATCTAGTGTTCAGATGACATGGTTTGAGTAAGAAGCTAATTTGGTTCACACCCAAGATAGTTTCTCTAGGAGGTTTTGTACCACTTTTGATACCAGATGTAATTTTTGTTCCAAGGTGCACTTAGAAGTTTCCAGGTGGTATTATCACACATGAATGCCACATCCGTTTGTGCACCTTTTATAGAAAACTCAATTCCACTGAGCCTGGAAAATCAAATCTGCTACCACTTGTAACCCAATGACTTCAATTAAGACTTAGCAGGTACAATTTGTGGAGCTTAAGGCGTTGTTAAGCATTTATTAATAAAAATGCGCACAAAACTTGAAAATATGTTGACTATGAAAAAAGCTTTCTTACGTTGGTTTCGCAGATTCTACACCAGAGACTGTATTTCTAGACTTATAGGTCTCAAATAAGTGAAGTTTGAATTGGTTTATCAAGCTTTGTAGTGGACTATGAAAGTAGTTTTGGCCAATAGTTCAGTATGGTGTTCAGTTCACGCAGAACAAAAACTACAATCCCGGTCCGGGGGCGCATACATGTGACGTCAGAAGATGTTCAGCGAAAGATAAGTCTGCTGTTCACACTTTGACAGCAGAATTTACTTGTAAAATAATTACCTCTTCAAATGTGAAGCATGGCTGACAAATACCGTGAGATCGGATTTGCCCAACAAATACTTGGTCTAAATTTGGTACCAAGAAAAAACGGTTCTCTTGGAAACGACACCTCTTTGAGCGACTTCTCGGGTGAGCTAATGTTTGTAGCATTTCACAATTCTCCTTTGCTAACTGTTGTAAAACTTGTATAGACATATTGAATCATCTAATGTGGGATTGATAAGAGCGGCGTAGTGCTACTGAGTGGCTCATGTCTTCATGTAACGAGGATAAATTGTGCAGTAGAACCGGCTAATCGCTAACACTAGCGTTAGCTAGTTGAGTGGTTATCAGCCACATACTGTTTATCAACGCTCGTAATCAATCCAGGTCGCAGTTAACCTGGGTTAAGTATGTTGTCTGCTCTTCTACAGAGATGTGGTATGGAGTGTTCCTGTGGGCAGCTGTTTCGTCTCTGATGTTCCACCTTCCTGCTGCACTGTTGTCTTTGGCCACTCTGCGCCAACATAAAATCGCCCGCTTCATGCCCATCGCCATCACTCTTATGGGCATCATTGGACCGCTCTGTGGAGGGGTTCTCACCAGTAAGTAGTTTGGGATTTACAGTTTGACTTTTTAAACTGGATAGCACTCTCGCCTCTCAGCAAGAAGGTCATGGGTTCGAATGCCGGTCGGACTAGGGCCTTTCCGAGTGGAGTTTACATGTTCTGCGTAGGTTTCCTCCGGGTACTCCGGTTTCCCCTGCCACTAAAAAATATGTACAGTAGGTCTGGTATGCGCGTCCTGTAGTGGCGACCCCGCTCCCATCTCTGTGTGGAGTGAGAGGACAAAATGCCCAAAAATAACAATTGTAAACCGCTTTGTGACTCTGGTCTGTAAAAGGCGGTATATAAATAAACATTACTTACTTACTTAATCTAGGGGTATCCAAACTTTTAGTAACATGGCCCTGTTACTAGTTCACCAGAGTGGCCGACAACACGGATTAAAACGGGTTTGACTGGATTGGGGCTGTTTTCAGCCTTAAAATTATATGAGATGTCCATATTAATTCCCATTTGACAGATCTGAAATATACTTGTGGTGAAATCACATTACAGCCACATTAGCACCAAATATGGAACTCTGTGACACAAGCAAGAACTAAACAGCTGAGTTTCAGAGATTTACAACATATAACTTGCATTTATTGGTAGAGCTGAAGTTGTCTGGATGACACTGAACTTGTGTTTATGATCTAATTTAAACACATAAAAATAGATTCATGGGGCTTGAATTAACCTAATACTACTCAGGATCTTCATAGAAAAATGCGAGCACTCTCAACTTTTCTCTTCTTTTCTGTAGGTGCTGCTATTGCTGGTGTGTACAAGGCTGCAGGGAAGAAGATGATCTCTCTTGAAGCTCTGGTCTTTGGTGTGGGCCAGTCATTTTGCGTTCTCATAATATCTTTCCTCAGGATTTTAGCTACTCTTTAGCAGGGCCCCACGACAAGCTCCATGCACCATTGTTTTCATGGAGCTCCGTTCCACTAAATCAGGCATGATGATGTCATTACATAAAATAAACTTTCATTAGTAAAATATATCTACGTTTTTAGGGCACTGACGGGGCCGGAAATAGTTGCAGACAAATGTGTATGAAATATGAAGGCCTGAGCAAAGAAGAGGTGATTGTAATGATGCTGCTCAATAATTCATCTGTGATGGACATTTGTGTTACTTCATACACTGCTGTCCCTGTGGATTGGACTCTGATGGCACCTCTATGTTTATAATACAATGTGAATGTACTGTACAGTATTCAAAGCCTGGATATAGCTTTGAGTTTTGAGGCCTTAATTTATTCATTTATTATGGTTTAACCTTCCCAAGGACGTTCTTGAATTGAATATCCAACAATTGTATATATTATGATTTATTGATAATTGATATGTTTAATGTTTATTATGTCTCTTTTGTATCAAACAAATGATTTAAAATCTCCATCTATGTATGCAAATGCTTTCCCCTGGTGTTCTAAAGTATTTTTTTGTTGTTGCAAGTTTACATAGATTTCGTTTACAAGCTTCGCTTTTACTTTCCTGACATTACATGAAAATGAAAAATAAATTGAAGATAATGAGATCCTTGCTTGATCGCACTACACCATTGTACAAATTACATTTAATTGACCGGAGTTTACGGATTGCTAAGGCCAGGCTAATGAGACCCAGTTCAATAGCACAAACTGAGGTCTACTTATGACTTGATGACATGGCATTATACACTGGTAAAGTTATTATATCATGCGTCCATTGTGGCTTAAATAGAATGCATGTTGTGATGTTACCCGGCTACAGGAGGCGCTCGAGTCGTCCTCATTAGCTCTCTCTTCTATAGCCTGTAAATGTCTATGACCAATAATTTAATTTAATAATTTTAAGTGTTTGACAAGTCACTCTTATAATCAGTGTTGGGTAATTACTGTAATGTATTGCTTTTTGCCGTAATGTAAGTAATTCACACAAAAAACCCTAATATTTTACTTGGTAAATTTAATTTGAACACAAAATTAAATTGCATTTTGTTTTTATACCACTGACTTACTTACTTTGACTTTGTTGGAGACAAAGCTGTGTGGAACATAACAGTTAACTTTATTTGCCAAACCAAAAGCTCTATCAACCTCATGCATTAGCATCAGTAGCAACATTTAAAATGAACATTGTTACCTTAGTTTAGAGTTATACTGTATGTGGTATAGGGCTGAAACAACTAATTGATTAATCGACGACTAATCGATTATTGAAATAGTCGACAACTATTTTAGTAATCGATTAATCGTTTTCTGGTTCACACGGACTCAAACAGAGCAAAAATGACTTGAAAATGTAGTATTTTTGATTAAAACCGACTTTGTTTTTATAATTTCATGAATATCTGTCTGTCTCATCCAATCAGAGCAGAATTAGCACAAAGAGCCTGTTACAAACATTTACTTAAAGTTTACGCCATCAATACGTCCTCGAGTGTTGCCACTTTAGCTTTTTGTGATGAAAAAATATTTTTTTCCTACACAATTCACAGCCAAGCGATTGATCGTAAAAATAATCGATAGATTAATCGATTAGAAAATAATCGTTAGTTGCAGCTCTAATGTGGTATATGAAGAAAACACGTTTACTTCTGTTTTTGTTTGTATTGTTCTTTTAATACAATAGATGAGGTCATGTTCATTCTCTTGCACAGTCTACTCCTTCTTTTTGTAGTCCTCCAGATGAGCCAGGATCCATCCACTTGGGCCAAGGATCGCCACAAACATGCAGGTGAGTGCAAAGGCCTGCTCCTACAAACGCAGACATGCACACAGTTCATTAGGAGTGATGCCCTTGTATCATTTTCATTTTCAGGTTAATTTTCCCAGATTAAATTAAATTGACAAACATGACCAGGTTAAACTGAAAGCACACTAAATGGTTAATTAATGTAATTGACAAATAGCGTCACAACAACTGTCAGATATGAAAAACAATGATACAAATCTGTTCTCACACCTTTAATTTTCACAGAAATATGTTCAATTAACAGTTGATGTGATCACAGCTCTGTGTATATACAATGTGAATGTCAAGGGCACCCAACACCCAAACATCCTAACAACATCACAGGTAAAAAAAATGGATGGATGTGGAAGCTTAATTTTGATTTTGAGTTTGGATATTTGACTGTGGTGGAATTTGCAGTTATATTTGGATTGAAGCAAAACCAGGGGTAAGAAAGAATTGTTATTATTACCATCTATAACTGTTCATATTTTGTTTGGTGATTTATGTGGTTGCTGCTCACAGTCTGTGTGAGAATTTTTTTTTTCAAAGTGATGTAAATCATGCCATGGTAGCTCATAATGACGTATTGAAAATCATTCTGACAGCCCCGGTATAGTGAGACTTTTGGCCAACTTGAATGTAGTCATATAATTCCTATATCTATTTTTGTCAGATAAAGAAGTTGGGCCATACCCATAGGCCCACCCACTTTGAAATGGTTCCAAATCCAAGGTCAATCTTTCCTTTTAATAACCAAATACTGAATATGACCCCATTATGTCCTTTACTTATACTGATCCATGAGGCTATCGACACATACGTGCTTGAATTAAGGACAACAATGGCGGGAGAGGTGACTTGACAGAAATCATAAAATGTTGGAATGATTAAGAGATCAAATATTGACTTCTGGCTACGTGCGCACAGGCTGCGCAGCAATGGTAGTGTGATCTCTGATGGTAAACTTATCCCTGCAGAAATGGTCGTACATAGATAAGAGAGGGTCTCAGATGGGGAACTTAACTTACCCCTGCAGATATGTTGTGCTCCGCGGGCTTCGCGGACACCCGGGCGCTGGGCACCACCTGTGCCCTCAGAGCGTGTCTGAAGAGCCGGGAGACAGCGGGCAGAGACATGGCTGTGATGGAGCTTTAGAAAGCGCACAGGTTTTATACAGAGCACTGGTAACACTACCACAGGTTCAAATCTAATCTGTGTCCCTCTCAGGTTCCTCTGCCCTGAAGAGAACTGCGCACGAGTGCGGTGCGTCTGCGCGCGTAGGAGAGAGCGTCACCTGTCACTTTCCTCATATGAGCCAACTTACTGACGATAACAGCTTCATAAGCAAAATATCACACATTCTGAGAAGGGACCAACTTAAATCAAGTGTTGTTTATCGGGCTTAATTCATGGACATATTAAACTGTTTTAATACGTTTAATGCTTCATATGAGTCACGTGCATGTCGGTGTTATCCGACGAATCATAATCTCCGAAACGAGGGGAGGGGAGGGGGGGGGGGGGGGGGTATTCCTGTTACATTTTTCCGATTATTGTAAGTTTTGAATATGCAAAACCACCGCAACCAACGAAATAAAGTAAACAAAGTGAATATATTCTGCACTGAATCTGTAGTGGCTATGTCTCACCTGCAGATGGCGGTGTTTAACACTTTGTATCAGAGGCAGTTCAGCAGAAGAAGAGAAGCCACATCAGCTCCAGGAAGTCAAAGTTCAGTTCTGTTCTGTTTTTCGCATGGCTGTTTTACAGCTTTTCTCCACAACGAGCCTGAACATAATCAACTAACTACTGGTATGTCAACTCATTATTATTATTGCTATTTACGAAGACGGGCCTTGAGAGATTTCTATTGGATTTTCCCTGAATACTAACCAATATGTGAATCACTAGTTTTCCTTCAATTTAAATGTACTCATTGGTTGTTATTATTACTAAATAGTTTCGTAGAATCTCTGGTTTCAGCTATAACTTCAGCTCTATCTCTGTGAAATGATAATGTTCTTTTCTGTAACAAATGTCCCTGTGTATCTATGACGTCTAGTATCTCTGAATCATAGACTTTACAACACTATACAGTCAATGGTCTAAACGTGGGGGGTTTGACGTGTCTCGAATCTCTACAGTGTATATGTTTGTCGTTCTAAGTGCTCATGACTTCTCCTTTGTCCCCTGACAGTGCCTTCATGCGAGGGTCGCTCTGCCCATCATGTCCCTGGTGGCTCCACTTGTGAGTCTCTCTGTGCTGTGTGGGCTGCTGGCTGCCTCCTCTGTCAACAGGACCTTGGCGCAACCCAACACTACTACTGCCTGTATTGAATGTAAGTCATGCATTTATTTATGTATACTGCTATCTTTACTTTTGTTCATTTTGGTCATAATAAGATCAAGATTAATATTTCCTGTATCCGGCCCACAGTGGGGAAATTTCAGTGTTGCATCACGAGCGACAGAACAGTAAGAATGAGGAGCATACAGCAAAAGACAAGTGAACTGTAAAATAAAATCTCTAACTTTTGAATTGTAAAGAATGGTAAAGAAATCTCTGACTTTTCAAGTACAATACCAACCATCTGTAAATGTTGCTATCTGATGCTGACTATAGCGTATACTCTACAAGTGCAATTATAGCTCCAGAGTTTTATTATCTCATTATTTTATATCGTTGTAAATAATAGATCCTGTTTGTTGTGTGCATAACTTTAGTGCTCTCATTTTATTTTAATCTTTTATTCTGCTGTATTGTACGCAAATAAGACAATGAAATTAATTTTAATTTTATCTTTACATTGTATTCAACAGTTGACAAGTGCATGTGACTGGTTGGACTTTTCATGTTACTAATGCACTCTCATTTAAAAAAATCTCGTCACGCTGTATCTGACTCAAGCAAATTAAATGTCACAGAAAATATTTGATAGAAAAAATCTGCAGAATTGTAAAAACTCAATTAAGAATGCTCTTGACAAAAGCTTAGTTGTTTTATTGTTGTTTAGCTGACAATACATTTCACCTAAAGCTTTTGCCTTGTACGTTCTACAAAAAAAAGTAAAGAAATGTCTATCGAATATGTCCTGTTTAATTATTAAGCGTAACACATATTTGTTCTTGTGTAGCTTTTGCCTTTCCGATTTATTTGTGTGTCTTCAAAGTGTGTTGTTGTCATCACACTTGCATCCTGTTTATTTTTACTTATGTATCAACTTTTCTCCACAAATTGTTTATTTTTCTTCCAAGAATAATAGCGATAGTATGTTTCATGTTTTACCTTTTCTAAGTGTGTTATTTTCTTTCTTTTTTTTATTTGATCTGAACTTGCCAGCAGCAGAACTCAGTTACGGTGTTTCAAATGTAGTTCAAGCCAACGTGAACAGCAAGGAACTCGATCAAGGAAACATCTCTTTGGGCAACACTAATCAATGGCGTGAGACTGCTACTGCAACAGAAGAAGTTGAATTCATGTGTATTTTTAATGGGACTTCTTTGCATATTTACCCTTTTTTTGAAATTATATAATCAATACAAACAAATGTCAATAAATACTTCAGCTAAAACAAATGTATTTATGTGCGTTACAGGTAGCAACGGCAGCGCGAGTCAAAACACATCTGAGAGCGGTCAGAGAAATGTCAACTCTGCCCAACTTGACCAGCAGCTGCGCCTTGATTCTCTTAATAATGGAAGCCAAGATGTACTGTTAAACAAGACTATTGACAATGGCAAACAAAACCTCACCCAAAAAATCAATAACACCTCCTCCTCCTCCTCCTCACCGTTCAACATTTCCACTCAAGAACCAGCGAAAAGCAGCGATCTCTCAGCAGAGCCTGAAGCGAGCACAGGTCCGCATTCTGACAGCGTTAATAATGTGCCTTCTAATACTGCAGCAGGGCAAGCAAACACCGGCGTAATAACTTCACCCGCCAGCTCTACTACGCTTTCCACCCCAACTACTACTACTACTACTACTACTACTACAATTACTACCACCACAACCACCACCACCCCTTTTCCCACGCCAACAATAACGGTTACCCATGCAACAAATACCACCACATCGGCCCCAAGCTTTGTAACTATAACTCCAAGCTCCAACACAACCACACAGATGACCAAGAAACCTCCTGCTACGACTGCTACTGCTACTACTACTACTACTACTACTGCTACTACAACTATATCTGCTTCTACTGCAACTAGTTTAGGGTTCACCAACTCCCCAACCGTCCAATATCTGAGCTCGTTGGTGGAGGTGGCGGGACAGGACTTGACCAGCCACTTGGTCGACACTGCGTCGTTATTGGCGATTCTGCTGTTCGGTCTGCTCTTCTTCTTCGTCATAGTCACGTTGTTTGTGACCCAGGCCTACGAAAGTTACAGGAGGAAGGACTACACTCAAGTGGACTATTTGATCAATGGGATGTACTCGGACTCGGGCGTGTGACGACGGCACAGTGGGGCTTTTTTTTTTTGAAAATCGTTGGACAAGAAGGTGTGGGATAACCCAGATAACTCATGCAACTACAAGTACATGGACGCCTTGATCAGAGGATTGTTGGTATAGGTTTTAAAAAAAATTCTCCAATTTATTTTTGAAAGCAGCATTATACAGAAGCAGGTGTTGGGTTGTAAGACAAGAGGGAGACATTTTGTTTTATGCCAATCATTTTCATTCCAAAGTGATAGAATGTCTTAATTAACTTCTGTTTGTAGCAGTCTTACAATAACACCTGGTGATTACATAGATGCATTGAATTTGTATATGTAATTTGTTTGCGTGGCACAGATAAATAGCAGATTTGAGCAATAGTTTACCTCATTGTGATGCAATAATACAGCTTTATTTTTTAACGCCAATACTGGTACTGAGATTTCCTTTGTCTTTTTCTTTCTTTGTTTTTTTTGTTTTTTTTCAGGTGTTTTACATTCCACAGCCCCCCTGCAATGCATCTTTATTGAGAATGCTGATGTTGTTGGAGCCGTTGCCTCTTTAAGGAAATTGTCAAATTGTTAACTACACCACTACGGCCTGAAGCATCCAGCTTTGACCCAAGGTTTACACTGGCCTCAAAGCCTTTCTCAACAGACCTGCTTTTTAAATTGGGTTTGTACAATGTTTATAGTAAAAAAAGAAAAGGGGTCACGTCCACAAAGTGAAAATATCCATTTCTGGATTCCATTGATGTTTGTGCTACAATTGTGCGACAAAAGTAACAGTGTCTGTGTCTTAATCACAGTAACTTTACAGAACAACACTTTCCTTTTCGGATCAGTGTTGCTGAGCGCGTGGCTTTTTATTGCACTTCAAAGACTGAACTGACAGCATTCAGACTGAACAATGTCATTGCATTTCTAATATGTGACTTATTAGAACAAGACCAAATGTTTTTGTGTTGTTAATTCATTGTTTGTTTCCTCCGTTTACTTTTGGTTTGAGATTTTGTCTTAAGATGCCAAAAATGTCAAAGCACATGATTGTAAAGCCAAGGGAATTGTAAAGCCATTTTGGTTCATGTTCAGTCGAATTGTGAAGGTAGGTGCATGTATTTAATTCTCTGTGGAACTTAATGCCTTGTGCCAACTTAACATTGTACCAGTGCACTTTGATTTTTAACTTGGATAAAAATAAAAGGATCAAACTAATGGGCGTATATATTTATTTGATTACATAACTTTAAGAATCTTTCATGTATGCACACAGCCTTTGTATAGGATTTCATTTCAGGAGTCCATCTTGTACTCTTTTATGTTTTAAAAGTATTCGTTATTTTCAAGTTGCACCATGTGTTATTGACATCAAAGCCTCGTTGAATGAATTTACTGCTCTCTTTGTTGGAGAATAATAAGTCATCACCTGATGGAAAATGATCTAAACTGTTAAACTGCAGCAGGGTGAACAGATGTGAGCAGTGGATCTGAAAGTGGGAGGGTGCAATAGGATTTCAAGATGTACTTCTAAACTTTTTGTTGTATTTCACCAATTGTTTCACACCAAATTTGATAATTAAAGTAAAACACAATAACTGACTAAACAAGAGTATAAGTTTAGCACGTTTGAGTTGGAAGTAGATTTGATGCATATCTCTAGGGACTGAACATTTTGAGAACCCCTAAGTTTTTCTCATAAGGAGAAGTAAAGGGAGACGATATAAAACTGCTCTGACTTTCACTGTTCCCGACATGAGTGCAAAGAGGGTCTTCTTTCTGCCCACTGGGTGGGCCAATTAGCTTTAGCACCTCATTATTGTTGTGTTTATCCAGTGTTTACAACAAATATGATGGTTGGAAACTTTGAGTTATTGCACCTGTTTCCAGTTAAAAATCCCTTTGTTCCACCTATATTGACGTATTTCCAGAGAAAGTATAAAAATATGTGTTTTGGCAGACGTTTTGTGGAGCTTGCCTTGGACATTCCCACGAGCAAAATGCAGGCTTCGCTGAATTAACACAAGAAAACAAATGTAATTTTTTTTTTTTTTTTTTATTGTTGGAGTTCGGAGTACATTTGCGGCGGCTTCAAGTCAGAGTTCCACACACTAATATTTCTCTCCTTCATCCTCCAAGGAGATGGGGATTACATTCCCACATAACTTTGCTTCTGTCAGTCTGCCCCAGGGCAGCAGTGGCCACCACAGTGTTTAGAGTGAATCAATATTGCACTGGTAAAGTGTAGTATTCACTCAGAGTGAAGTGCACTGGATGTCATAAAAAGCGCTGTATACTGTACATCCAGTGCATCATCGTTATTGTTGTGAGGATCCACAGCTGCTGAAGTCCACTATGTTACCATAGCTGATAATGAGATGTTTATGTGTATTATTATTCCTTCTTCAAAAAGGAAAAAAGTGTAATTTTGGTGATGTTTAGCAGTTTTTTTTACATGCATACAAAAAAATTAACTACAGTATAAAATCCATGTGCAGGGCAGAGCAAGAAAAACTGCAGCCAAGACCACCTCGCAGAAATAAACAAATACCAAAGCAAACATAAGTACCACAATATTAAGCAATTCATCCATAAATAGAGGAAAATGGGAAAAATCTTAAGTTGTTTCTTTAAATGAAATGCTATGTACAACTTTTCAACTTTTTAATTTAAGTTTTTCCATCAAACAGTCTATTTTGTATTAGTGCTATACTATTTTAACCATTGAAGCCCTTTCCCTTTTCAGCGCTCCGATTGCAGACTTTGTATTTCAGCTTTTGACACTGGCTCGAGAACTGAACTGTGGGTAATTTAGTGTGCGGAGCAACTGAACAGATGTGTCTAAAACAGAGATATCCTTCTCCTGCCTTCGCCTGCACCTGTTTTCAGTTACCAAAAAGAGAAAGGTATGTTACATCAGTCATATTGGTCTCAAAGCGCGGTATTTATGAGAAGTAAGCAGACCAATGCAGAGAACATTTTTAAATGTTTGTAAAGGCCCAAGTGTGAATCAAAGAATGTGGGCGAAGAAAAATATGTTTCATTATAACATTCCTGTCTGGATGCAAAAGAGCAAGAGCATGAGATGGTCTGAGCTTCTGTACTTTAGGTGACGATAATAAAGATCAAGGACATTTCTGTGAAAGAAGGCTGGTTAAAGAGAGAAGTCCACATTTGTCTACCCTACTATAATACTTAGAAGGTCCTGGATTCGATCCCACCTCCAGGCCTTTCTGTGTGGAGTTTGCATGTTCTCCCCGTGTCTGTGTAGGTTTCCTCCGGGTGCTCCGGTTTCCCCTACCACTAAAAACATGTACAATAGGTCTGGTATGATCCTCCTGTTCGGCGACTTCACTCCCATCTCTGTGTGGAGTGAGATACTAATGCACACAACTATTGAAAAGTGCTTTGTGACTCTGGTCTGTGAAAGTCGCTATATAAATAAATATTACTTACTTACTTCATGCATAAATTACATAAATAATCAATCAAATGCGCTTCATATGGAATTTTTCACTCTGTGTTATTACTTTAGCCACAAGAAAAGCTGACAAAAAGGAGGCAAGCAGTATGTGACATGAGCTACCATTCACTCACTCATTCACGAGTCCTTAGGCAAGACATTGTATTGTAAGGACACAACATCAGCCGCCCCGCTGTGGCACCTGGTGTTTCCAGAGGTTTCCCATCACAGTCCTAACTAGGCCCAGCCCTGCTTAGCTTAACTGAGATCTGCTGGGACCAGGCTTTCACAAGCAGGTGGCACCACACCTCTACCACCCTGGGTTCCATACTGTGCTGACCCAGGCCTATCTCTGTGGAGTTGACCTGGGACTCTCTGTGTCTATGGGTGGGTTTCCTCTGGGCGCTCTGGTATGTATGTGGTGAGTGAGTGAGAGTGGAGCTGGAAGGGGCCGATGACACAGACTTGCTTGTGACATTCTGTCCCTGGGCAGCTGTGGCCACTGCGGTAATTTACCACCATTTTGCAACCATTTCAGAAACATTGTGAATACTCCACAAAAGTATTACTCCACAAAATACTCTCCCAAAATAATTAAACTAAAGTATGTACTATTCCCTAATAGGGAGATTGTATTATGACAGTATTAACCTAATTACATAACTGTTAAATGTGTGTAGTTTTTCTCACATGGAGTAAAATAATAAAACACAAATGTCTGCTTATCTCATTCCAAAAGTCTAGGACTTTTGGAATGAGATAAGCTTTGGGTTTACAGATCTTTTGAAGCGGGAGCCAGTTGGCGCTTCAGATTAAATGTGTCCAAAGGATGAAAAAGGCCGGTTTAGTTATGCTTATTTGGGATTGAATATTGAATGTGTTGAATATTGAACTATATAATGAAATCCATCTTGATTATTCCTCGCTCTCAAAACCAAAACATCAATCACTATAGTTTTCACACGTTTTTGGCCTCAGTTACATCTTTAAATCAGCTTTTTCAGACAGAAAAGTTTAAGAAAGAAAGGACCACCCAGGTCCCTCACTATCTGCTCTCATCCCAAAGAGTCAAATAGTGACGCACAGGTTTTTGTTTCTTTTTTCTAATTTACAAATATGCAAACGTGGACATGTTTTCCAATAGATACAGACAGCAGGTTGTGGTCTGTTTTGTTCACCGTATTTAACTTTGACAGGGCTCTATCTGTTGAATCAAACACAATGTATTAATTAATTAACATAAAAAAGTAGTAAATTAATAGTGAATTATACTACCTATGTGCATGCGATGTCGACAAGAAACACGTACATTTTCTTATTAGTAGAAAACGTTTATCGATCCACAGTTTCGTGCTTCTCAATGCTCCCGTGTGCACCCCATAAAGTGGCCCCATTTTTTCCACAGTTCCCAATTTTCTCCTCTAGGTGGCGTGGTTCATTCGAACAGGCAGCCAAGGCATTTTTTTTTGTTTTTTTTTTACTTTTCCTACCCCCCACTACTCACTCACTCACTCACTGCCCCCTATCCACACACACTCCAGCGCGCACAGCAACAAGTCCCACAGGAGGCGTCCCAAACAAATCACTGCACTGCTCCTCCACCTCCACCCCCCACCCCCCGTATGTGACGTCACAAGCTCCCTGGTCCCTCTCTCTCCGTACGGATCTCTCTTCCACCACCACCACTAGCACTACACAAGTCCAAAGTATAAAAGAAGCGCGAGTGGATACCGAATAAGAAACGCGTCCCGAATAGCATGCGTGCGAATTCGGATCCGCGACTACTACTACTTCCACTACCTTTACTACAGCAACTACTACATGTTTATTCAGTGGAGGACACGCTTGGGAGCGCGATCCGGGACTGAAGCACTGGTCATGGAGTTGTGGATTTAAAGAAGGTTGAAATGGGCGGCTGGCTGCTGGTTTTTGCGCTGCACAGTTGGATTCTGGCGGTTTTGGAGGGTGCGTATTCTCTTTTCCTCTCTCCCCTAGACGCAGATCCTTTCCACGGCGTCCTGTATTGTTGCGAGCTCAGTAAAGCTTTCATGCTTCAGGAGCTCCGGAGGGGAAAAGTTTTTTTTTTTTTTTTTGGCGACACTGGGCCAAAGTGCGTAAAAAGTTGTAGGATTACGCACAAACTTCCAGATGCGTAACTTGATAAGCGCGTATACTTGTGCGCGGTGTCTGCAATGGCCGACCCCGTGTTAAAGTCATTATTAGTTGTATGCAAAGTCTATAGCAGGAGTTTTTTGGGCCTCCGCAGCTCCTGCCATTCCTGCTCGGTGTCGGGTGTCTGTCTTTATAGTAAATAAGTCTACCGGATGTATCTAAGAAAACAAAAATGCTTTTCACTGTTCGGTTTCTGCTTTCCCTCGCCACTTTTTTTTAACCTTGTGATCTTTGACTACATGTTTTTGCAGCACAAACTGTTCAATCTATATAGTTCCTATACACACAGACACACACACACACACACACACACAGGCGGAGCTTATAGAGCACCTAGAGGAGATGTAGGTCTGAGGAACCATTGCTTTTAAACCAGACCAGGGCTGTTATGGTGTTTCCAATTGTGATTCAGGCTTTTTAGCAGAACTTCTCATTCTATACTGCAAATATTTCCACTTAAACTATGGTATTTTGAGTCGTATTGACCACCACATGTTTACATAGGACTGCTTTGATTAGTTATGCTGGCTTTAATGCATGCCAAGGGTTTATTTCCCACTGTTTATTTCACATTTCTATTGTTGCACATGAGTTATTAGTATGCATCATCATGTAATTACTATACCATATTATTAACGAAACTCAGTCAGTCTGTTGGAATGTGATTCAAATCTCAATAGTTGACATTGGCACAACTCCAAACCAAATAATTCATATCAAATGTCAATTTCAGCTTGTCTTTGGTGTTTGGGACACAGTGAGCCCTCTTATTAAAAATCTGTGTTTTTATTTATACATGTATTTGTTTGGCTGGAAACTCTATTACTGTATGTCTCGTGCTTCAGTTTAATCAAGTTTTTTTTAATACTCATCAAATATTCTAGTAATTGAATCCTTTACGGCTGTATACACACACACTCCATTTTCAGTAAGGTCTGTTAAATGTCATTTGAATTTGATCAATGAAGGATCATAAATTGTGTGAATGTCTTGTTTGATAGAAATGATAGAAAATGTTAGAATATCTGCTGGTGGTTTCAATTCAGCTTTATCTTAATCTCAAATTCATACCAAAAATCAGACAGGCATTAATGGGCCGATTATCAAAACAATTGATTTTTATGATCACACTTTGTTTAATTTATTCATTCAAGCAGAAATAGTTACAGCCACACATTAAAAGCGATATATAAAACTAATGCATTAATATATTATTTGTATAAGTTTACAAATGATCAGCTCAAATTGGAGAAGTAAGAAGAAAAACCATTGAAATTGATCTTTTCTAACCATCATGTACTGTATTTATTGTATAAGAGTAGTAGCAAGTAATCGATTTTTGAAATAATAATGTAGAATTTGATGAAACATGTTTTGAACCTTTCATAAATGTAAACACGCTGAGAAGAGGTTTTATGGTAAGTCTGTAATGACTGAAGAAAAATGGGTTATACATAATTTTTAATCAATAAACCCATGTGTAACTAGTATAATGTGTATAGGGATGTCAGGGGCATCACTGCAGCTTTGTTTTGGTCAAATGTATTTAAAAACTGACTGTTCGGGAGCTAAACAAAGACCTAATTGTTTAATCAAAAGACTAACCGCCCAACTAATTGATTATCAACATGAATGTATTACAGCCCTATATATAACTAAGTGTATCAAGATTATTTGTTAACTTTGAGGAGTAAAAGTGCATACTGTATAACTTTGCCCTTTGCTTGTCTGACTGCTTATGGCCTCAAATGTGCCATAGTAAGAGCAGCTATAGGTGGGCGATAGATACATGGATAAAATTGCAATAGTTGTTTCTTAAAGGTTTGCATTCAATACCGAGTGTGTATTTTTTAGTTACAAATCTGACTCACAAAAAAGAAGTACAATGGCAATGAAAGTTTTTGCAAGAATGTGTACTACACTTGGCACAGCATGTCCACATGTCGTTATACACATTTTCATCGAAACCTGAATATCAAACGATATCTATGCCTCAATGAAGCTACAAGACGGGAGACTCACACTCTGCAACCCCATGCTATATAACAGGGGTTCTCAACTGGAGGTTTAGGACCCAAATCTACTGTATGTTCATGTCATTTTCCTGTATATTGTAAATACTGCAATCATGTGCAGTATTACAATGTCAGACTGTGCAATATAGTACTGCAAACGTCCACTTCTATTCATTCTGCCCATGCTAATTTATATACTGTATTTATTGCTCCTATAGAGTGGTTTACAGGCCTATACTTTGACCTCTGAACCCAAATTTAAGCAGCAACACCAGAATCTCCCACTGGACGAATACAAAATTAGCCTTCTAGTATGATGCAGTGCTTTCAAAACAATATATTGTGTAAACATTTAGTATTTTACAGTATTTATATTCTGAATTCAGCTCTTATTTCGGTCGTTGCTCTTCGTTATATATGTTGGTGGTGGATCCTGACGCCGTTCCCGTTGAGAACCACTGCTTTATAACATAGCATGACATTTGCTTTGCATCAGGAACCAATTTCTTGTACTTGGCAGATGTTGCAGGTGCGGGTGCCCCATTACGGAGTCAGATTTTCCACTGAGTTATTTCGATGTTATGACATTGTTGTAAGTTCTTCACTCTTGTTAGTAAAGAGATGTCATGTCAGTTTAAGCTTCAGTGAGCCATAAAGCAGTACAGTAAGCGTCGAATAACTCGGAATCAAAGCAGCAGTTTTGAAAGGGAGTGAAATGAATCCTTCTAACCTTACGATGCATCAACAGCCAAACCCCTGCTGCTGTTTGCGAATCGACGAGATATCCGGCTGGTGGATGCGGAGGGAGTGCGCGGGGAGTCGGCCATCGTTGTCAGTGACTTGGAGGATGCAGCCGCTGTGGACTTTCTGTACGACCAAGGCCTCATATTCTGGACCGATGTCAGCGAAGAGGCCATCAAACAGACCCACTGGAACCAGTCGTCCAACTGTAAGAACATACACTGTCTTGAATTCATTTTAACATTGCGACATGATCAAAGCAAATTTCAAGACACAGAGATATTAGACACACGTTTATTTGTCTTTTCACCCATTGTGCCAAATAAGAAAAGTACCTAGAGTATGAGAATAACAATAATAATGATAATAATTAATAAAAAGGGCGCTGGGTTAGCTATAATTCACGGATACAGATATTTTGTCAAACTTGCCAGTGCCATAGAGAAAAGAAATGGAAAAAAAAACCAGATCAACAAATTAAAACTAAAAAACCAAAACGTTCCTCTGTCCCGGCCTACATTATGATCTGGGTAAAGGCTGATCACCAAGATTTGAAAATGTGTGTCACCTTTATCTTTTCATTTCATTCACTGTGACCCTGCATTTTCACACCACAACATGTCATTTCATGTATCTGTTGTATTTGCCGCTACTTTTTTCAATTTCTTTGAAGCGTGTGGCCTATAAAACTATTGTATTTTACTCTATTGTATTGTGGCAGATTTGTAGGTAGGGCTGTTGAGTTTATGGATTTTATATTTTGACTCCATCAAGTTTTAGTAGCGATAGGGCACTCGTTTGTTGTCAAAATAGATAATGGTAAATGAGGCATATGTTTACAAAATTTAGTTTCTTTTCAAATTGTACTTTTAAAGCTTTAGACAGATAAGTGAAAAAGAGAGCTCCATTCTCTCTGAGCCCAAAGCGTCAAATAGTGACACACAGGGTTCTTTCTTGAACGTATAAAAAAGATAATTACATGGAGACCAGTCTTAATTGTCCAAAACCCAAAACATTTACACGAGTCGTTTTGTTGGGAAAAAACAACTTGCGGTAATTATGATACAAAAGTAAGTTGGGTACCACAGCTGCCTTGATTGTATAATGTTTTTGTTTATATGTATTGTTCATTTTTTTTTTTCATCTGTTGTAGCTCTAAAAGAAGCTTTAGGAACAGGCCAGAGTGTGGTGGTGGCCGGGTTGGACAGCCCTGATGGACTGGCCTGTGATTGGCTGGGACGAAAGCTTTACTGGACCGATTCAGAGACCAATCGCATTGAAGTTGCCAATCTGAATGGCACCTCCAGGAAAGTGCTGTTCTGGATGGACCTGGACCAGCCCAGAGCCATCGCACTCAACCCATCGGAAGGGTACGTTCCAAATGAATACTGCTAAATGACATAGGAAAGGCAAGTTTATTGGTATAGCACATACAGTTCATACACAAGGCAATAATAACAAGAAAACAATCATAACAATTCTACAATGGATTAAAATCATAAATTCATTAAAAAGAGTGAAGACACAATCCTTCAGTTTTTTGCGTAGTTTAACAGAACTGTTTTAACCTGGATTTGAGATGTCAGAGTAGAAGCCTGTCTCACATTTTCAGGAAGACTGTACCAGAGTTTAGCTTGTATAGATTTTATAGCAAGTAAGTAAGTAATTTATCTGATTCAAATTGTGTCATTTTACAAGGACAGCGCTACTACCTCCTCACATTTGCCAAAACAATGTACAGACACTAAAAATGAAACCCCTAAAAATAGGGTTCCATCCATTAGTTATTGTTTGTTTGTTTGTTTTTATTCCGATCCCCATTAGCTGCTGAAATATACAGTAGCTATTCTCCCTGGAGCCTACTGTACATGAGCATGTGTCATTATAACGTGACTGTATCCATAAACTCACTTTATCCAGTATTCATTCCTGTCCATATACTGCACTGTACAAAAACATACACGTTATTTAATGATTTGTAGTTTTTTATTGCCTTCTTTCATGTGGTAAAGTAACAACAGCTGACGGAGCAAAACAGTTAAACGATAGACGACTGGTGTTTTAACGCACCGTGACTCGTGATGATCAAAGCACTCTGGTGAATCAAATATCTATATTGACAATAAAATTCCTACACAAATGTGATGGTAAAAAGTCATTACTCCATAAACTCAGTCCATAAACAAGTTCTGTGTATTTCCATGTCTCTCTCTGCTATTCACATAAACGCACTGGGATGCACAAATGTGTAGTCGTCAGGTCAGGCAATCAACAGCTAATGAAAATATATACATTAGCCTTATTGTTATATAGGTTCAAATAACATGAAAAAAGTGGCTCATAGTTGATAAATTGGAAGTTTGACAAAAGATGACCCATTCTGGCCTATTTTGCTCAACCCTGCACTACACGTTGGATATAGCTAAACCACTCTCAAACCACATCTATTCAGACTGCTCTTTTCACTGGGAGCTGACATTCCATCGTTAATTTTTAACTTTTAACTTTGTACCTTTTGTAAGACGACCTGAAGTGCCCAGAAAAGAGTCACATATTATGATCATGAATTGGTGATGAATTAAGATTATTTGATCTTTTCTCTCAAGATACAGAATCATGCACTGAGATTTTTCACAACTGGTCAACAAAAGAAAGGCATCGGTTTTCCTACTTTTTCTTTTTTAAGTTGTGTGTGGTGACTGTGTCCAGGTACATGTACTGGACAGACTGGGGAGAGGAGCCCAGGATCGAGCGTGCTGGCATGGACGGCACTAAAAGGTGACGTTCACACCTTTTTACATTTACAAAATCAACAAAAATATGCTGTACTATATTTCTCACCTGCAACTTGTGTTTTGTGTGTATGTAACAGAAAAGTGATTGTAGCCGCAGACATATATTGGCCCAACGGTCTGACCATTGATCTGATTGAGCACAAGTTGTACTGGGCAGACGCCAAACTCAGCTTCATACACAGGGCTAACCTGGATGGCACTGCACGGTACTAACCAGCCTAACTAAAACTATTCTATCGCCAGCATTTTTCACATTGTAATGACTTGTATCACTTATTATTTTCCAGTGAAACGGTTGTGGAGGGCACCCTGACCCACCCTTTTGCCCTCACGCTCTCTGAGGGCACTCTGTACTGGACGGACTGGCAGACTCGCTCTATTCACGCCTGCAACAAGCACAGTGGAGACAAAACCAGGGAGATCCTCAGTGGGATCTACTCTCCTATGGACATTCAAGTGCTGGAGGCGTACAGACAGCCCCACAGTACGACTCTATATACCTCAAACACTTGTGAACATCTGCTCCACGCTCATTATTAATACCTCTCTTCTTTGTTGAATCTGCCACAGTCCAGACCCCCTGCAGTGACAATAATGGAGGCTGTAGTCATCTCTGCCTGCTCTCCCCAATGCCTCCTTTCTACAGTTGTGCCTGTCCAACCGGGGTCCAGCTCAATCCAGATACAAAGACATGCAAACCAGGTTGGTGTCACGAAAAGCTTTGATTTGCATGTACATACATATTTATATAACATACAGGGCATTGTGAAAGTAAAGGTAAAGTATCTGGGGAGTGGAGAGTTGGAAAATCTCTCAGACTACTGATCTTGTGTCCCAGATACAGCACAAGAAAATAAAAAGATGAGATATTCCTTTGTCTCCCATAGGATAAGTTCGTCTTGGGACAGGGATTCACATGTTTCACACCACATACATTTGCACACACCACTGTAGACCATAAATATTAAACAGACTAAAATAGACACAGGTAAAAGCAGCATCAGAGACCTCTAGACCATGCTCAAACCTAATTAAATGTAACATAATGTTTTTAGAAAGATGTATTGAAGAAAGAGTGTAATGCCTTAAGCGAAGAGCAAGTAGTGGGAGAGAGGTGTAGGGTCGGAGAGCGTTTGGGCTTGTGTGTTTTGTGTTGTCTGCCTTCCATCGGTGGTAGTATTTTGCTACTGTTTGTACTGTACAGTTGTATGTTTGAGAATTCTACTGCATGATATTGTTAAAACAGTGTGTGTGATGGACAGTGTTGGGCACGTTACTTTGAAAAAGTAATTAGTTATAGTTACTAGTTACTTCTCCCAAAAAGTAACTGAGTTACTAACGGAGTTACTCCACTATAAAAGTAACTAGTTACCAGTAAAAGTAACTATTGCGTTACTTTTTCGTTTTGTTCTGGAACATAATGTGCACTCGACGTGCGCATTTTTACCTTTAACCTCAGTGAGTCTGAAATATTGCCAATAATTCCATCTAGAAAAGGCTGTTTTTTCTGCTGAAGTCCTCTTCATCTCTCTGTGCTGTAAGCACTAAACACCAACACGCTCCACTGTGAATGTGGAAACACCGGTGAAGCACTGACTTCAGACCAATCAGATGAACATATATATCATATAAATCAAGTGGACAATTTGTTTGGCTACAGCAGAATATGTTTCATGCATTGTTTGTTCATACAAAACGCAAAACTATGAGTTATGGGTCTTACCTTATAAATGACCTGCACAGACCACTTCAGTTCAGACCAGTTCTGTGTTTAAGTCCAGATAATAGTTTGAGCGTAGATATGTAATCCTCCGTTTGGAAATGAGTTTTAAAAAGTAAAACAAAACGCGTGTGTCCTCCGTAAACTACTCTGTTTTGCTAGATGCAGCCGGGTGCATCCAATTTCTAAAATCAACCGTCTTACACTTCACCTCTCTTTCTTATCATTCCTATAGTCATTGAAAAATTACCGTAAGTGCATTTAATTATCTTAAAATGTGTTATATGTATGTTAGCCAAACTTGTTGCAGCCCTTAGCAGATAAACCAGTAAGAGAAAGGAGCTTTCAGATGGAATTGTATGCAGCCGACTTCTGCGCTCACATGCGCTCCTCTGAGCCCTCACGGTGATACAAGCCGTGGTTGAGCGCGACTAAGACCCATATTTATTTCAAAAACACAATTTATGACCATCCTCTCAACTGTAGACATGTGGATTGTAAAGGAAATATGTTTTACATCAGCCAATAATTGCTGAGAGGTTTTCTCATCCTCCCTTCTCTCATGCACACGCGCACGAGTCCTATCATGAAGTAAAAAGATAAGTTCATTGTACGTCTTTAGTAACGCGCAGTAACGGGATGTCGGAAATGATAACGGCGTTATAGTTACAGTCAAAGTAATTAGTTAGATTACTCGTTACTGAAAAAAGTAACGGCGTTAGTAACGCCGTTACTAGTAACGCCGTTACTAGTAACGCCGTTACTAGTAACGCCGTTATTCCCATCACTGGTGATGGAATTTGCTTCATCCAACCACTTTTCGAACGAGGTACAAGTTGGTATGTAAGAATATGTGTTGTGCAGGTTCGAAATAAATAAATCAGAAATAGAAAAACGGGTAATAACATTAAAACAGAGAGCACCCCACAATCTTGCACTTCAGAAAACTTAAAGTGCAGTGTTTTATTGCACTTGCCCTAAGCCTGTTGTTGTCTATGAAAATATTGTACCTTCCACACATATAAAATCAATTTTAATTTCTATCTTTTTGGCGACATGAACTTTTCATGATGTTGTTTTAAGGATATATCGTGTGACTGTTTGTGGACCACAGCAGAAAAGTTGAAATTATGGAGTGAGTGAGTGAGTTTTGGGAGGAACTGGTGCCAAAAGTCTGGCCTGGGTCAAATCTGGCCCTCTGAGGAATATCACTTGGCCTTCGAGGACGTGCAGACATTTGTGCACTGAACAGTCTAGACCAGATGTATTCTTCAATAACCATACTCAATGATGTAAGTGGATTTCATCGTAAATGGTTTGTATATAACCTTTTTATGTTTAAACGCGAAGCAAAGGTGTCACATTAGTGTTTTTACCCCAAGCTTCTATCCTGAGTGGATTTGTTGATGCACAGAGGGTGTCTTTGATTTCTCCCAGTTCTGCTGTATTGACCTGACATGATTTGCTGGTGGATGTCAGATCCGCCGTCGGCAAAACAATATTCTTGACAAACATTTGATCCAAATCTAATAGAAAGTATCTAATATCGATGATGTTTTTTATGAGAGACTGATTTCACTACAACATTTTGTGTTTTGATTATTATTATTATTATGTATTATCAATAATCATAGTAGATTTTCTTTGCTAAAGTGGAAAGGGTTTATTGCTATTGTTTAAGATAAGATAAGATAGACTTTATTGATCTTATACTGGAGAAATGTACATGTCACATTTGGCATAGATAGAGTCACTCAGAATGTGCAAAAAGACAGAAGTGAGCAAACATGTTAAAGGTTGAAAGTCAGTGCAGGATATAATTATTACAATCTGAAGAGACCAAAGACAAAATTATTTATTTGTTAGGCGCATTGACCCCGGCAGTGACACTGAAGATGATCTCAGATCCCCCGGGGTCAAGCACTGGTGGTGGCTAGAGTATGGTGTGAATGGGGCGTAGCCAGAGCAGGAGCCAGAGCAGGAGCCAGAGCAGGAGCCAAGAGCAGGAGCCAAGAGCAGGAGCCAGAGGAGGTGCTGGGGAGGTGGTGAGTGTTTAAGAGACTCAGGAAGCGCTGCTTGTCAGGAAGTGGTTGCCTTTTAAACTGCCCGCTTTGCTGTGATAGGGTTGGCAGGAGGCTGGCCGGGCTGTGTGATTGGCATAGGCTCAAGGCTGGCAAAGCTGTGTGATTGGTTGGCTTGGAAAGGGGAATTTGCACTTGGTCTTTCAGTCTGAACATCCGCCTCAGCTTCATAAAAAAAAAATTGTGTTGTAGTTGTTTGTTGTACTTTCCTGTAGTTTCTTGGCACCAGCTTTTTCATGAATTGGATGGAAATCAAAACTAGTGTATTATCCTGCTGTATTGTACTCACATCAGTTCTTAAAGTGCAGTCAATCTTATCGTTTATCACTATAATTATGTGAATCGCTGCAGTATATTTCCCATTAAAATGTGTTTTTGTGAGAGGCCCATCTCTGTGTCCCAAATAGACCTTGAATCTGTAGTAAAGTTATCTATCTATCTATTGGAATGTTACATGTTTTAGTCATTCAGCTTATTCACACATTTCTCAGAGCGGTTCCATTACATCTTGTTTACTCCCTGCCAGAAATATGTGCAACAGGTAGATTTTCTGCACTAAAACCCTGAATAATGTTGAGACAGGTTGTAAAAGCACAAAGCTCTAGGACACCGACCGAGCAGGAGCCATGCTGATTCCCACGTTGTTTAAACAATAGCCCCTTATTGTGGTAAAATACACAAACATCACGCTGTGTTTGACTGCCGCTGTATGTTTTGTGAACTTATTAAATCGGAGCGAAGGATGCCAACCAATCACCGCAGTTAACAATAAAACAACAACAATGCCCTATTGTGTGTGCCCGCAGGCCTGTGTGTGTTCTCCCACCGCTGTTTGGCCAAGACGTTTAGCCTGCATACAACATTAGTCTTTTTTTTACTTTTTAATAGGCTTTGTTTTGCCCCCGGGATTAGGAATTGAAATGGGTAAATTTAGGAAGGGGCCAGGGAACGCATTGTGCCTTTGCAGAAAGCTGGAGTTGGTGAGTTTGCGCGAGTGTCTTTGTGTCCGTGCTTCTAATTTGTTTTGCTTGGCTGGTTACATTGACATCGTTTGTTATTCCGCTGGCAGCAGTGTGGGTCTGTCTGCCTGTCAGGAGTCTTGAAGTGTCCCAGAAGGAAGCCAAGCAAAGAAAAGAGCAAAATCACTCAAATGGCCGCTGCCCCCTTTCCTGCCTTTTTATCCTCTAATTGATTTTGTGGATCATTTTGGGGATGGGAGTGATTGTTAGGCAGTTTAAGCTGTGTTGCTTTCACTTCATGCGGCGGCTTATATGGCACTCCTTACTTTGTTCTTTTGGGGATTTGTTAGCCTTATATAGTCCAGTTTATTTACAGTATGTATAAAATAAGCTTGGGCTGTACCAAGTTTGATTGATTGATTAATTCAAGCAGAATTTATACATTCATAAGTATTTATAATATTGACATTCTTTAGTTTATGGATAAACTTTTGTACATGTTACTTTGCTTCTGCTTCTACAGTATACATACAAGCAACAGTACATGCCATAATTTCAACATCTGTTGGTATATTTACAAATTAAGTTAAACAATTAATCACGACTATTTGCAATAATTGAAATAGTTGTCAACTAATATAGTGATCAAATAAAGTACTTACTGGACTGTGACGCGTACAAGTTTATTATTTACCAGCTGAATTTGAATATTAAGTCTTTTTGCCACATATAGGCCTCACTTGAAGATAAGCCGCAGGTTTTCATGCTGTAATGTAAGACTTAACCAACAGCTGATGGAGCACAAAACAAAGCTGATAGACGATGTTTTTACTGGACACAACATGATTTAATGACTCGCACTCTGAGATAAAGAATAATAATGTAACAAAATTAAAAATAAGGAACAGGGGACGTTCTGACAGAATAAAAATACATGCATAGGCCACACTGCTATATTGGCTGCAGGGTTCAAAGACCTTGAAAAAAGTAGCAGCTTAGTAGGGTTTTTGAACCTTACATAGACTCACAGATTAGGTAGCAGAAATGTGTTGGAAAAAGTATTTTTAATCAAACCACCCATTATGTTATAGCTCGCCTCTGTGAAGATGTTCTGAAGTGGCGTTGCTTTGGTCAAATTTATGAAAAAATCCCAAATGCACTTTCCTTTTGTGATCATAAAAACAAATCAATGAATCTAAAGAATAATTGGCTTTCTAACCAATTATCAAAATATATATTCATTTCTCCCCTAAAATAAGCTTTGTGTCCATATATGGTAATGTCTTCAATGTTTCCCTCAAGATATGCTTCACTTAAGATCGAAACCAACCCAAGACGTATTTATTTGTCCAGTAAACAATTTGCTACACGGCGTTTACACATCAGACCAGGAATAACATGAATATAGTAATATTTATGTAAATAAGGATTATGCTGCTTCTATTGATTTGAGATTATAACAAAAACAAAGTCAAGTACAGTACTGGCTGCACTATTAACCACACAAGCTACATTTTAAGACACAGATTAGAGAATCGAACAGTTCAGACACAAGAAATGCCATGATGAAAAAAAAAAAAAACACATTGGGGCGGAGGACCATAAATGTTGATAAAGTCCATAAATGTCATTGAATTTCGAGTGTCCTGGATCATCACCACTGTCCTTAGACCCTCCTGCACGGGCAAGGAAAAACTCTAAAACCAAATGAGAGAAAAGGGAGAAACAGAAATAGATTTTAAACCAGGGGACCCTCTTAAAAAAAAAAAAAAACATACATAAGCCACTATGCTATATATAGGCTACAAAGCTAGAAAAATGTAGCGGCTTATAGTCCAGCAAGTACTGTAAATGCATTTATCAGAGTAAGTAAGTAAGTAAGTGAATTAGTTTCATATGAACCCAACGGCAAAGACAAGAGCCATGAATAATTATGAGATCTGTTGAAAAGGCAAACATAGCCTTTATAACTGATCGTTTTTTCATTTTCTAAAGCCATCCACTTCTGCGCAGAACAATGTTTGAGTGTGTTTTCGCTCCCACCATTTCTGTTGATTTTGGAAACCTGGCGTGCAGCTAATATTCCCCTGCCAAGTGCATCATATTGCTCTTTCACCACACTCCATTCCAGTGTTTTCTAGAAAAGCAAGACACGCTAAAGATACGATCTGAATCATTATAATGAAAATCAAGCCTGTAATAACGAACGCATGTGTCCTGTCCACAAATGTGCTTTTTTATCTAGCTGTAGCGTGTGTATTGTTTTTACTGTGCGTTTGTAATGAACTGAACTCAATGTTATTCCGTGTTAAAGGTGCTGAGCAAGTTTTGTTTTTGGCTCGGCGGACGGACCTCAGGAGAATCTCTCTGGACCTCCCGGATTTCACAGACATTGTACTTCAGGTATGAGAGTCTCAATGTCGTATGAGTCTGATATGTGTGTGTGTGTGTTTGTTGTGTGTCAGACATTGTACTTCAGGTATGAGAGTCCCAATGTCGTATGAGTCTGATATGTGTCTGTATGTGTGTGCGTTTGTGCGTGTGAGTGTGTGCGCGCGAGTGAATGGTATTGGGGATGGGCCTATGGAACATACTGGTTGTCTTGTTTCTGTCTGACGCAGGGCAGCTGTGGCTAGACTAATAGTTTACCACCACAGTGTATGGAGTGAATGAACAATACCATGTGAATCGTCTAAAAAAAAGCGCTATAAAAAAAAAACACGACTCATCATTCCCATTGTATTATTATTATTATTAATATTAATATTATCAATGCGTTAAAAATCTCACTTCAGCTGGACGACATACGGCACGCTATAGCCATAGACTACGACCCGGTGGAGGGCTATGTGTATTGGACGGACGACGAAGTTCGAGCCATCAGAAGGTCTCGCATGGACGGGAGCAACGCCACCACGCTGGTTACCACGGAGATCAAACATCCGGACGGTATCGCTGTGGACTGGATCGCCCGAAACCTGTACTGGACAGATACCGGCACTGACCGCATAGAGGTACGATGAAGCAACTATAAAGATTACAGTCATGGCCTTCGAACCCCGCGGCAAATACTGTATATGTATTTTATTTATTTATTTTATTACAGGACCCACTGGTGGTTAGGGTTAGGGAAAGAGAGAAAATCCTACTGCATTATTTTGACTAGTTTTAGTAGGGATTGGAAGTACATTTATCATCAGTACAATACAAAAAAAATACTTTCTTTTAAAAATCTAGCTGTTATTGTCTATATACTGGTAATCCTTATAGTCCAGAAAATACTGTAAATCTACTATACCTTGTATGATGAAGATACAGAATTTAACTCTCTTATCGTGATGTTTTTTCACAGGTAACAAGATTGAATGGAACATCTCGTAAAATCCTAATTTCTGACAATTTATACGAACCAAGAGCCATTGTTCTGGATCCAATAAACGGGTATGTATTTGCCTTTCACTTTATTTCATTACTGATACTTTTATTGTCATTTATCTTGACGCTGGGGTACCTTACATTCATTTCAAACCATACAAAATGGATCTATATGATAAAATCTTACTCCGAAAACACTTTGGCCTCTTGCATTTTTGGCCTCTGTCAAATTTTTAGGTCTGCATTTTTGACAAAAAAGTGAAAAAGAGCATTTAATTTATACAAGACTCTTCTCGAGACAATTTTTTTTTAGTACGGCTGAAATGGAAAGTTACGTACCCCAGCTTTAATTCTGATCATCCTCTGCTCAGACAATTTTTAAATCAAGGTTAAAACAGCTTTGTTTAGCTGTGGGATTTTATCTTTACTGTGATTATTTCTGATTTTAATGCCTTGTGTGACTGTTTCTGTCTTATTGTGTATACTGTATATATTATGCTATACACATAAGATAAGATAACATAAACTTTATTTATCTCACAATGGAGAAATTTACAAATGAACTTTCCTTGCTCTTCACTCAATACACCCCAAAACTAAACTTAACTTTGATTCTTCTGCCCGTGTTTTTTCAGCCTAATGTTTTGGACAGACTGGGGGGAGAACCCGAAGATAGAGCGAGCCAATCTGGATGGAACCGAACGGCTGCTCCTGGTCAACACGTCTCTGGGATGGCCAAACGGACTGGCTTTAGATTACGCCACCGAGAAACTGTACTGGGGAGACGCCAAAACCGACAAGATTGAGGTGAGTGCAGCAAGTTTGACCCTGGTTGTCTTCTTGCTTTCATGAAAGAATAAACCAAACCTGGGTATCAGCAGCAGCGGCTTTAACCTCATAACCTTTAGTCCAGTTCACTCTAGCGTCGTGCTCTCGGTGATTAAGATGCTAGACTGGTGCCAGGATGTGTCAATGGGAAGATTCAGGAAAGTCAGGCTCGATTTAGGCAGAAAACCACCGTTGATTGTGATTTATGGCTGGTAGCGAGGCAAACAGATTCAGAGTCTCAATGCACTGCTGAAGGCATTTTATTTGCCTTTTGCAGTAAAACCACATTGGAATACATTTACAAAAGACCCCAGTGTGCACCAGACAAGTACATAAATACAAAGTTAAAAATACAGGGGAATAAAGTGGGATTTTCCGCTTTGTTTATAGGAACTACAGTTGGAGACTAGCTGTATAGCGAAGATTAGATTCAGATTCAGATTCATTTATTTGCCATTTGCAGTAAAACCACATTGGAAAAACTGTGCAAGACTACCCCAGTGTGCACCAGACGACACACACCAGAGCTCTTGCCACGGCGCCATCTTTACGACTAAGATGATTATTCGTCCCACAGTGCGGACATTTCAGTGTTGCATCACCAGTTACAGAACTAGGAAACTTGGAGAACACAAAACAAGATGAAATAACAATAACTCTACACTCGCTTAATAAAATAACATAAAATCTCTAACATGATGAAGAAACAAGTATAAAAATCTGCATAATAGGTACAAATCTCTGACTTTAGCATAATCAAGAAGTATAAAATCTACCTTTGGCGTAATAAAAAGCAAGTATAAAGCAGAGCATCAACACTGACAGATTTACAGTAATGTTGATTAATGTGTACTGTCCCTATTCAAAAAAACTAATATATAAATACATTTAATAAATATATAGCAAGCTAAATGTATAAGAGTAAAACTAGCTGACCTGATGATACTGTTTACTGTGGGGCATATTAAGTTCATTCTTTCATATTGGAAATCGCAAACACGTTTCCTATTTGCTCTAGACATGCACTTTTGATTTTTTTTCATCTTCTAAGTGATGTATAGATGAGAACCATCGGGAAAAGCATAGTTTTGGCTTGTCAGACTGTCTCCACACTGAACCATTTCCTTTCTATAAATACTGCTGTGTTGTTGCCGTGTGTGTCTGGACAGAATGAAAGCTGACCACTAAGACGTTTCACACAAAAGGCCTGGATAAACGCAGAGTGTGTTGCAATAACGCACTTTGCCATTAATCCCGCTACAGGCATGTGCTATGTTGTGTGTGTTTGTGTGCGTCGGAGGTGGAATTTCCCCTGCTTAAGGCCCTTCACCTTGTTTCAATAAGCCGTCCTCATGCCTGCGTTGTGTTCCTACAAGAATCACTCTTTAAAATAGCATTTAGCAGCAAAGACTTAGAACCACGAGACTCATAAATTACAAGAGATCACGCAAATTAGCTATTTTTTTTTTTTGACCAAATGTAATCTCTTCCAATTGGAGTATCTTGTTCAGTAAAAAATAAAAAAATACCACTGACCATGTGGAAAATCACTAAGAGGTCGGTTCCAGAGCACATTTATAGAAAGTTTGATCGCAGATGGAAACAGCAGGAGGAAAGGAAACGTGTGTGAACCATTTGCACGCACGTCGTTAAAAAGCAGAAGTTTTGTTGTTATTGAGAACCGGTTGTGGAACCGCCTGGACGATGGGTTAAAAGAATCTCACACCACTGGTCAACTGAAAAGCATGTGTAAAAACGGATTGAAAACTATTTAAAAGTGTGTAAGAACAGGCTTTTTTGACTGTGTCACGTTGTACCTTAAATATTGATCGGCAAACATTTGCTTGTAGTCGCTGTTTGAATATGCTAATTTTCTAAACACAACTGCACATTAGAAAGGATTAAAAGAGGGAAGAACGAGACGAAACAAAAAAAAACATTCTTTGTATTGATAAAAGACGTTTTGGCCACAGACTGTCGCTGGCTTTGATTTTGGCGCAGTGCAGTTAAAGGAGCTATACCCGTTTCTGCAGGTTTTTTTCAGTTTTGAATGTTTAGCACCGCCCCTCAACTCGCTCACAGGCCTCTCATTTCCCGAACGCTCTCCTCCCACGGAGCCATCTAGTTTTATTTGCGATCTGATACATATGCAAACATTTGCATTAGCGCAACTTCTCGTAGGCTGTACAACAATCACTGATGAAATAGTACAAAAGCCAAGCGTCCAAATGTAGCCTCGGACTGCATTTGGACGCTAGTTTCGCGTCCAAATGCAGTCCGAGCATAGATAGTCCGAGGCAGTCCCGCTCTTGCAGGTCTCTCGCATAGACAAGTCTCTCCAGAGGATACAATGTAAGCTAGCTATGTTCACATGGGCTTGATTTCTTCTTTGATCATTTTTTTGCTTTAGTTCCCTCTTCTATTCCTCACTGTGTATGTAATTACAGCCAGAGGAGGGTATAGCCTCTTTCGGCTAACATGCTACTGTGTCTACCTGCGCTGTAGAGGCAAGCCCCGGCGATCCAAGATGGCGCCCTATTCAAATGAATGGTTGTGCTCAGTGGCGCTTTGTGACGGCATGGGGGCTGAAAGATTAGCGGAAGTCGCCTGGAACTCGCAAAGATCTATGGGAAACTCGCCTGTATTTGGGCATCGTCTGGTCCTCCCGGTTCTGCGCAGTGGATGATCTCCCATAATGCGTTGTGTCAAACACGCGTGTGTGGGTCTCACACCGGGTCTCACGCACGTGCACAGAGGGGCTCGGCCGCGCTCTGACCAATCAGAGCAGTTCATCAGAGCGGGAGTTAGAGCGAGAGCCAGAGGAGCAGAGTTTGTGGCACTAAAGTGTGGATCTAAACAAAACCGAAGGATTTAAGAAGAAAAAAAGTTCAGGATGACAAGGGACACTAAAATCCCCACAAAATCCGACCTTTATGAAAGCTGTAGGTTCTCTGTCAGCTGAGGTCGAGCTGTTTTAAAGGAATAGTTCACCGTTTTTACATACTGACATATGTTCTTACCTTACCTTAGACTAGTTAATACGTACCTGTCTGGTCTTAGTCCGTGCGCTCTGTCATGCAAACGGAGCAAAAACGGGAGCACAAATGCAGCCTCCTCTGTATATTTTGTAGGACCAAAAGGTAGCTCCCGCTAGAAGCTACCAAACTCTTCCAAGTGTTCCCTATTAAATGTATATAGTTACGTGACGTGTTACACTGCAAAGTATAGTAACACAGAAATGTAACAGTCGATTTTCTCAGCGGATAAAACGGGTACTATATTGTGAGGCGTAGTAATCTGAGGTGCGCTACGTCCGCGCACTAACTTCTCTCTGTACAAGTCACGCTGCTTCTATTGACGGAAGTGAGCGAGAGAGAAGTCTCCGGAGAGAAGTTAGTGCGCGGACGTAGCGCACCTCAGATTACTACGCCTCACAATATAGTACCCGTTTTATCCGCTGAGAAAATCGACTGTTACATTTCTGTGTTACTATACTTTGCAGTGTAACACGTCACGTAACTATATACATTTAATAGGGAACACTTGGAAGAGTTTGGTAGCTTCTAGCGGGAGCTACCTTTTGGTGCTACAAAATATACAGAGGAGGCTGCGGTTGTGCTCCCGTTTTTGCTCCGTTTGCATGACAGAGCGCACGGACTAAGACCAGACAGGTACGTATTAACTAGTCTAAGGTAAGGTAAGAACATATGTCAGTATGTAAAAACGGTGAACTATTCCTTTAATATGCATTGAGTTCTATGGGGAACATTTCTGGGTAGCCCACGTGAATTTAGTCTGGTCTAGTCTGCAGTACCGCGAGAATCCCCCGAGCACATGAGTTATTCAGCTACAAGCTAGTAATACCCTATCCAGTTATTATAATAGTGTGTAGAGGCTAGAGGAGGCAGCTCCTCGTTCTGTGATTGGAGGAGAGCGGGCGTCACGCTAAGTCTCTACTCAGCACTTTTTACGGCCTGAATTCATACAGAAGCTGAATCAATGAGCTCAAGTTTTCAAAGTTTTCAATTAAATTATGGATTTTAATTCAACTTGTATGTAGTAATACGCATTTTTATGAACTCATTAGAAAATGTATCTGGTATAGCTTCTTAAAGGACAGATTTGATTTCAGTTCGATTCTTTGATTTGTCTTTTTCGATTCTCTGAACTGGTGGGGAATCAACAACTTTGTAAAGTCCTCCGAGACGACTGCTGTTGTGATTTAGGGCTATAAAAAAATACATTGAATTGAATTTGCATGTTTTTGTCGTTAAGAATGTGATTTGATTATTTAAAGATAGCATTCTTCTTTACGGAACGTCATTATATTCTCAAGTTTTAACATTCAGTTTTAAAGTCATGACCCATATCTGGTAATTATTGAACTCTTTCTTATGACTTCCCTCAGAACATCAAAGTTACCGTATTTCTAAATGATCAAAGTCTGTATAATTTATTACTCCATGGGACTTCTTATCTTTTTACTATCCACTTTGTTTACCAGTCTGTGCACAGAGCCGGTTTCGCCATAGTTATCTCCTAAAACAGATAAGACTTATAAGCACAATCCGATGCTATAAAAACAAAGCCAGGTTTGAAAGTAACGGAAACTGATTTGACCGGTGGAGACTGACACTTCAACATCAAAAGCTCCAAAAATGTCATACAGCTCCGAAAACCAAATGTAGCTGAATTTGTAAAAACTTTAATGTTGAGCTAGTAGTAGAAGCACCTGTTCCTGATGCAGTGTGACATCAGTGTTAGCAGATGTCCGGTGCCTCTGCTCCACATGTGTGCGCCCGGGCCTGTGTTAAAATGTGGTTCCATTTGACGCACTGTTGTGGCTTTATGGCAGGCAGCTGTGTGTGTCAGTGCTGCTCATGAAACAAATGAGACTCTAACGAAAAGAACACAAAGTATCCTTGATTTGTGTTTGATGATTTGTGTCCTTTTTTTTTTTTTTTTTTTTTTTTTTTATAACAATGGAATTCATGAATACAACATGCTGGACTTTTACCCTTTTATGTTCACTCTCTGAAGAAAGCAATGTAATTTGATTTTCTAAAACAAATTATCTGTTTTTTTTCCAACCCCTAGTTTTTTTTTATTGCAGGCCTTTACCAAATGGTTGAGATTAAGGTTAAGATTAAGAGATCCTTTATTTGTCCCATATAAATGTCAGTGTTGTATCACAAGTTACATAACAGTAGGAATGAGGAGCACACAGCACAAGATAAATGAATAATAACTCTAAATCTCTAACTATAGCATAAAAAGAAGCAGTGTGAAATCTCTATCTTTAGCATAATACGGAAAGAAGTCTAAAATCTCCAACTGTAGCATGATGATTAAGCAAGACTTATATACAAAAACCCCTGATTTAGCATAATAAGGAGAAATAATCAAAATAAAATACTGTATATTCTTGTGCAATGAATATGATGCAGCTTGATGGTAAAAGTGGACCTATTGGGACAGAGATGTCCCAATGAGGTTCAGTTCCAAGCTTCAGGTAAATGTAGTGACTCAAAAATTATCCACCAAATTGTTGAGGAAACTATTAAAAGGATAAGCTGTTACTTTTTTCTTTGTACCCTGTATTTTTTAATAATTATATTATAAATTCAATTTGCACCTGGCTGTTTTAAGTTGATTGGACACAGTTTAGTCTAAGCATATTAGAAAAACAACTGTTATTTTGCAGACGTTCTAAAATACATGCTTTTTTATCACTGTGAATAATAAAACTAAAGTTACGCGCATCAATCCCAAAACTCCCTCATTATTTGACAATCGAAAGAGAGTTAGAACAGATTATTATGGGGACATTTTCAAACGAATCCTGCTAAATCCAGCCTTCATCAGATAACTTGTTGTTTTGGTTTGAGATCTGGAGATTGCTCCTCTGCTCCGCACACAGCCCCCCCCAACATCAAAAACTCCAAATTAACACTTAAAAGCAGACGGCGAACATCCACACATTTCCCATTCCTCACTCTCCTTTAGCTTTTTGCTCGTACGCTCTTTTTGTTTTCGTCCGAGTGCCGCTTTGTGCTCTACGCCGATGGCCTGACCACTGCCTGCATGTCTGATGAGCCCTTTGTTCGTTTTCTTTCTTTTCCGGGGCTTTTTTTCCTGCGCTCCGTCAAGAAAAGAGATGTTCTCACACCCAGAAGATGAAAAAGATGAGGCGTTTAAAAAAAAAAAATCTAAAAAAAAGCTAGTCCCGGGCCCATAATTCTGCCTGAAAAGCCGCAGCGAGCAGAGGTCGTACAAAGGGAGCCCCTCGGACGTCTTTTCACCGCGATGACCATGTCTAATTGTGTCACTGTGATAAATAGTTTTTTTGTGCCGGGGTCAGGAATGTCTTTGGATCTGAGGCCCATTGAAACGTGAATGGTTTTGTTTATCTTTTTTGCGTACTCTTCACTCCCCCCCCCCCCTCCCCTTTAAAGTTGAGATAAAGGGGGAGAAATGGCTCTTCACTGCTGTAACTAAATTGTAAAATCTGATTTAGTTACAGTTTCAGCATGTAATCTATTCTGACAGAGGCGACACACACACTACCAGATAATAACGTCTACATGAAATATGACGTGCGAGAATCGAGCGATTTAGCATGCTGCGTTTGTGAAAAGTAGAAAAGGCTTTAAAGAAAGAATTTGGATGATAAAGCCGCGGTACCTAACTTTAAAGCCACAAAAAATTTAACGATGCAATAAGTAACTTTTTCTTCTCTCTCTAAAAAGTTTGGTTCTATCACTAGTTTTCTCGTGCCTGTATATTTTGATCTGTCACATCCCTACATCAGCTTTTTAAGACAGAAAAGGGAAAACAAGAGGACCACTCTCTCTTAGCCAATCAGCTCTCAGCCCAAAGCCTCAAATAGTGACACACAGGGCTCAAGAATGCTAATTATAATAAGTTTTCGATAATGAACACATCATATTGTCGTCTTTTTTGTTCACGAAACATTACTTTATCAAGAGTCTTTCGGATGGGACAAAATGTGGTATTTATGTAAGAAAAAAGTGATCTATACCAGCTTTAGTATTGATTTGAGAATATATTTTTTAGAATGCGTTTATGCTTGTTGTACATACAGTGCCTTGCGAAAGTATTCGGCCCCTTGAATCTTTCAACATTTCGCCACATTTCAGGCTTCAAACATAAAGATATAAAAATAAAATTTGTTGTCAAGAATCAACAACAGGTGGGACACAATCGTGAAGTGGAACGAAATGTATTGGATAATTTAAACTTTTTTAACAAATAAAAAACTGAAAAGTGGGGCGTGCAATATTATTTGGCCCCTAATACTTTGTAGCGCCACCTTTTGCTGCAATTACAGCTGCAAGTCGCTTGGGGTATGTCTCTATCAGTTTTGCACATTGAGAGACTAGAATTCTTTCCCATTCTTCCTTGCAAAACAGCTCGAGCGCAGTGAGGTTGGATGGAGAGCGTTTGTGAACAGCAGTCTTCAGCTCTTTCCACAGATTCTCGATTGGATTCAGGTCTGGACTTTGACTTGGCCATTCTAACACCTGGATACGTCTATTTGTGAACCATTCCATTGTAGATTTGGCTTTATGTTTTGGAACATTGTCCTGTTTGAAGATAAATCTCCGTCCCAGTCTCAGGTCTTTTGCAGACTCCAACAGGTTTTCTTCCAGAATGGTCCTGTATTTGGCTCCATCCATCTTCCCATCAATTTTAGCCATGTTCCCTGTCCCTGCTGAAGAAAAGCAGGCCCAAACCATGATGCTGCCACCACCATGTTTGACAGTGGGGATGGTGTGTTCAGGGTGATGAGCTGTGTTGCTTTTTCACCAAACATATCGTTTTGCATTGTGGCCAAAAAGTTCGATTTTGGTTTCATCTGACCAGAGCACCTTCTTCCACATGTTTGGTGTGTCTCCCAGGTGGCTTGTGGCAAACTTTTAACGAGACTTTTTATGGATATCTTTGAGAAATGGCTTTCTTCTTGCCACTCTTCCATAAAGGCCAGATTTGTGCAGTGCACGACTGATTGTTGTCCTATGGACAGACTCTCCCACCTCAGCTGTAGTTATCTGCAGTTCATCCAGAGTGATCATGGGCCTCTTGGCTGCATCTCTGATCAGTCTTCTCCTTGTTTGAGATGAAAGTTTGGAGGGACGGCCGGGTCTTGGTAGATTTGCATTGGTCTGATACTGCTTCCATTTCAATATAATTGCTTGCACAGTGCTCCTTGAGATGTTTAAAGCTTGGGAAATCTTTTGGTATCCAAATCCGGCTTTAAACTTCTCCACAACAGTATCTCGGACCTGCCTGGTGTGTTCCTTTGTCTTCATGGTTCTCTCTGCGCTTTAAACAGAACCCTGAGACTATCAAAGAGCAGGTGCATTTATACGGAGACTTGATTACACACAGGTGCATTCTATTTATTATCATCAGTCATTTAGGACAACATTGGATCAAAGATCCTCACTGAACTTCTGGACTGAGTTTGCTGCACTGAAACTAAAGGGGCCGAATAATATTGCACACCCCACTTTTCAGTTTTTTAAAAAAGTTTAAATTATCCAATACATTTCGTTCCACTTCACGATTGTGTCCCACTTGTTGTTGATTCATGACAAAAAATTTAAATGTTATATCTTTATGTTTGAAGCCTGAAATGTGGCTAAATGTTGAAAGGTTCAAGGGGGCCGAATACTTTCGCAAGGCACTGTATATTGTTTGTTTATGTTGGTCCATTTGGTCAATGGATATATTATTTCATATCAACAATAATTCTTGATTTTATAACACAGCTTCAATCAAGCATTTATAAACATTTAATCAAAAGATAATACTGACTTTAAACACGTATGCTAGTGATAAGTATAAGGTCTAAAATGTAATTCAAAAGAAGACAGTACAGCTCTGTGCATAAAGTGTTTGAATGCGATGTGGAAAAACAAAGAAGGACCCAAAATGCAGGAATGTCAAAAAAATAATGATTTCATGATGGAATAAAATAAAAGTCCAGCGTAAAACCAAACTCAGATCCAAACGGAACCAGGAACATGGACAGACATATTTAACTGTAATAAAAGACCCAAACTGTAGGAGCAGAACTTTTGGATCGCTGTTACATGTTATTTTTTTATTTTATTTAGGCTTCATTAAGGACTCACATGCAAGCACAGGATCCATAGCTAAGTTGACACTTCTTTATTATTTGATGTAAAATCAACAAAAAGAATACACATTTAAAACACTCTACAGTTCATACATTACTCTACCACAGGGGTCTCTAACCTTTTTCAATCCAAGAGCTACTTTTATATAAAATAAAGGCAGAGAGCTACTCCTTTTTGCTGTTGTAATAATAATCTTACTAATAATTACCATACAACATGGGGAACACATGTAAAATATACCATTACCGTAGAACCCCAAATACCTAAATTAAATCCTTTGGCGAGCTACTTGTAAGGGGCTGGCGAGCTACTGGTAGCTCCCGAGTCACAAGTTGGACACCCCTGCTCTACCATTATGTTGAGTGTACTGTAACAGATCAGACCAGACAGTAGAAGGACTCGTGCACTTTCCTTACTTTGATTTTTACACAGAAAAGACAATAAACCTGGCAACAAATGGGGAAGAGCTCGAGAAATAGGTGAAACACATTAGAGCGGGGCAGACAGTCAACAGGAGGCCGAGACCGGAAGTAAAACTAAAACAAAACCACAGGAGTCAAAAATAAAACCAATTCGCAAATAACAACAAATCCTCACCATGACACGATGTATGTTCCAGGTGATAAACGTGGACGGCAGTAACAGGCAGGTTTTGCTGGAGGACAAGCTGCCGCACATCTTCGGCTTCACGCTTCTCGGTGACTTCATCTACTGGACCGACTGGCAGCGACGCAGCATCGAGCGAGTCCACAAGACCACCGCCGTGAGAGAGATCATCATCGACCAACTCCCCGACCTGATGGGGCTCAAAGCAAGCAAAGTCACGGAGACCACTGGTAAAGAATACTGTGGATAACTGAACCCTGTAGAAACCAGACATCAAAACATTAGCTGAAAAAAAAATTATCTGTGCTTTTTTTGTAAAGCAGTATTCAATGACCAAAATTGACAATGTAGTTTATTTGCTTCTTTGGGTTCTTGGGCACATACTTGTGAACGCTTTAAACCAGGCATGTCAAACTTTGGCCTGTGAGCCAAATTCGGGCCGCAAGACTATTTTTAGTGACCCCTGAAATGATTTTCAATTAGGATTATTACAGTAACTTTCAGCAAAGATGGTATTGGGATACTATCGTGTGTTATACTTTATTTTAGAGCCTATTGTCCCAGGGCAAAAACACATAATTTAATCTGTTCCCAAAGTAAATAAATAATTCTAAGTTAAGTTTGGCCAAAGTTTTTTATACCCAACTATCTTAGCTATTAATATACATCTCTTCTTGGAATTTGGTACAATTTTGGTTGAATCCAAACCGACCAGAGAATAACATCCAAACTCATGTCAAATAAAATGAATTTGTCAAAAATACAAAAAATATGTAAAACGAAAAACACTTCTGGCCCCGAACTGTTCTTATGTTTTAAAATTTTGTGCCCACCAAAAATGAGTTTGACACCCTGCATTAAACCAAAACGTCATACTTCTTTTGCCATGACCTTTTGTAATCAAGAGTGCTGAAGGGTTGATATCATTGTTAAAATGACGTTTCCGCACAGGTACAAACGGTTGTGCGGTGGATAACGGCGGGTGCAGCCACCTCTGCTTCTGGAGGAATCGGGCGGTCAGCTGCGCCTGCCCCATGGGGATGGAGCTGCTCTCGGACATGCACTCCTGCGTGGTCCCTGAGGCCTTTCTCTTCTTCACCAATCGGTATCTAAAATGTTTCATTCGGAACTTTTCCCAAAATCTATATAAATACATTCTAATTTACATGTGACCTTTGATTTGCAGGGATAACATCAGGAGCATCTCATTGGGCACGAACAGCAACGATGTGGCCATTCCTCTGACCGGAGTCAAAGAGGTGTCTGCGCTTGACTTTGACGTTGCTGAAAAGAGGTTATACTGGACAGACATCCAGGCCAAGGTCAGGCTCACCCTAAAAAAATACACTATTGTGGAACTTTACTTGAAAATAACTAAATAAATGAAATAATGTTCTCATCTTCAGACAATCAGCAGAGCCTACATGAACGGCAGCACTATTGAACACGTTATTGAGTTCGGACTTGATTATCCAGAGGGAATGGCCGTGGACTGGATGGGGCGTAATATTTATTGGGCCGATACCGGAACAAATCGTATTGAAGTGGCTCGACTCGATGGACTTTATCGGCAGGTTCTAATCTGCAAAGACATCGACACCCCACGCTATCTGGATAACCCACGTTCACTGGCTTTGGACCCAGCCCAAGGGTAAGGCTTTCTGGCTACACTGAAGGATTATCAAATAGTCCTGGTCTTGGCTCAGCATTTTAGTGTCTGCTTCAAAATCAACACCTATGCAAGCGTGGGTGTTGTCATTTATTAACTTCATTGTCGAAATAGTTTGAATGAGGTCAGTCTGACAGAGTTCCTCTCAATCCCATAATTTCCACCTCATCCAGGTGTGTTGCTCCTAAAGCTGTTGCTAATAGGGTTAGCATTATTTGTGAGTTCATCCACCCACACTGTGCCCTGTGTATAGTTTGCACTGACCTGTGCCAACATGTTTGACAGTCTTTGTGCATGGAGCAACACACTGATGTCATTTTACAATTGCAGGCATTCATTGCCTAATAAACATAATAAAGTTATGTCCTGTTTTGTTCTGTGTGAATGATCTTTTGTCTCTTCAGTTACATGTACTGGACCGAGTGGGGTGGCAAGCCTCGGATCGCCAAAGCCTACATGGACGGCAGCACCATTGTGACTCTGGTGGATAAAGTGGGCCGTGCCAATGGCCTCACTATTGACTATGTGGACCACAGACTGTACTGGACCGACCTGGACACATGCATGATAGAAAGCACCAACATGCAAGGTGAAAACATTATTATAATCCATTATTATTGAAAGAGCTTTTCTTTTTCACATTTGTACTAAATATATTTGTATTGTGTGTCACAGGACTACAGAGAGAGATCATCATCGACGACCTCCCTCATCCTTTTGGCTTAACTCAGTACAGAGACTTTATTTATTGGACAGACTTTAACTTACGGAGCATCGAGAGGGCGGATAAGCGCAGTGGACAGAACCGCACTGTAGTGCTACAGGTGTGAGAACTGCACAATTCAAAACATGTTTCCAGACTTAATATTATTGATTCCACGTTAACTCATAGTATTTAAAAGATTCCACCAGCTTTGGTAAACTTTGACTATTTAAATAAGGTCTTTTCTAAACTCAGGGCCAGCTGGAGCTCATGTTGGACATCTTGGTATTCCACTCGTCTCGTCAGGACGGGACAAACCAATGCTCTCACAACAATGGTAACTGTGCCCACTTGTGCCTGGCCACTCCGGCTGGAGCACAGTGCCGCTGCGCCTCCCACTACACACTGAACCCAGACGGCCACAACTGCAGCTGTAAGTTCATCTACGTTTGTGTGAGAGAAATGTAATGTATGTAAACACAGTGGCTCATAACGTCTCCTCCTCTGCAGCGCCCTCTAGCTTCCTGCTCTTCACTCAGAAGGCCAGTATCAGCCGCATGGTTCTGGGAGAGCAGAGTCCAGACATTGTCCTACCCATCCACGTACTGAGGAATGTCCGAGCAGTGAACTACGAGCCGTATGAGCGCCTCATCTACTGGCTGGACGGGCGACAGAACATCAGGAGGGCCAAGGATGACGGCACCATGGTACCATCTTTACTGTCTTACTGCAGCAAACTCAAAACACATGCACAATTGTAAAAACTAAATTCTGTTATTGAAAAGAAGTTCATACATTTCAAGAACAGTATGAGTATGCAGTAAAAATAACTGAAATAGCTTTAGAATATATTTAAAGTGCATCAGACTTTTTGCTATTTTCCAATCTTACGCCTGTTTTGAATAATACTATAAATAAATGTTTTACACTGACAGTGCCACATTTGGTCTCATAAGAAATGGACGGCACATGAGCATATTCAGCGAGATAGATTAATGGTAATGCTTAATCCTGCTGTCTTCAGGCGAATATTATTGGCGGCAGCAGTTCTTTGTCGGTGGAGAACCAGCTTCACGACTTGAGCCTGGATCCATTCAGTCGCCACATCTACTGGACCTGCGAAACCACCAACACCATCAACATCCAGAGAATGGATGGACACTACGTGGGAGTGGTCCTCAAAGACGAGACTGACAAGCCCAGAGCGATTGTGGTCAATGCTGAGAAAGGGTATGTGGAAGAGTTTCTGGCTCTTTGTTCGATAAAACAAAAAAACACACTAACATGACACATTTTAAAAAAGGAGAAAAACAATTATAAGGAGGCTGCTGGTCTCTATGTACATCAGAGACTGCATGCATACTTTGAAAAGTGGGATCAAATGCACTGACCTTTGTGTGCATGCCAAAACTAGTAAATACAGTATTAAATCATGTTGTGTGTTAAAACAGTCGTCTATTGGCTTTGTTTTGCTCCATCTACTGTTGGTTAAGTGTTATATTACAAGAAAACAGGCAACTTATAGTCAAGTGTGACCTATGTGTGTAAAAAAAAATTACTTTTCTTTCCAAATCCAGCTGGTGCGTCTTATATACAGGTGCACCTAATCCAGAAAATAGCAAAGTTTACAGCCCATGGTCAAACGCTTTACAATTGTTGATGTATTTTGTATTTTCACTCCACACACTCAAGTAAATGGATTTACATGGATTATTAGAACATCTATGACGCGGATATCTATCCTAATTTTCTGATGAAAGCAATAAATAGGCTATTCAAATACCAGGAAAAGTTTGTATTAATTTTTTTGGAGATAATAGAGTCATAGAATAAACTAAAAAATCTACAGCAGGGGTCTCCAACCTGTGGCTCGGGAGCTACCAGTAGTAGATCTTGATTTAATATTTTTTGAGCCATTACATATCTATTATACTGTATGTATAAATATGAATATGAATATACAGTCATACATTATTAAGGTGTATTTTACATGTTTTCTCAATGTTTTGTCATCATTATTAGAGTGATTTTTATTTCAACTGCAAAAAGGAGTAGCTCTCTCTCTGCCTCTTTGTTTGTATTAAAGTAGCTCTCAGATTGAAAAAGGTTGGAGACCCCAGATCTACAGTATACAAGCCTTGTCGCGTGAAATACTAACTGGTAGGATTTTGTCTTCCAGATACATGTATTTCACCACAGTCCAGGAGCGCTCGGCCAAAATAGAGGGGGCGAGCTTGGACGGGACAGAGAGGGAGTCCCTGTTCACCACTGGACTCATCAGACCTGTTTCTCTGGCGCTGGATCACAAACTCGGGAAGCTGTTTTGGGCCGATGCTGACCTCAAACGCATCGAGAGCAGCGACTTAACAGGTGAGAAAATTAACCTCTATATAAACTGCACTAACTACAGTTGAAGAGAAAGTAGATTTTGTCCACATATTTACCACACTTCAACATTAGCCACAGGTTTTGATGTTGTGAGTATCACCCAATCAACAAACCGATAAAAACTCAGTGTATTTCCTTGTGTCGGTTCTCTGCTGTTCACATAAACACACTGGGAAGCAGGAATGTGTGCTATTCGAGATCAACAGCGGATAGAGCTGCATCCAAATCCTTTTCTGTACACTAGGGGGAGCTCTAACATAATAGTTATACATAAACCATTGGCCGCATTGCTATATAGGCCAAAGAGTTCAAAGACATTTTAAAAAGTTGTGGCTTATCGTCCAGCAATTATGTAATGATAATTAAATAAAATTAAATAAAGTTGTGTTATTTCTTCTCACTATAATTTTGAACACAAGATTATGTTGCTGTTTTACCGTCCGATGGGTGACAGTGTGTTCCTCATGTGTTTTTCTGCAGGTGCGAATCGTATCGTTCTGCAGGACTCGAACATCCTTCAGCCCATGGACCTCACGATCCTGGGGGACCACCTGTTCTGGATCGACCGGCAGCAGCAGATGATCGAGAGAGTGGACAAACTGACCGGAGACAGCCGCACTCGGATACAGGGAAGAATATCCTACCTGACCTCCATCTACGCCGTGGAGGACATGAACCCCCCAGACTTTGGTATGGCACCCTACATTTTGAAGTCCATTTCTGGTATATCTGGCAACCTACAGTATTAAGGCTTCGTGAATTGTTCTGAATTATTTTCTATTACTTTGTGGTACTTTCTGGACTATCAAGCGCACTCGTATTTAAATAGTACCAGCTACATTTTAAAATACATTTTGTCCACAGATAGGCTGCACTTGAATATTCTGTAAGCCAGAGGTTCATATTCAAGTTCAAGTTTCCTACCGTATCATCTAAACGGTTAGATGATAAATAAGTGTTGTAGCTGGTCACACCATGATTGTTTTAAAGCACTGTTGACTCAACAAAGCTAAAGGTAAATAATACGATGAACTTTGAGGATGCAAACATTGACTCATGTTAGCATACTTACCTTAGTCAGGACTCATTTACAAGTCACTATTTGAACAATAAATGTGCGTCCTATAACAAAAAAAATAAATCCATAAACTGCTCTTACAACAGCCCAACTGTACCACTATAAAAAGGCTTATAGTCCACTAAGTATGATAATTAAATCAAATTAATATGTTTGTACTGCCCAAAATCACAGCTGCGATCATCTCAAAGGGCTTAACAAAATAGTTGATTTGGCTGATTAGAAAATGAACAATTCAACAACAGAAATTGGTTTTAAAAAAAAATAAAATAAAAAATAACCCAGATGACAGTTTTCCTGACAACGCTCTGGTGCCTTAAGGGTTTATAATCTCTAAACTAATACAACTTGTCATTCTGGTATTTTCAGTTCTGTATCATGCAGCTCCATGCTTTCCAAAACAGACTATGATGTATTTCAACTAAATTGAAGAAACAGAGACATTGCTGTTCAATAACAGTTTGGCCTAAATCATTTCTGTTCACAAAATGATACAATTCATGGATTAATTGATATACAGTTGTCCCTCAATATTCACCTTTCACTACCTCGCTGTTTTGCAGATATTTTACTCCAACATAATATTACCGCGAGTATGACATGACAGTTACCTTTACTTAGAGTCAGAAGAAAACTTTTATGGCTTCCTGTAGTCCTCAGTCCACCTCTTGCCCTTCAGCGCGGTGTCCTCAGCAGCTATATTCACAGTGTATGTACGGCTTTTGACAGCTGCAGCAGTGCTCAGACCTACAACGACAATGATATCCCCATAATCACACTTCAGCAGTTGTGAGAAAAATATAGCTTCTACGTCTTGGATTTACCTTGGATTTTGAAACATAACCCCCATGAGAGACCACTGTATTGTCAATACACAATAAAGAATATTTAGATGTAAATTATTTTGATACAGTACAGTCGATGGAACTTGACTTTACTGTCCAAACAGCCTCATCATGACAAAACTATAGCATTAAACACGGCCTCTTTCTGGCAGCATCCCACCCGTGTTTCCACGTCAACGGAGGCTGTTCTCACATCTGCATTGCCAAAGGAGACGGGACGCCTCGCTGCTCCTGTCCCATGCACCTGGTGTTACTCCAAGACCTGCTCAGCTGCGGAGGTAATGTGACAGTCTGATCATGTTTGAAACCACGCCACATTTAACATTTATGGACTTTATCAATATTTATGGACATTGGTCTTCTGCCCTTTACGGACCAATGGCTCGATGTGTTTTTTATATAATTGCATTTCTTGTGTTCGAACTGTTTGATCCTCTGATCTGTGTTGGCGAATTCAACGGTTTTGTAAAGTTCTTTCGAGATAACTACTGTTGTGATTTAGAGCTATACAAGGATAAAAATGAGTTGATTACACTCCTCCCTCTCTCCTCAGACCCGCCCACCTGCTCGACAGAACAGTTCACTTGTTCCACCGGGGAGATCGACTGCATCCCTATGGCGTGGCGCTGCGATGGCTTTCCTGAGTGTGACGATAAGAGCGATGAGGAAAACTGCCCGGTGTGCTCGGCTTTCCAGTTCCAGTGCGATAAGGGAGGATGCATCGACGCTCAGAGGCGCTGTAACGGAGAGACGGACTGCGCCGACCACTCCGACGAGCAGGACTGCGAACGTAATAACCCGATCTATTTTACCCTGTAGATACACGTGCAAAAGAAGTGTTCATTAACACTAGAACTCCCAGAATTCTGAAACTACTAGAACTCCCAGTGCCGTATTTTTGACTGTACATACCAGTAATGACGCTTTAAAATTAAAAGCTGTCAAATGGACTGCTCTGGGAGTTCTACTGCTTAAGCTGGGGTAGAGCCCTGCACGGGCCTATTATCTGGGCCCGAGCCCGGCCCTGGCCCGAGGGGGTGGCGCCCCAGCCCGGCCCGGCCCGATATGGTTTCTGAATTTTCAGGCCCGAAACCCGCATCAAGCCCGCCTTTTTTTTTTTTTTTTTGTAACCTCCCATAACAATGTTTTAGCGTAGTATATAGTGCCGCGCACTGATATGAACGCAGACTTAGCTAGAGGGCGGAGTTATACATGGTAGTGATGTGTTGCAATGAGTTCTGTGTGTGCGGAGTGGTGCAGAGTGAACGGCCGCATCTGTATGATGCCCAGATGCTGCAACACACCTGTAAGTAACGCTATGTGCCGTCAATGACAACACTACACAGAACAACAAACACTACAGCGTGATAGAACTTTATATTCAGTGGGTGCGTTCGTAAATGTATTCTGCCGCTTTGAAAATGAAGAGCCCGAGCCCGGCCCGTGTCCGAGGTCATTATGCGGTCATCGCCCCGAAGCCCGACCCTCGGGCTGTCGGGCCGTCGGGGCCCTCGGGCCAAGGGCTCAAGTGCAGGGCTCTAAGCTGGGGTACCTAAATATATCTTATTTTATTTCTTCTTCAATAATACAGTACACGTTGTTTGTCCCAACAGAAAGAGGCTAAAAAAAGTAAAATGTTGTGACCAAATCAGACCACAACTCCATTCATCTCATTAGAATCCATGTTATGCATATGCGCTTGTAAGATAATGCCCTAAATTATTCTAAAGTTTTTAGGCTTTTGATTGGGTGGCCCTCTCATTTTTTGCTTTTCTGTCTGAAAAGGCTGAGCTAAAGTTATTTTTATTATGGGTTATTTTTATTTTGGAATAAGTCTAAGTCTAAAATGATAGAACCCCAAATTACAATTGCCTGTGAAAACTAGTGATAGAACCAAACAGGGACTATGTATTTCATTACATAGTCACATTTTTTCTGGAAATTTGGTAACCCAGCTTTAATTGTATATGCTTACATCCTCCATATTCAGCTTAACCATTACTGACAGTATATTCTGACTTTACGTTCACAATGATAATAATTTTGTTCAAAGTCGGACTCCAAAAACGTTCTGTTCCATGTGTTGCAGTTATCTGTGCTCCAAACCAGTTCCGCTGTGGTGACAACCAGTGCATCACAAAGAAACAGCAGTGTGACAGCTACTCCGACTGCGCTGACGGCTCTGATGAACTTGAATGTGGTAAAGACATTGATTTCTAAAAGTGGAACAAAGCTCAAAGAGGCGCCATGTAGCTGTAGCTGGTGGCGCCCTCTGCTGTCTCAATTGGAAGTGTTCTAGTTCAGTGGCAAAAATGAATGCACTACTTTGGCTGCAGGGTTTAATAATGAAAAAGTGGCAGATTACAGTCCAGAAATGTCAGTAAATATGTCTTCTATTTTTTAAACCTAGACATATTTACTGACTTTTCTGGACTATAAGCAGCCATTTGCAGTAAAAACCACATTGGAATAATTGGGCAAAAGTACCCCAGTGTGCACCAGACAAGTACATAAATAAAACAAATGAAATGCTAAAAAAAACAAGAAACAATTGTCACTGTGAAATCAATTTATAAAAACAGTTTGGATAACAAGCATATTGAGATCTCCTGCATCTCAGCAAACAGAAATGTCTTTTGCCAGAGGGAAGAAGCTGGAACATGGCTTTACCGGTAGCCAGAAGAGTAATTGATTATTTGAAGAGCTTGAGTCTGGACTTACGGCTCACAGTCCTCTTTGCGGAGTGTTTGCTTAATAATCTTCTCTGACTGTTTTCGCAGACTTCATCTCACCCTCCTCCAGTGGCATCCAGACCACCGGCTCCAGCACCATCGGCCTGGTCATCGCCATCATCCTGCTGGTGTTTGTGATCAGCGGGACGTACTTCGTGTGCCAGCGCGTGGTGTGTCGGCGCTACAAAGGACCCAGCAGCAGCTTCCCTCACGAGTACATCAGCGGGACGCCCCATGTGCCACTCAACTTCATCGCTCCCACCAACGCCCAACATGGTAATTTTCAAGGTACAATTATAACACCACTGAAAGGACTTAAAGCTGTGGTACCTAACCTTTTATTATACAGGTCAGTACTTGCTAGACTCTAAGGCTAGACTTAAGTTAGCAATATGTAAGATTTTCTTGTTAAGTCATCATTAACTGGCCCTAATATGTCAAAAGGCAGTAACAAACCATGCTCTTTTAAAATACTAAGTTGACTGATAACATTAGTTCAGCCGAGATGTTTGGATTTCAAAATTAGCTTTACAACCCCTAAATTTTGATGTCCCACCCTCCACCGTTTTACCAAGCAGAAAGTCTGTGATTCGGGTTGCCAGAACTCACTGCGTCGAGCTAATCTAACTGGTAAAGTAACATGTGGCCGCAGGACTAAAAAAGGTCTCTTTATGATTCTTAAATAATTTATGACAAAACATGGAATAAAACGAGCATTTTTATCGAGGCCTTTGTGAAGAATGTGTTGGTTATAGATTTGTCGTTGCTATTCAGCTATTATGGTCCCAGCTGGGTTTGTCTGCATATCTGGCAACCTGAGTCAGGGAGAGTGGGAGAGGTTGCAGTACCACTTTTAGCCAGATTTTTACATACTGCTCCTTTAAGTTACAAGGAAGCAATGCAAAACTATGTCTTGTTAAACCGCTCTGCTTTGGCAAAGGTTATACTGGTTTTGTGGATGTGCGTGTGCAGGTATCGCTTGTGGCAAGTCTATGATGAGCTCCATGAGTCTGATGGGCAGCAGCAGCAGCGGGGCCCCTCTTTACGACAGGAACCATGTGACCGGGGCCTCCTCCTCCAGCTCCTCCTCCACCAAAGGAGCCTTCTACCCTCAGGTCTGATTTACAAACACACACTGCTGCTTTTTTACTTCTTCAGAAATGTGATCTGAAACAAACACAAGTTGTAGCCTGACTAAAAACAAGAACATACATAAATGAAAGTATGTGAGAAAATTTGGGAAGCAAAAACTAACCTGGAGTTATGAGCTCACGTTTGTTACTAAAAGGTTATAACATAATCAGCTGTTCTCAGGGACAGTGACATGGTTTTATTGTATTTGCAGATCTTAAACCCTCCTCCGTCACCTGCCACAGACCGCTCGCTCTACAACACAGAGGTCTTCTACTCCTCCAACAGCCCGTCCACAACCAGGTCATACAGGTAAGACATTGTTAATGAAAGAGGATTACCCATGACACCTGTGGCTCATTTTAAATATGTAGTGCATATGGAATCTCAAGTTTGAGCCAAAACAATGTTCTAAAAGTGGCACGCACTTCCGTTCCCAGTCCCATGCAATGCTTTCCCGTGGGGTTAGGGTTAGGGTCAGGAAAATGTAGTCACGTCAATGTGATCAACTCGATGCAAGGCTGGTGTATTCTCCACATATCACAAAAAAGAGATGACAAAACCACTATAATATGTTTTTTGAACCTTTTTTACAGGCCTATTTTTTACAGGCCTTTACCAAATGGCCTATAATAAAGGTTTGATGGTAAACGTGCCTAAAACCAAGTGAGACGCTCCAAGGAGGTAGATTTCCGTTCCAAGCTTCAAGTAGATATAGTGAAACATATAGGAAAATATTAAAATAAAATAATAATAATAATATAAATAATAATAATATATTAAAATAAAATTAAATAAGAACTTCTCACCCCCGCTCCTCGAGACTTACGTCACTCACATTTTCTTTTCTAATCTCCCTCCAAATGGGCGTAGCCTGGAGGACTAAAGGGGACTGGCTAATGACTAAAACTACGCTATTAACACTACACAATTATCTATAATACAAACAGCTATGCTAATAAAAATCTACTTAAATGCTATAACTTATCGCAAATCTGACAACCGATGAAAATACTTTCTGCTATTCCTTCTCCAACTCGCTACGCGGGCGTGAACAAGACTGGGCCGTTTATATACCTCAGGGTGGCAGGGCAACTGACGTCAGCCTTCACTGCTGTGCCAATGGTGGCGCCAGATTCAAAATTCAAATGTAGTAAATACAGGTCGCCTGCAGATGGCGCCTCACCGACTGTTTTAGGCAGAAAGTTGATCTTTCAACTAATTTTCAATAAAGTGACACAATTTTGACCAGGATATGTACAAAACACTATTGGACACTCATTTATACCGTTTATTAGCAAAAAGAATTGGTGGGTGAGTTGTCGTTTAAAGGGTTAAAGTAGCATACTCTGTCTGACCCACAGACATGAGGAAAATCATTATTTTACCGAAGGAACAAATTATATCTTAAAACGTAAATAGTATTGCACTGACTCTAACTGCTGTTGTCCCCCAGACCGTACCCAGTGCGTGGAGCTGCCCCGCCCACCACCCCCTGCAGCACAGACGTCTGCGACAGCGACTACACCCCTCACCCCGCCGTGGGCCTGGGCTCCTCCGCCGGGCGCTGGAAGGTCACGGGCTACGGTCACCACGGGAAACACAACAAGTACTACATGGACCTGAACTCAGACTCTGACCCCTACCCCCCTCCTCCCACGCCGCGCTCCCAGTACCTCTCAGCGGAGGACAGCTGCCCACCGTCACCGTCCACCGAGCGGTCCTACTTTCACTTGTGTCCGCCGCCGCCGTCGCCCTGCACAGACTCCTCATGACCCTGTCACAAACTCACAACAGAAGACTCACATAAGCTGCTGCTCTGGAACCGTCTGTGAAGGGACGTGGGGGTCTCTCGTCATTCCAGTCCAATTGTCCAACCTTTAAATCCCACAATATTGCCGTCAAACCACTCACCGGAACGAAAGTGCTGACCAGCGTGATTTTTTTTTTACTTCAGCGGTCCCTTGTTTATCCACTGGGTTAGGTTCTGAAAATAACCCGTAGTAGCAGCTATATGTTTTAAGGCTGGATAATCCCTCACCACACACTTTATACACTTTTTTTACCACCTGAACTCACTCTGCTGAAGTGCCCTTGTGGAGATATCAAAATCGCGGTCTGAGTGCTGCTGCAGCTGTCAAAAGCCATGCATACTAAAAAAAAAAAAGGACACCGCTTTGAGAGGCAGGAGCAGGACTGAGGGCTATACGTGTCTTGCTCCTGGTACAAACGATCACTGTTCACTGTACACTGCAAAAACAAAAAAAAAGAGGTTATCCTTGCTTGAATCAAGTGTTTTTAAAATCTTGAATCTTGAATTAATTCAAATCCTATCATTGGTCACTGTTCTCCAACAGCAAATTGTAGTGGTTGTAGTTATACCAAGGGGAGAGACTAGTTTAAACTTATAATTGTTGATCATTACTTTCTGTACATGATAGTACGGTGTCCCTTGAACGGAAATACACAACATTTTACAAATTAAATACACTTTTATAACAAGATTTACCGACGGTTAAGCAGTCATATTTAAAATTATTTCTCATTATTTTAAGACTGTCAAATTGTACTCGTATTAAGATAAGAGATACGATAAGATGAGAGATTAACGATACATTTTGCTGGATTCAAGACTTTTTTTTGGTCTCTTTTTGCAGTGTATTATGTATAGAATATCTACATACAAGACAAAATAGCGGTGAGTGGTTTTGGGAATAGTTAAATATCACTTTGAGCAGCTGCGTCTGGATGTCCATTCCAACTGCAGACACTGGTGCGTTTGTGTCCGTGCAGTGAGAGCGGCAAGATGGCGGCACTTGTAAAGGACTTCTCTCCAAGTTGAAGAAAGCGGTGGACGAATGTGTGGATCTTTGAACGTTTGAATCTAAGAATGACTGAGTGAATGTTGCAATTGTGAATGGGAAGAAAACAAGACTTATGGCCAAGTAAAACCTTTTTTTATTTTGGTATCCTCACCATTCAATACCACCATACCAAATGTGTATAGTTTGTGTACATATGTGTAAAGAAGTCATATCTGATGAATGTTGTGTGAATCGTTGTGAATTTGATCCTGTCCCATTCACCAAAAGTATGTTTGCTGCTATTGTGAATATTAGTGAAGAATGAATTGTGTTGACACAAAGCCCCAAAGTACCACTTAAAAGAATAGATTGTGAAGCCATTGAATAACAAACTGTCTTTTGTTTGTATATTTTTGTGTAGATTTACAAGCGTTTGTCCTTAACAAATCTCTTGGACCTCTAGATGTTCTTAGTAATGCAACACTTTACACACAATCTTGTAAAAAGCTTTTCTCAAAATGTATGAATACATGGAAGACAATGAGACATCCTTCAACTCTTAAAATCAGATTTTCTTTATTTGGAGAATACTTTTAAAGCCGTCATTGTGTAGGATTGTTTTTGAACTCAAAGGACTTTGAACCAGCGAGCACTGCCAAAAGCACTTAAACAAAGAGGAGTTCGCTACCTCAGCTTTTACTTTACTTACATTTTCTGCATTTTCCCCTAAACCTGGAGACTCAACACAACTCAAAGTGCAATGAATATTTTTTCTGTAAACATTATTTTAAAGAATTTAATTAACCTTGCAGTTGAGGGAAAAAACAACCTGAAAACTGCTTTGAAAAGACCGTGTTATTTTCACATGGTAAAAAAAGAAAACTAAATATTTGTATTTACTGCACTACCTTGGTTTACGGTTTACCGTCTGCAGTTGTATTTGGATTGAGATCCAAAGCGTCACAAACGAGGGTCTCTGAGAGCCGAGGCCAAACCACTGTCTGTCCAACACCTATACACTTTGTAATGTCAGAAAAATGCTTTTTGTAATTATTGTGACATTTTTGTATCAAACACATTTATATAATAAAGGATTTATTTTAAAGATGTAGCAACACTCATCATGTTCATGTTTTGGTTTCTTTCTAAATAACATTTTAATATATTATAATATTGGGAGATAGACGTCAGTGATCCGGGTTTTGTCGCCCCCGTGTGGTAAAGCAGGTTAGTACAAAGCTCATAGAAATCTCACATGAATATCCGTCTTTTCACTGGAAACCTTTGGTCCAGTTGACTGAAGAAAGAATCTATGTTTCAGTTACATTAAAGAAGCATTCTTATTGGAAACATAGCTTGAACAAAATGTATATATTTCTGTGGTTTTATCTGATTGATGTTAATAACTCCCAGCTCTAGTCACTGAATAGAGCTGTCAGTAAATAACAGCAACATGAGACTGTACAAATTAAAGAATTGCAATCTAAAATCAGAACTACGATGGCCTGAAGTGTGAACGCAGCCGAAGATCCTTGTGGACATTACCAACACAGGTAGATGCACATGCATGGATCATTTCATACAAACATGTGGAAATTGGTGCAACTGGTTTTGTTTATTGAGCAATGTTTAAGTTATTCATCTTAAACTAGTAAAATAATCAGTCACATCACGTTCAGAGAATCGACTGCAGCTTTAATTACATTAGCAGTATATTACACTCCATCATTCAGTACATGCCTCTCTTACAAACCAGTTTTCATTTATTCTACAAAAACATTGGTTGACACTGGAGTTATATAGATTCGTAGACATAATTCAGGTGTTTGGCCATCTCTATGACAACGTGGCTTTTCTCATGAGTGTGAGGTTATGACAAACTCACAATGACCTACAAAACACAGCCATACATTTCTTTGATTTACTATTTTAAACATTGAAGATGCAATGACAAGAAGTAGGATCATATTCATGTAGATGTGCTGTAATAATAATAATAATAATATCAACAATATTTGGCCTATAACTACAATCTCATCTTATTAAAACAATTCATTTACTCTGTTTTAGAGAAATCGGGAAGAAATGAATGAAGATTTTGTACAAAACGTATGAAATGTGGTAAAACATATTCAATAACTTAGTTGCACCATACTAAACGTGAGGATAGAGACCTCCTTGTCCTTTTGATTTCTTTTGAGGTTAACCCTGTGTATTCGCCCGCTGTGGGGAAGGGTGCAGTCTATACCATTACATTCTTACTTACTTTAAAGAGTCACCTTTTCTATTATTTTCAATATGTCTGTCTTATAGGTACAATTGTGCAACATTATTTTAAGTTTTATCAAATCTTTTTGATTCATTCCCATCTTTTTAGTGCTGCATTGAGGCTTTTTTTGTCACTTATACATATGAACTGGACTGTATATATTTTAATCACTGTTCAACATAATTCTTTCTTTACTGGCTAAATATTATGTAACTTAAGTATTTACAAAAATTATTTTACAACAATCGGCCCAGCCCGCTGAAGATAGAATAGTCTATAAAAACAAAATACGTGGAAGGTCCAGAAGAAGGTGGAGTCCTGCCTCAGTCCACTTTACATGACCAGGAGCTGTCCCAGGACCATCCTAAACTGCTGCGTGCACCCGGCCAGCTCCTTCACCCTCTCCGTCATCTCCCTCGTGTTCCCCGCCGACGGATACTGCAGTGCTGCCGTTTTAGTGCTGATCACAATGTCTTTCAGTTTTTCACAGAGCGTGTTGCTGCTTTGAGCCACGCGCGCCCTCACCTCCGGGGCTTTCGCTTGACGAGAAAGAGTGTCTCCGATGAAAACCAGCTTGTGAGCGCTCAGGATCACAAACTTGCTGTGAGCTACGAAGATTTTGGGCGGCTGGTTGGAGTTGACGGCGGTAAAGAAGGCATCGATGGCGTTGGTGACGGTGGTGATGTTCTGCTCGCACTGCTCCTGGTAGAAGAGCAGCAGCTGCCGGTCGCTGTGGCACAGTTTGGAGGGGGGCCCCGAAGAACCGTTGTGGGGGTGGGCTGTGGGGTGGTGCGGAGACGGGACCCAGCCTGTCATGTCGTTGTTGATGGGCTGACTGACCTCCTGCTCCAGACGCTCAAACTGCTTGATCTGTAGAAAGAGAATGTGCGTTTACTTCATGTTGGGATGAATTCTCTTGGTGTCCAGCTGTCGATGGGGTCTCTCTGTGTTCTGCCTGACCAGTCGAGTTTGACATGTGGGTGACATCACAGCTGATATATATATGGCGGTGTTTCTCACTGTGGGCTCTCTCTGTTTGTGGACCCTCTCTCTGACAACAACATAATAGCAGAATCCACAAAGTTTCCTTTAGTGTCATTAAATGTCCCCTTTCTTATACTTTATTTTACTTTTTGCCACAACTACATTTTTATTATAACACTTCAAAAACAAGATATATAAGTTGAATAACATGCATCAAATGTGATGAATAGTTTTACCTGTGTCTGTTCCAGTTGTGTGTTGTGTCTGCTGATATTGCCTTTCTCCAACAATTGTCTTTGGTTCTTTTCAAACTCCTCTTTCCCCTGCACACAGCAGTTAAGAGTTTAACTTTCATGTCCTATGTTGGTCATACATGGCTATGATGATACACACACACACAAATACATACACATGATATATATACTCATACATATGTAATGTATATGTTATATATATATATAATAGAAAGGTTTATACTATGCACATTACTACGTGTCTGCATTTTTTTGTAACATGACTAACGTATTCAGGTTGAGACTGAAAAGTGTAATGGACAAACATTTACCTGTAGATGCACGTAGTCATAGTCCTCCATCCAGCCCTCCTCGGTGCTCTCGTACGGCCGCTCCACTGGCTCTTCTTCAGTGGATGTAAACTTGGGTGGAGAGGGAAGAGGCCGTGACTGAATGTGCACTTTCTCTCCTCCATATGTGCCGCTTCCTGACCCTGTCATGTTCCCACTAACGTCCCCTGGGATTGGGGGCAGAGGCAGCTGCTGTTGCTGCCTGTTGGTCCGTTTGAAGAGCAGTGTGGCGTTTCCATGAAGAAAAGAAGCAAGTTGTTTGGTATCATCTGGAATCCCCCGAGCAGTGATGACCAGTCGGTCCAAGTCATCTCCACCTGGAGATGGCGCCGCCAGTGCAGCTGGAGACCAGGCGATGGCGTCTAAGCTCTGACTCTGTTGAATTAAACTACGGAACACCTCCTCCATTTTCCCCACCTGTCGCCCCAGTTTAGATTGCAACAGGCGGTCTGTGGCCTGAGCGGCGTTGGCCACAGCGTCACGAGCAAACTCCAGGAAATCCCTGACTGAAGCTCTGACTCTGTCTGCAGCCTGGTGGATGGCGGGCAGGTTTCCCTCCAGCTGCTCCGCACTCCTCCAGTTGCCAGTGATAAAGGACATCATAAACGACACATTAGACTCCACAGCCACCTGCAGACGGGACAGGCGCTCCATGGCCTGGTCCAGGTCCAACATGAGGGGTTTCCCAGGGAGAGGGGCAGGAGCTGAAGTGTCCCGAACAGGCACCATGTCTAAAGATGACGCTGAGTGGTTACTGCGTGTGCTTCCAGTGCTGGAGGCTGAGAGGCGTTTGAAAGACAAGCTGAGTTCATCTGTGGTTTGAGGGTCACGCACAACCTGAAACATACAAGACGTTAGTGATGACCATCTTTGCCCCGATGTGACTGACTTCATAGAGCTGTGATCTACCTGTGGGGGTACGTCGTACACATTCTGCTCCCCTCGCTCCGTGGACCTCTCCAGCTTCCTCTCTCTGGGGAAGTCGTACACGTCCTGACTGGGGTACCCCGTGCGGAGGCTGGTGGGGATGTCGTAGATGTCTTGTCTGCTGCTGTTGAAATGCTTCTCCGTGAGGATGGGTGGTGGGACATCGTAGACGTCCTCTGGGATAGGGGGCTCGTCATCGTCATCGTTCATGTTGTTGTGGAGGTATTGGGAGGTTGGCATGGAGACAGGAGCCTTGAGTTTGGCAAAGTGAGGAGGCACATCATAGGTCTCCTCTCGGGTCGGTTGACTGTCAGGCACATCTTTGCTCACAGATGGAGGGAAATCATAGACCTGAAGTGAAAGATACAATCATTTTATATATATATATATTGCACAGGTATTTTTTGAGACTTTGCAAGACCAAAGACATGTATAATAAATGTTCACAAAATGTGAGAAAATATGGTTTGATGTAAGAAATACAATTTGAACTATCATTCATATAACAGCTGGGGTACAAAAAAAATCTGTTATAAATAATACATTGGGTTTGTCCCAACAAAAACAGCATTATACATGTTTTTAGTGGCAGGGGGAATCAGAGCACCTGGAGGAAACCTAAGCAGACACAGGGAGAACATGAAAACTCCACACAAAGAAAGGGCCTGACTGGAACCTCTAGGAATGAGTGCTAACAAGTAAAAAAGATCCTTGTTAGTCATTAAAATATACTTTGGGCTGGGAGCTGATTGGTTGTGTAACGTTGGTTCTTTCTTTTTAACTTTTCTGATTGAAAAAGGAACTAGTTAGATGAATTGTATTAAATAGTTCCATTTTGTTTGAAAGTTATCTAACCCAGCTTTAGTAGCTAAATTGGAATAAAGTATAAGATAAAATGTTAGAAATACACACCTGATGTTGTGCGAGCTTGTCTTTGATCGGAGGCATGTCATACACATCTTGACCACTAGATGGCCCCTTGACCACCATTGGAGGAGTGTCATACACCTACCACAACAGAACAGTCACTCATTAATATTATCACAACTTTTTGTTTGTCCAACTGTACAGACAATATAGTGTTATCATCATTATAATATTTCAAAGTTTAACATTTTCCAAAAACAAGTGGGACTAAACAGTAACACAATCACAAAATTAAAATCCACAGTAATAAAACCAGGAACAGAAACCATAAAATAAAATGCAAAGTTGGTCGTACTTGAGTGTTGAGATGCTGGCGGGCGGGAGGCACGTCGTATATGTCCTGGGCAGAAGTCTGATGCCTGGGGGGGACGTCGTACTCGTCCTGGTCTCCTTTCACCGTGTCATAGACGTAGACCTGCCCCACACGAGTCGGGACCACCACCTGCACGAGAGCCGCACCCACAGTTAGGCCTGTCACCATGGTTACTGTATCCACTTATCCTTTAATAACTGATGGATAAAACTAATGAGCCTCAATATTTTTACTACTTTGACTTGTTGTAGTATAGTAGTATAAATATATCAGAACTGTGAACATTGTAAAGCACTTTGGGTGACCACCTTAGTCTGAAAAAATGCGCTATACAAATAAATATTAATTAATGTGAATTAATAATAATATTTAAGGATATTTTGTTTTTGTTTTTTTACATTTGTTTGTATTAGGAAGAACAGCAGGTAATTTAAACAATTCACAGAATGCACAAATGTTTGGTTCTCCCTTTTTCTTTTTTTAATCCCCTCTTCCCTCCCCCCACCATCCACCCTCCCTCCCCCTTTTACTGACATTTATGAACATTTACAGACATTGGTCGTCGCGCTATACAAGTGAAACTCAAAAAATATTTAAAATCTATATTAAAAGAAAATGTATTTCTGTAATTCTAATTTTGTTGAAATTTTTTGTTTTGGGGATTTTTAAAACTGCTCTGAGCTAATTATCAACATTATAACAAAAAGGCTTTTCAGAGTTTCACTAGTATGACCAATGTCTTTATCGATAGTTTGATTCTCTAATCTGCTGTTGGCAAATAGATAATTTCCTTCGATACGACTGCTGTGGTGATGCATGTGTCCATTTCGCTGCTATAATGGAGAGTTCGTAGAGGGTTCAATAAATGTAAATTATTGATTAAGTTGTTTATTAAGTTGTTGCAGTTAATCAATTTTCAGATTTAATATACCTGGCTTCGTGGCATTAAGCAGGTTCACTGTTGTCGTTTATTGCAATCATTCATAAACGCCACATATCGTCCGTCAAAATCAGTAATAGTGACAGCCCTAGCTCCAGCTACAGCCCGAGCTAAAAACAAAGCATTTCCATTTCCTGTTTTACAAAATAACTTGCTGTGTTACTCCAAGATTTGACAACATGTTTATTTACTGAGTGCATTTTTAGATTCCAACCGGTTGCTCATATTTGCGTAGTGTGTTCAGTTCATACATATTCATGACTTATCTGCACAGTCATTATGCAAATATTTCAATCAAAGCATTTATCATTTGCATTCCAGAAGTCTCTAACAGAATGAATGTTCTGTGTGCGTTATGCAGACCAGAGGCGACATCACAACACGGAACACTGTCCGTATACGTATTTGCTACCACCAGACGACTGTACTACTTCTACTGCTGCTGCTACTGCTATAGTACTACTGCTACTGCTATACTACTGGCTCTGCTGCTACTGCTGCTTCTACTGCTACTACTAAAACTACTGCTACTGCTGCTATGGTACTTCTGCTACTGCTATACTACTGCTGCTGCTACTATAACTGCTGGTTCTGCTACTACTACTACTACTGCTGCTAATATACTACTACTATACTACGACTACTACATTACTACTACTACTACTACTACTACTGCTACAACTGCTACCACTACCACTACTACTTCTACCACTACTGCTACCCCCACTGTAAGTAAGTATTAAGTAATGTTTATTTATATAGCACATTTTTACGGATCAAGGTCACCCAAAGCGCTTTACAAGTTCCATGTTCAGATATTCCAATCATTCCACACACGGTGATGAAGGAAGTGAGACGCCGAACACACTGGCGCTTCAAAACCACAACCAACACATCCATTCACTCTCTCATTTACATTCAAACCTATTGTATATGATTTTAGTGGTAGGGGAAACCGGAGCACCTGGAGGAAACCTACGCAGACACGGGAAGAACATGCAAACAGAAAGGCCCTGTTCCGACCGGGATTCAAACCCATGACCTTCTTTGCTGAGAAGCGAGAGTGCTATCCACTCAGCCACTGTGCTGCCCTGAGCCCACTGCTACTACTACTACTACTACTACTTCTACTGCTGCAACCACTGCTACTACTACTTCTACTGCTGCAACCACTGCAACTACTACTTCTACTGCTGCAACCACTGCAACTACTACTTCTACTGCTGCTACCATTGCTACTACTACTTCTACTGCTGCTACCACTACTTCTACTGCTGCTACCACTGCTACTACTACTTCTGCTACCACTGCTACTACTACTTCTACTGCTGCAACTCCTACTACTTCTATTGCTGCAACTACTGCTACTACTACTTCTACTGCTGCTACCACTGCTACTACTACTTCTAATGCTGCAACTACTGCTACTACTATTTCTATTACTGCTGCTATTGTAATATTATTAGGACATATGGGGCCTTTCTACTACTGCTGCGACCACTACTACTACCACCACTACCAGCTAATTACATTACAAATCAAAGGCTTAAATACAAACAGGGATTTTGGAGAGGGCTTCCGATTTTTTGTCAATTCTTTATTAATTCACACTTTTCTTGGTTAAGTATTTAATATAGACCACAAGCGAGTGAAGTGATGAAGGGATAGTCGTGCTTCTATGATCTGCTGTTTTTGGTCTTGTAAATTCAGTTGGGGTGAAGTACATGGTCAGAACAAAGATATACTGTAGTAGTTTTGACAACCTGCACCACGCTTTAACACTTTTTGTCGACCAGCGCTTTTTTTTGTCGGTTTCAACACTAATTCAAATACAGCTTACATGAAAGAAGCAGTGTTGCAGTACAACAAAAATACTGAATACTGACTTTTTTATTTTATGTGACCTGTCCAAGAGTGTGTTTTTGTTAGCAGATATTTTTTACCTCTTTTTGATTAGAAAAGACATGAAGCTAACCCTAAAAATGTTGATTGTGTCAAAGAGAATGATAAAAGTTTTCCATCGTTTTCATGTTATATGCATTGTACGATAAATAACAGAAATGTATTAGTTTTCTAAGACATAAAAAAGTATTTTAAAGTCCATATGTATCAGTAATCTGAATACCACTCAAAATTTCAGTAATGTGACAACACCTGGATGTAAAAGCCAGATCCCATCTTGAAGCTATGCACGGCAGGGTCTGTTAGTATTGTGATGGGAGACCTCTGGGAACACCAGGTGCCACAGTCGGACATCTGCAGCTGTAAAGTGCCAAACTGTTTTTGTGTTCTTAGGGAAGACATGTATGAGTCTGGTGTGTGTGTGCGTGTGTGTCAATGGTTGTCGGTGGTCGGAGGGCTTGAGGACACATACAGGTTGCCTCGGTTCTCTCTGTGTTTGCGAATTCAACAATTGTGTAAAGTCCTCCGAGATAACTACTACCAGTGTTGTGACTTAGGGCAATACAAGAACAAATTGAATTGTCAGTGTGCCCCAGGGTAATTGTGGCTACAGTGCAGTAGTAGCTTATCACCACTGTGTACATTGAATGAATAATGACATGTGTAGCCTTTGAGTGTCCAAAAAGAGCCATATAAAAAAACAATGCATTATTATTATTATGTACTATGTATTATGTATTGCAATCAACGGTCACAAATATCATTCTGAATCCCGTAACTTGTCTATTCCATTACTCCCCAACCCTGACAAAAAGTGCCCTAAAACAACAGACAAAATGAAACAAACCCCAAAGGTTCATTCAAAACCAACAAATGCAGACGGTTGCCCCCTGACTCCAGACTGTTGAATCTGCATGAACCCGGGGCTCACGGCGGCGCGCAGCAGGAAAAGCGCCGAGCGGGAGGCTGTTTGATTTGCTGTGGGAATGTGGCGTCTCCATTGTGTCCCTGTTTAAACTGTGCATTATGAGATGTGGGCATAGAGCAGCAGCCAGTGTGTGGGAAAACACAACATCTGTGCCTTTCCCTCGGGCGCACCTACACACCCCCCTCCTGCAGGAGAAAATCTACCTTTGTGGTGTCCCCTTTACGCATTGATTTTTAGGACATTTACAGATGAAACCGAAGACGCAGCCGCCCTGCCCTGCACTCACCGATGGCTCAGTTTACCTCAACAAATCACGGGCAATAAATACAGCTCATAAGTTCAATGAGCGCCATGCATGATACGAATATTGCGACTAATAAACAATATCTATCTGAAATATTCTGCAATTAAGACGCTTTTCTATTTTCTATTGATGCAAATGAGGAGGTCGTCAATAATAATAATCATATCTTTAAGCGCCATTATCACGGCTCGGCTGTCATTACCACTAAAAATTGATATCCCTCTCAAAGCTGCCGCAGAAGCCTATTACTCATGCTTCGTCAATACACAAGTATGGAAACGGTGCAGCGTTTTAGGATTTTGTTTGTCTTCGTACTAATTATTTCAGCAAATTGGAAAGGGTTTTATAATTTGCTGGTTCTAATTATTTTTTTATTCATCAATTGAAGGGAGTAAACCTAACACATTTCAGATGAAACTTTGATACTAATAGACAATCTGCCATTTAATTGTTAGAAATCAGGGGTTATTTCTTTCCCTATTTCAGTGTGAATGGGTTTATTTTGCTAAAGGAGTTTCTGGTATCGATACCTCGAGCTCAGGAAAACACCTTAAGACAAAATAAAACAGTTTTTTCTCCAAACTTCACATAATCTATTTATTTTTCTTGAGCATCAGAGTTTCACGTTGTCCAGCATGTTTTGAACTACGCACAAGGTTCAGCAGATGTTACACAAAACAAAGGAAGCAAGGAAAGTAAATAACACGCTCTAAAGGAGTAGGCAGCAGCAAGATGCCAAAGATACATCCTATTTTAGATGGCACTCCTTGGAAAAAAATGTGTTTGTGTTGAATGGCCCATTGTCATTTACATTAGATTTGTATACATACACAGCAGCCTTTGCACTGGGTTTTGTATTTAATTACCATTACTCCACTGTCTTGAATTTACATAATGCCATCTAGTACAGCAATCTATGTATTGGATTGGAGATGGCCCACATCAAACGCTGACCCGAGGCCACAAACGTGAGCGACAAGTACCGCGCTCGGCCAAGGTTAGAATCTGTTTTTGCCGCTCTCGTTCTCTTTCTATTTTTCAATTGGCTCATAAAC